GAGGTATATAACCATGCTTTCTCATCATCATAGGTCGAGTGGATCCCCATCCACTCTACTCACCATAACTAGTTATCACTTCAGCATAAGTATACATTAGTTTCAGTCAGCATAGCAGCAATCTATCAAGGTTGCTCCTCATCGTAGTGTGTGTGTTGTATCACCACTACCTGACGTCCGAAGGCGCCCATAGCAGGTTAGCGGTCCGGATATAGATAGAACCGAAGGCAGTAGTCCACTGCGGTCCGGGGATCACTTCAAAGCATCAAGTCAACACACTGGACACTCGTGTTGACGCCACCAACCTTATCACCAACACCATCAACCTCATTATCATTGACATCACCAATCTTATCATCAACACCATCAACCTCATTATCATCGACATCACCAATCTCATCACCAACACCATCAACCTCATCATCATCAACACCCACACCAGACCTTGGTGTCATCATAACATTGATATTGATCGTGCCGAGCTACCCCTGAACGGAGTGTCCACAGAGGTCAGCCGAAACCTACGATAGTATATACAACAAACGCCACCTGCTGTCACTGCACAACTTGATAGTCACCGAGTATCTCGAGACAATAGCTGTCGCACAGTTTGATAGTCACCGAGTATCTCGACAGACCGACCTGGGTTTCAGGCACGAGACCCCTGACACTCGACACCAGTGGTCAAGTCGGTTATTGTAGGCAGTGTTTCACACCAGTGGTCCAGTAACTCCTGTCCTCTGTAGGTGATTAGCATATCATGGTCCAGTCGATGTCCAAGAGCATTATCAACAGTACTACAAACACTCATACTGTAGGGGAGGGTGTATCACCCACTCACCAACAAACAACATCTGTGCCATGCAACCTCTGAATGGAGTGTTCAAGGCAGTCAGTCAAGACTTACTAGGTGACGACACTTGGTTACGTTTAGGCAAATCATATCGAGTAGACCTTACTCAATCAACCTCAGTTAGTCTCTGGCACGCGATCGCTTACAGACGCCACCAACCTTATCACCAACTCCACCAACCTTATCACCAACACCATCAACCTCATCATCATCAACACTCACACCAGACCTTGGTGTCATCATAACCTACGCAGTGATATTGATCGTGCCGAGCTACCCCTGAATGGAGTGTCCACAGAGGTCAGCCGAAACCTACAATAGTATATACAATGAACGCCACCTGCTGTCATTGTGCAACTTGATAGTCACCAAATGTCTAGCTTGTCAAGACTGATACCGAGACAATAGCTGTTGCACAGTTTGATAGTCACCGAGTATCTCGACAGACCGACCTGGGTTTCAGGCGCGAGACCCCTGACAGCACTCACTAACCTTGCAACCGATGCCCTCAAGTATTGTGATCTAGAATTCTACCTGACACTCTGGGACGATGATGACGACGATGAACAAGATGATGGAGGATGATGGTGGCATGCTTGTTGTTTGGGATTCAGGTCATGAAGTGCAACCTTCACAATGTCAACAAACCCGATACTGCCTTGGCTGCGAGGTCACCTTCTGTAATTTGAAGGGTGGATGAACTGATCCCAACATGTACCAGAGTCAACCCCTTTATGACAATGGCAGTCCAGCCTGCATGGAGCCAGCAATCATTCTTGCCCAGCTGGCCAAAGAGGATGGCATCTTTGACCATGGCATCAGCATTGCCAGCATGATGGAGACAGCTGATCCAGAATACTTTAAAAATGTGGATGAGTTCCTTCCTATTCCCATTAAGGCCGAGGCCAAAGATCACTTTGTGCTTCGTGCAATCGAGTTGGCATCATCTTCAGGAAGAAAGTGCCACTTCCACTTCCACTTTGCTCACAGCTGACAACAACAGCCCAACAAGTGGCAGCAATTGGGTCATCTCAGAATTGGCACCCTGGATGGCAAATATGTCTGATGTTGCCATGAAAAAGATTGCTCTTGCCACTGGCATGCCTGAATACACAATGTACTTGCTTCAATGCATGATGATTCAGATGCTGGACTGTACCTCAGTGACAGAGGGAGCAAAGAGGCTCTCTGTTGGGCACTTGATTGCCTCTTCACAGATTGTCAAGAGCTACTTGTCACAGTGCAATGTCATTGACATTCAGGGCTTGGTCCAGAGGGGCAAAGAGTCCAAGAATTGCATCATGCTGCATGGTCTCCATCATGTCAAAGCCATCACAGATACTCCAAGCTCTCTGCATGCTGTTGGAATTGCTGGTGTCGAGTCAATGCCAATCATTCAGTGACTCATGTGTGAGTACAATCAGGCAAAGGTGGCCCTCTCCAATGCTTCAGCACAAGGCTTGCCAGCACATGAGTATCAAGCCTTGAAGGTAGACCATGACAAGAAGATGAAATGTCTGACAGGTACTCAGAGCCAGCTCCAATGTCAAACAATGATCGAGCACACCTACAAAGAGAAGGAGGACCTGAATGTATGTGCACTCTGTGGTTCACTCTTTGGTGGTGCAGGTCCTGCAGCAGCAGCACAAGAGCTGTCACAACACCTTCAGGCTGGTGGTGATACCAATGACAACAACAGCAGTGACCAGGCTGGCTCCAGCACAATGCACCAAGCATGTACCTCTTGTGTGCCTCTTGGCAGCCACTTGGATAGCCACACAAGCAACCAAGGCAATGCCAATCCAAGCTATGAGTGGATGCACCAAGCTGCCAGCATCCCTTTCCTCTCACAGGCACCCCTTTCTTTTGCTTCAACATTGACTCCATTGTCCTCAACAGCATGACCCAGCACACACCTCATCACCAGCTTCTGGCACCTCACTATCAGCTGAAGAGCCTATGTCTCTCCTTCTATGTGAGAAGCTCAACAGGTTGTGCAATCAGATTGGCTCCATGATCAGAGATCTGCCCCAGCCTGAATATGATCTGCTCAAGAAGGATGAGGCTGGTGTGCCTCTCTGTGAGCTCTTTGCAGCCATGATGACCAACAATGTCAGCACACAGAATGCTGTTTTGGCCACCCTTGAGAAACAAAATGGTAAATCCTGCTGCTGGTGCCACCAACCATTCAGATTGTTACTCTCCAGCCCTTCCAAGGACTCCCTCAAGCTGGTCACTTGGGGCATGATGATCAATCACATGTGGTCTTGTGCAAGGCCTCACATGTACAGCAAGTACAAGGAAGCTTGCTGTGAGGCACTAGCTTGTCAACTGTGCTGGCACAAAGCATGTCATGGTCAAACCTTGCTGCAAGACCACAAGGAACTGGTCTGCCATATCCTGTGCCACTACAGAATGATTGGTCAGATCCTTGAACATCTCATACTTGTGCCAAACAGGAGCTATAGGTGTCCCTTTGCAATCAACAGCAGAGCTGAGCAGTGCCAGTGGGCCTTGCATTGGCAAGAAAGGAAGCCTTCATCTCATCTTGATGTGATGCAGCACCTCGAAACTGCACACAGATTCCCTACAATCATGTCCGCACTGCTTCAAGGAACCCAATGATCTCGTTGGACATGTGCACACAGTGCACATTTACCCAGATCACAGCCCTGTTCATCATTGCCCCTTTTGCAATAAGCAAATTCCAACATATGACTTCACTGATCATCTGTGAGAGCATGACCTTGTCCTTGGAGCAAAATCTCTGCTGCATTGACCTGATCTTGTCAGCAAGGCTTCAAGAGCTCATGAATGTAGGGAAAATTGGATCTCATGGGTGCAGAGTATCACTCCCTCACCACCACCACCTGCTGCTATGTTGTCAATTCAGAGTGTGGCCCAGGAAGAGATCAATGCATTGATGGCACAGGCAGTCACTGATGCCAAGGAGCAAGTGGCTGGACAAGTTGGCCATTCTGTGCTGCCCATTTCATCAACAGGTGCCACTCAAGAGGCATCTTCAGCCAACTCATCTTGCCCAATGCTTTCAGCCTGTTGTCATAGCCACTGTGGCAGGCCATTGGTGGTTTGCCATGCATGTCCATTTTGCACCCAAGACAAGAGCCTCCTGGCTGAGCAAAGAAGTCAAGTTTGGGGTATTCACAATCTTGCTCACCACATTGCAGGGGTACACCTGTTCAACATGTCCTCAAGCCCAATGACTTGCCTGTCTTGTGATGAGGCAATGCCAATAAAGGAGTTGGCCCTGCACCTTGATCATTGACATGAGCTTGGCCTTTCAGGCAAAAAGTTGGAACCACTGGCTGATGATCTCTCAAATCTATGTGGCAGATCACAGGCTAAATGAAGGCCTGCATTCCTTAGATGGATTGAACAAGGTTACCCAAACAACAACACTTCAGGCCATGTGAGTGCCAAAGCAGTGGCAGTTTCCAAGCAAAGATCTGGCAGCTCCCGTTATCATGCTGTTTCCACTCCCTCAGCACCTGGTCAACAGCAGAGTGGCACTTCACAGACTGACTCAAGCAAAACAGCCATTGCATCTGGCTCCGAGTCATATCCAGAGATCGATCCATCTGTGCTATTGGATGACAACTTTTATGAACCACCCACTTGATGGGTGAGGCAATGTCTTGCTTCAGATTCAGAGGAGCAGACTGCTTAGTCATCCAGCAACACCACAGTTTGTTGTAGTTCTCACTTGTCTCAGCACTATCATACCAGTCATAAGCACTAGCCATCCCAGCAAACCAACTTGTCCCTTTTCTCTGTTTTGCATGTCTTGATTCATGTTTCCATTGTTTCTTGCTGTCTTTACTCTGTTGATACTGTTTTTATGTTTGCATTTGTAAGCTTGTAACCTGATCCACCCAAAATCCAAGTCTCTTGTGAAACTGCATTGTTGTGTGCTTCAGAGAACACCCAGTCAGAGGTCACAATTGTTGATAGGGTTATGTTGTCTTGTGTCACTATGGTTTGGACAAGCTGGTTTTAGGTTTTTGGACAATGGGAAGATGGTGTATTGACATGACTATCTACATAAATGAGTATGACTATTTATGCTTGCTGGACACAGGTGGGGCATGCTGGTTGAGGAGTCCCAAGCCCCTCAACCCCTATCACAATGCAGGGATGCATCATGAGGAGGTCTGTTCCCTCAACCCCTATATCAGCAATATTGGCAGATGCTGCTGATATGAGGTCAGGTCAACCTCCAACAACAATTGGCACTTTTGAGGATTCTCCTGATAACCAGAACAGTCACTTACATCTGTTCTGGTCCTCAATTTGGCCTGAAAATTCAGTTGAGGTTAACAACCAAATCAGTTGCTAACAGCCATTTTGGCTGTCAAAAAAAATTGGAAATTAACAACTGATTCGGTTGCTAAGAGCTGTTTTGGCTGAAGGAAAATTGGAAAAGAGCCTGGAAATGGCAATCTACTTGGTTACTTCCTTACGACATGCATGTAGCCTGTGCATGTAACACGGTGGCTCAGTGATGCTTCTTCGCCTTTTCTTCCTCGACTCAGCCATTGTTACCACGATAGTGCCACCTTTTCGACCTTTGCAATCCATTTGATCCGCTTCCTTTCCCTCCCACCTCCCACCTCCCATCTCCCACCTCGGACAGAGCCGATCTGATCGGAGATCGGTCTGAGCCGATACAATAAGGGATCGGGTACCGCTTAGTCCCGCTCGTTGTCATACTTGGTCATTAAGGGATGCTCCCACTTTTGGCATGTGCCGATACTTTGTATATATATCAAGCGGAGAGCTCGAGGCTCCCACCACATTCCCTCTCTAGGTCAATATAGTATAGTGTTTTTGCTCAATAGCTTGAACACTGTGCTTAGACTGTTGTCGACCGCTGAGTGTCGACACCCGTCGTCCTTTATTATTTCAACATTGAATGGAGTGAGAACAGGGTGAGGAGGAAGAAGAGTTGAAGCACGTGGCTGCTCGGAGTAGAAGCATGCGACCCTTCGGAGTATGCAACTTCTACACCGAGTCCACATTCAATCGCCAACCTCGCTCTCTCGGACCCTAACACCCTCCCAATCTTTCATCGCTAATTCTAACCACTTCATCCATTTTCCGCATCGCTTTACTCAACCTCCCTTGGCCGTGATCTACTTCTGTATCGAACGCATCAATGATTTCGATCTGTTCGCCGATCTCTTGGCCCATCATGACAGCTTGGTTGCGGAGCGAATTGAGGGTGGTGCCGATCTTGTCCAGGGTTGAGTCTTGGCGCGATATCAAGATCTGCAGTCAAACAAAGGAAGGGTTAGTGAAGGGCTAGGAAAGGTGGGAAGGCGAGGGGAATGGGGCTACGTACCTGTTGTTGTTCACGTTCGAAAGCTTCCGTTGCATCTTTGTCTTCTTCTTCTGGGAGGTTGATTTTGGTTGAGGAAGCTCTGCCGGATGGTGGGGATTGTTTTACTACTTTGGATAATGACTGCCAGCGTTCAGCGGTCCAGAAAGAGGAGGATAGTTGTTAGTATCGTCCATGAGCTGCTATTCCGGTCTAAGAAGGGACGGAACTTACATCGATCTCAGCCTCGCATTCGGCAACAAACTCTTTCCTCCTCTTCAATTCTTCCGGTGTCACTCCAAACCTTTCTGGACCACTACGCTCCACGACGAGGACGGACTGTTTTACATCTTCTACGTCCTGCCGTAAGCCTTCGATTGCGTCTGAGAGTCAGTCGTATGCCGAGTCAACCTCGCCGCCAGATGATGAAGATGCGCGTGCTGCTGATGAAGATGATTGAAGAAGTTGACGATAGGATTGAGAGAGAGAACGGGCGGAGGAGAGGGAGGAATTCAGGTCTGATACGAAATCGTGGTATGGATCTCTTGACATCTTATTGCGACGACCCCCTTGAAGGCCAGGTCGATGGTGAGGCTGCCAAGATGCGGTCACTGCTGAGTACAGTATTCTGATTCAACTTATTTGAGCCGTAGAGCGTGGTTAGTCTTGTTGAGAGTGGTCAAAGTCGCAGACTTGGACCTTTTGGCGTTTGTGACTGCTGCTTCTTTTACTCGAACTTACAATCACAGACCCAGGAGAAGAGATCAGGGTGAGTTGGAGTAATGCAAGGTTGGTCCTCTGCGCCATTGCATGTGATACTACTAATACAACATCAAGAAGAGATTCAATATCTTACACCCCAAACAGCTGCGGGAGGAGGATCAATCGTATTCCTCATCCTCGTCCAAACTTCTCTTTACCCCCCTGGATGCTTCATCACCTGTTCCCTGGCCGTCTTGCTGTTTACTCCCTTCCTGTGTCCCCAATCCGCCTGTAGACTGAGAATGAGACTGACTAGGATGAACAGTCGTCATACTAACATCTCCGTCCTCCCCCTCCCCGTCTTCATCATCATCGTAATCATCCCCTGCGCCATCTCTTACACCCTGTTGCTCCCTTCTCGTATTTGAATCGAACAATGCCGAATTCTGCGTACTTTCGTTTGTTCCCTGCGAAGCTCCCCCAGCCTCGCCACCCGCCGTTGCTTGGGTTTCTTCAAAATCATCATACCCTTCCGGGAGCGCATTAGGAACTACCCTGAAGTTTACGTTCGTCAAACACTGGTTTTGCGGTGGCAGCCTCACACCGTGTCTATCTGATATCGGTGGTAGTGGGATAGAGTTCACTGCACTTGCTAGACCGAGAAGCATATCTTTTTCGGGAGGTTGAGTAAAGCTATAATTCACACGTGACTGAATTGCAAGATTGATATCGTCGAGGGAAAGAGAGGAGGAAGCTTGGCGAGAGTTGGCGTGGTCAGAGTAGACGAGTGCGTCGCAAAGGACATCGTGGGTGTATCGATGTGCGAATTCGAGCAGTTGCAGTAGAACGGATGGTTCAACGTCCGAAAGACCCATTGAGGATAGGATGAGGGCAATCAAGCGCGCATCGCGGGGGATAGGACCTCGTAGACCTGTGTCGCTTGTCGAGGCTGTGGTTGACATCGCCATTGTGGCTCTACGAAGAGAGAGGAGGGATCAAGGTCGATGCAGGGTGAGAGATGGAAGGAGGATGAATCAATGCGTCTGCAACAGCGCGCGTACTGACCGAGATCCGAAGACGCGACCCAGAGCCTTTTTGTTGTTTTGTTAGATTTCACACTCTTGTTCGAGTTGTAACCATAGCGACACACCTTTGATACTCCTACACATACTTTCGCACTGACAAGAGATGAGCCGAACAATTTGAGACGCAGCTTGACAACAGAAAAGGAAGAGAAAGTGAGCGAATGGGAGGCAAACAAGAGGGCCAAAAAAAAGAAAAAGAAGAACTGCAGCACCTAGGATTCCCGCGTGGTCCCCCACCGCAGTACTGACTAGACGATACCTTGCTTAACTTCGCAGATCGGACGGGATGCGGTGCTTTCAAGGTTCTATGGCCGCAGATGTAGAGAAATGCCCAGATGTTGTACATATACCGACCTTGACTGTGCGCAGAGACGAGGTTGCCTGTGCACATTTGGCTGCTCTAAAGATGCCTTTAAACTCAGGTGGAAATCAATCTGGGCGAGTGCTTCATACTCTGAGCTCGACGAACGTCACAAGCATGCTCACTCGTAGCTGATGTTCTGGGGCAGGATCATCGGAGGTCTCGCAGCTGCAGAAGGGCCAAGAGATGACGAAGAGCCCCGCACTTCTTCCTCTTTCGTCCTCGTTTCGAATGCTGTCATGTTTCTCAGTCCGTGCCTGAGTGCGGTGCCTGCCATTGAAACCTTCAGGAGTTGTAGGATGGAGTTTTTGACGCTGCTCAAGATGCGGTGTCAAATGCCCCCGTTCTGGCCCCCTAGACTTCTTTCAATGATTTGCTATATGAGCAGCTTAGAGACGCTCGAATTTCGAAAACCGTTCGGTCCAATAGAGTTGATTCGAAGTTGATCGATTGATAATGACCAGTGTACAAAGTGTGTCGAATCGGAAAGTGTTGTGCTGCTGTTGATCAGAAGGTGATTTACCACGAAGCCTTCTTAACACCGGGCAATTCGTTCGCTAACGCCTTCATTCTGAACTGATACTGTTACCGCACAAATCAACGCAAGACACAAAAAACAAAGTCAGCCCCATCTTTCCCCTATTACCCCTTCCATACATGGACTGTATGATACTTACTCTACATAGCCCAAATTCAGAGATTACACCCCGTCCACGGCCAGTCTCTGTGCATCGATTTGAGACAGCCACTGGAATTGTCTTGTTGGGGAACTGGTTGAGTTGGAGTTGTGCCTGGTGACGAACTTTTTGTGGGAGGGTGGTGTTGCGTGCGATGTACTTGAAGGCTCGACGGACGAGTTCGTTGGATTGAACGGCTTGGCGGGTGGCCATGTCGCGGAAGACGCGGGCGTTTGGTCTGATTGGCATTGTAGTGTCCTTCCTTGCTGTCGAGGGTGTTGATGTTGGTATGATGGCGAGAAGGAGGAGGAGATTGAGGAAAGGGTGGAAAAGCGCATTTTCTTGTAGCATTGGCTGATTTTTCGGAGCCGCTCAAGAAAAAAATGTTATGTCGAGCAGAAAAAACAATAAACAAGATTTTTTGATGCCTCCACCCTGCGAGGAAGGGTCGGGACCCTGAGCTTCAAAAAGAAAAAAAAAAAAAAAAAAAAAAAAAAAAGAAAAAAAAGAAAAAGAAAAAGTGTTTCTTCTTGACTGGCTCGTGGATTCTCTCATTCGTACAACTATCATACCGACATCTTGGTTCCGCACAAACGGCGTCTGGCGGCTCACGAAACGGGAGACCGCATCAGAAGTATCACAGAAAGGAGGCGGCGAGCATGTGCTGAGCCTACTATCAACTGCAGCCAGGGTGCGGACAAGCACATGCTCAACGGGCATCCACTCTGCGCAGCACAACGAGTCAAGATGTCTTCCAGCACAACCGGCCCTCCGCACAAGAAGCGACGTTATGTCGACTCGAATCCCGTCAACGGCGCCCTCGGAAACGACGACTCATTCGGCACTCGATCTCTACCCGTAGCCACTCTTCCAGACGACTTCAGTGGAGATCCCCTGGACGGCGAACAGTACCTTGCTGTTGTCCGACGTGAAGCTTTGACTGCACCAGGCATTTTTTTCGCTGAGCACAACCCCTATGGCTCACCCACAGCTGAAGAAGCTTCGATCGAGACACCTCTGTCATCGACCACTTGGGTAACAGGCAGCAAAGAAGAAGAAGCTCTACTAATGCCCACTCTAGAATGGCGTTCAGCATTCGAACTGCAATTCAAGAATGCGCGCGAAGCACTCAGCAATCCACCCACATCCCCTGTTAAGCTTACCAAAGATGATCTCCCCAAAGTCGGCAACTTCTCTGCCTGGTATGCATGGATGCATGGCCGTCCACCGCCGCCCCTTTCGCCGGAGGAAGCAGAGAAGCAATCTCGGAAAGGACACACGTGGAAACTACGCGAGCCGTCAGCAGCACTCTTACTGCGACTTAGCACAGAACAGATACTGGGTTTGCTCGAGGCTTTTCCGTGCTGGCTTGCGCATCGAGTTGCTATCCCCGACTCGCAGCAAAGCAAAACAGGAGGGGAGAAAGGAGGAAGAGAGGTAGTGCAGCCTCTGCATGCACGATGGATGTTCGCTCTGCTCTTGCGGCTAGATGGCAGGTTGGTTAGTGAAGAGATCAGCACACTGCGCACCTTGGCAAGAGCATGTGTAGCAGCCATCACACTTGCGAGGATCAGAAGAAAAGCAGTTCGGTCACGAAACAAAGCGGATCAAACCGAACAGCAGCAAGAAGAGCAGCAGAGCATGAGAAGGAATGAAGCAGGAGCATGGATGATCGTCACCATAATTGCATCGGTTTGGGGTCAGTCGGATCTATGGGATGATGCTGCTGTTGATATGAAACGTGTCACCTAGCCTCGCACACTCTCCGAACCATCATGATACATGCTGCGGTAGATACCATCGATCTTCTCGATAAGCATTGTAAGATCTCGCCCGATGAGCACCACAGTCTGTATCGGGAGATCAAGTCTATTTCGAGTCTTGTGTCGTAAAAAAGCAACAATTACACGGCGGCAAAAGTTGAAGCCGAAACAATTCCAAAACAATTCCAAAACAATTCCAAAACAATTCCAAAATAATTCCGAAACAAATGCCAAGAAAAGCGGAGTCGTAACTTCCTCCGGCCTTTTCTTATTCGCAATTACAAAAAAAAGATGCCGATGTCAAGTTCAATTTGTATTGCAAGGCAGGAGGGACAAGGTTTAAGTTTTAAATTTGGTGTGAACCGTCGGCACGGTCGAATTCACATGCCATCATGCTTTCCTTTTCTTTTGTGCGACCCTTGGCATGCTCGCAACCACTCATGCCATCACTCGCACAAGCATCGCTTCATTAGTAACTCTTTGCCGACAAAGGCTTCGGCATCTTTAGCATACCGCCGTTCACGGGTACCCCTGAATCGTTGCCTTTCGCACTCGCTTTCATCTCCAAGAGCTCAATAAGCATCGATGATCTCGCTCAAACTCGACTCACGACCATCTCATACACACAACACCCTTAGCTTGCATCTACATTATCCGTCCCATCATGTCGTGCTGACGTTGATTTCACCATACGCTTTCCTACCATCAACTTTCCAGTGGTCAGCACCCACCACCACCACCATCACCACATCCACCACATCCACCGCCTTTGTCCAGCACGTTGTAATCACGACGACACAGCAAAGATGACAGAACCATCAATACAGCCTCCACCACCAACACTTGCACCTTCTGAAACCGCCCTTTCACAGGACACACTCCCACCATCATCCCAGTTCCCACTCCAACCACTCACACAAGGTGAGATCGAAGACATCCACCTCGTCGGCGGCGAAGACTCTCGTCAATGGTCGCATTCAAAGAAATGGGCCACCACCGTCATCATCTCGCTCATGGGATTCATCTCCCCGCTTGGCTCATCGATTCTGGTACCCGGCAATGCATTCGTCGATCACTCCTTTGGGCTCGCATCCCGCACACTCTCCCTCCTTCCCGTATCGCTTTTCGTGATGGGTCTAGGCGTCGGCCCATTCATCCTTGCCCCTTGCTCGGAAACCGTCGGTCGACAACCCGTCTACGTCATCACCTCTGCCCTCTTCATCGTGTTCAACCTGGCCTCTGCCTTCTCGCCCAACTTTATCGTCCTCAATGTCTTCCGCTTTTTCGCCGGAGTAGCGGGCAGTACTGGTCCAAGCTTAGGCGCAGGCAGCATCGGAGACATGTTTGCACCCAAAGAACGAGGTCGTGCACAATCCCTCTACGGTCTAGGACCCCTCATGGGTCCAGTACTAGGCTCTATCGTAGGCTGCTTCATTGCTGCCGGCACTCGCGATTGGAGATGGTTGCTCCACACACTCACTATCCTCTCAGCAGTAGTGTTTGTCATCATCGTCTTTTTCCTCAACGAAACCTACGCCCCCGTCCTCCTTCGCAAGAAGAGGGAACGCGCAGTAGGCCAACGTCTGCAGGAGATCAAACAGCAAGATCCAATCACAGCAACACTCATCATCCCTCCGGCAACCATCAAATCGCGTCTCACCAAGTTCGCACATAAGGCTCTACCGAGCAACGAGATACTGCACAGGTTGAAGATGGCTCAATCTCGACCTTTTCGTTTACTCTTTACGAATCCGATCTGTGCGATCTTTTCGTACTATCTTGGGTTTTGTTATGGGATCATCTATCTCTTTCTCACCCAGCATCCGTTACTGTTTCAGACTCGGGATGGGGAGCGGAATGCTCCACCGCCGAATGTCCTTCCTACCTATAATTGGGATTTGGGTATCTCAGGTCTTTCCTATTTGGGTTTGGGACTGGGCTTCTTGGTTGCGGCATTCACCAATGTCTTGCTGCAGGATGAGATCTATGCAAGGTTGGTGGAAGCAGATGGAAAGGTTGGATTGTGGTTATTGGCTCGTGATCCAACGACCATCGCCAGCCTTGTTCGACATAATGAAGCTGGGAAGCATGCAGAAGACGTCGAGAAGCACCACGAAGAAGCGCAAGTACCACAACGCAACTCCTCCGGCGCCAACTCTGCTCTTGGAAACAACACCCCCATTCACAACCCCGACGCTATCGCCCCGACCGCTAAACCCGCCATGGAACCCTCAAAACAAACCGCAACACCAGCACCACCGGCAAAGAAGGGCCGACCGGAATACCGCCTGCCCCTCTGCTTCGTAGGAATGCTAATCCTCCCCACTGGCCTCCTCACTTTCGGTTGGTCAGCAGCAAATCAAACTCACTGGATCGTCCCCCTGATTGCATCGTTCCTGGTTGGTTGTGCAACAATCCTTTGCTTTCAAACGATCCTTGTCTATCTTGTCGACGCCTTCGTGCCCTACTCGGCTTCAGCGACTGCATGCGCGGTGTTGATCAGATCGATTTTGGCCGCTGCTTTCCCACTGTGCGCCGAGTATATGTTTGAGGATCTTGGCTACGGTTGGTCGTGCACCTTGTTGGCTGCCATTGGATTGTTGGGGCTTCCGGTACCGTTGATTTTGTTCAGGTATGGTGAACCACTGAGGTTGCGGTACAAGTTCAAAGGCTAAGTTTGCGATGGAAAAAGGAAGCAAGAATAGGAACACTCTTGTACTTGTATCACTATGCATAGCATCTAATGGAATCCTCTCATCACTATAACAATCGCACATGATCAGATTGACAATGATAGTAGGGAGAGGTAATAATATCATCCATGAGAATATCATGTTGTATTTAGATTGCAGCACTGTCTACAACTTGGCCGCCAGCGGAGCAGCTCGGGCATGAACCTCCTTCTTCAACACCTTGCCCAGTACGTCACTCTGCTTATGCAACCCGCTTGCCAAGATCTTTGCTGGAATCGGTCTCAGCGCGGAAAGCAAGGCGACCAACACACTCAACAAGGCCAGACTACCCGCCTGATGAGCACTAGCTAACGGAATGGGTACCATGTAGATCAATGTCGTGATGCCCAACGTAACCTGTGCTGCGACGAGGGCTACACTCGCATTTGCTAGCTGCGACACTCGAGGAGGAAGTACTGGCATCATTTCTGCTATCCCTGTACCGCCGCTGGTTGCTTTGACAGCGGAAGAGTAGGCTCGGGAAAGACGACGAGTCTTGAAGGCCAGTGCAAGGACAGTGCAAGCGGTAGTGATGGCTAGGGTTCGGTGGATGAGTTGCACCGTAACTGGGTTCTGGGTAAGGTTGCGAATTACTTTGTCAGATCGATCTGAGCGCTGGGCGAAACGGTCGTCCATTAACTCGTCCATTGGGGGTGCGATTCGGCCTTCACCCATGGTGGGAAACTCGTTGTAGACCAATCCGGCATCCAAGCCTGCAACGAGTGCGCCGGACATGGCAGTGGTGAAGACTAGACCGGCAACGATTTTTGTCAACCTGGAATGAGATCGGAGCAAAGGGTGGTTGAGAGTGTTTGCCAACTGCTGCAGCGCAGCCTGCGATCTCGCCTTTACACCAGAAACCGACCCAGTTAGGGTGGCAGCTTTATAATCCCTCTGCACGGCCAAGCCAGTATGCAGCATGGCCAAATAAACAAGGAAAGCGGCACCCATATGCATCGCCAACCTGAAATGCGATACCCTCGGAGTCCAATCAGCCGCAGCAACACTAGTCTGTGCCGAACTAGTGGGAACACTCTTGACGCCTTCGCCACCTTCTACCTCTACCATCTTCTGCGTTGCACTCTTTTCTGGCGCACTCAAACCACTCTTGACCATAAACCAACCCAAGAAACCCTGGAAGCCAATACCTGCTGCAATGGCTAATAACTTCCACCTGGTCCCCACACCAACCCACTTTCGCGTTACAAAGTAGGCGGCGGGTAAGGTGAACGCAACACCGATAACTCGACCGAGCACTCGATGGCCCCATTCCCACATGTAAATACTCTTGAAGTCATCGAGAGACATGTTGGAGTTGAGGAGGGTGAATTCGGGTGTCTGCTTGTACTTGTCCCATTCGGCGATCCATTCTTCAGTTGTGGTGGGGAGACGCATGCCTTTGAAGCCTGGATTCCATTCGGTGATGGAGAGTCCGGATTCGGTGAGTCGGGTGAGACCACCGACTACGACGATGGCGTATACGAGGAAGGCGAGCGAGTAAAGATGCAGTGCGACGATGGGTTTGGATACGAGCGGTGTTGATGAGGTCTTGCTGCTGCTGCTGCTGGAGGAGTTGGTGGAGGAGGTTGATGCAGAGGTGGAGGAAGCGGATGAGTGTAGGTCGGCAGGGGAGATGGTTGCGGTTGATTGGAAGCGCTTGTTCGCCAGAGCCTTCCATACCGCTGTCCTATCCAGTGCTGAGGAGGGTCTCGGCGTCATCGACAACGGAGGCATCCCCAATCCAACCGATGTTGTCGTTCTGAGTGTTGAGAAAGCCGAACGCTGGACCATCGTCGGCGACAGGATCGAGACGGGGGCTGAAGCTGCGAGCCTCAACCCTAACCTGGGCATCATACGAGCGGCCATGTCGGCTCAAAAGATGAGCTGTGTGCTGGTCATATGACGTTTGAGATGTAGAATAGATTGGTGAAGACCAAGGGCACAAGTAGGTGAGCGTGAGTGTTATCAGAAGAAGCAAGTGGCATGCTGACATCCGCGGCTAAAAAGCTCGAATAACGGAAATGAGCGGAAAGGAAAGATTATCAAATACTGCTTTTTTCTTCTTTTTTTTTCTTTTTTTTTTCTTTTAATTGAAGATAACAATTAATACTCGGCGATATCGGGGTCACGATCAGACTCCCTTTACCACAGCTGTGTGTTCTATGTAATGCTTAGTTTTCATAGTGTGAAACTAAATGACAAACACATATATATACTCCATTCACTGCTCTGGTCCTATCCAAGACAGGATGTGTCACTTCATTCATACTCCTGTGTTGCTATGATACTGAGTGCCACTGTGCTGTCACCATGACAACAATCATGTACCTCATTGTGCTTCTCGCTTAAGTGAGCCTCCCGTGTCTCAGTGTCTTGGCCGTAACATGTGCATCTTGCTTGAGATGCTGACACATCTTCAACTCCCCCTTTCGGCGGGATCTCCAGCCCTATCATCCTAGCTAATCGTGAGGTGTTGAGACCCTGTAAAGGTTTTGTCAAGATGTCTGCAATGTTGTTTGCTGTTCTGATATGTTTGATTACCACATCACCCTCTTGCATGTGATCGCAGATGAAGTGATACCATGTGTCGATGTGCTTTAACTTCCAATGTTTGGCTGGATCCTTACTCACTTGCATGCACCCCTGGCTATCTGTGTATAGTATGGGCTGAACATTTGTGATCTCCAAATCCCAGAGCAGGTACGAAAAGAACAATGCTTCTCTCACTGCCTCAGAAGCGGTGACAAACTTGGCTTCAACTGCCGACAGTGCCACACACTTTTGAACATGAGACCTCCAGCTTACTGGACATCCATATACATATGTTATCGACCCTGAAGTACTCCTTCATCCATTTGTGGGGTCGGATGCCCAGTTTGCATCAGTATACGTTGTTACCAGTGTATCCAAGCACTTGTTTGTCTCCCCTCCTAAATGCAACTGGTATCCATTCATCTGGTTCAGATATTTTACCATGTGAATGGCTGCCTTCCATGCACTGTCGATCGGGATCAACATGTATTGTGACAATATGCCAATGGCAAAGGCAATATCTGGTCAGGCTGTGTTAGAGACCCATAATAGTTGGCCGACCAACTCTTGATATTTCTTTGCTTGCTGAGGATCACATCTCTCGCCTCCAGCGACATTCACTATGCTTAGCATGGGTACCCAAGATTTCTCGTTTGCTCCTCCTAACCATTTGCTCACCATTTCTTTGATGTATGCTGTTAGACCTAGAGATATCTTCCTCCATTTCCTATCATGTGTGATCTTGATACCCAGAAATTCTTTGATCCTTCTGTTGTCTTGTGTTTCCCATTTGTCCATGATCTCTTGCTTGGTGCAGTCTACTTCATCATGACTGGGTGATGTTATCAGCATGTCATCCACGTATGTTGTGATGATCATGATCTTGTCGCCTGTCCCTCTTGAGTATAGGCATGGTGTGCTCGGCATGCAATGAAAACCGATCATCCAGAGATGTGAGTCTAACTCAATGTTCCATTCTCGGCCCAATTGTTTCAGACCGTACAGTCCTTTCACTACCTTCAATGCTTTTCCAGGTGGTATCTTGATTCCTACTGGGGGCTTTAGATATACATCATGGTGTATAGTAGAGTTCAGGTATGCTTGCTTTATGTCAATAGAGTCTATTTCCCAATCTCGTATTGCTGCAACAGTGATCACCCCTCGAATAGATTGGATGGGCACTACTGGTGCGAAGACCTCTGTGTAGTCGATGCCCTCGCATTGAGTGAAACCTCATGCCAAAAGCCAGGCTTTGAACTTTGTTGGCATGAGGTTCACATCGGTTTTGATCTTGAGTACCCAACGTGTGTCGACAGTGTTTGCACCCTTCAGTAGGTTGATGATCTTCCACATGCCCATTGCTTCTAATCCATCCAGCTCCTTTTGCATGGCCTCCTCCCAGTGCTTTCTGTCTTCTCCACTTATTGCTTCATGTATGGTTGGGTCCAGGTTCTTTCTCCATTCCGGTCGCATCGCTATGAGTCCAAAGGATTTACTGTCAAACTGAGTTTCAGTGATTGATCCTTGTTCCATCACCTCCGCCATTCCTCTGCTTAATCTTTCTTCTGAATCTGTCTCCATATCCATGTATTCTTGTAGTGGCCTTTCATCTGTTTCGTCGAATATGTTTTCTTTGTTATATCCTAGGTCTTCAAAATCCTCTTCTGTCATCATCACTGGAGGTGCCTTTGTGTCGACTGGTCACCACTCCATTCTGTCTGACCAGCACTTTGATTCCATGAATTTTGCTGAATTGCTCCAGAACATGTTCGGATTATAGTCCGGACTGTAGAATAACCAGCCCTTTCTCTCTAGACTGTATCCCAAGAAAATGGATGCGATGGCTCGCTGGTCCAGTTTCTTGTTGTCCCGTTTGACTTTGGGTATGTTTACCCATGCCAGACAACCAAACACTCATAGGAGTCTTAAAGCTCACTCTGGCGACTTACTGAACATGGCTTGATAAGGGAACTCATTATCAACGCTCGGAGTGAGGTTGATTTTGAACACCACAGCTCTGATTGCATATGGCCAAAACCTCTTCGGCAGTCTCCTCTGCATCAGCAATGTTCTCATCTTCTCTCCAAGGGTCCTGTTCATTCTCTCCACCTGCCCATTTTGTTTGCTGTTGTACCCCATGGTGGTTTGCCACTCTATGCCCTTTTCTAATGACCACTCTAATGCATCGTTGCTTTTCCATTCAGTTCCTTGGTTGGAACAGATCACTTTTAGCTTCTGATCCATCTGTGTCTCCAGGAATGAAACAATCCTTTTGAGTTGCATGAATGCATGACTCTTTCGCACCAATGGCTGTGCATACACATACTTGCTATGATCGTCGATTAGCACCAGAGTGCACATATACTCCGTCACGTGGGATGAGTCTATTATTAGATCGATGTGGATGAGGTCCAGGGGCCCCACAGCTCTTTCGCCACTACCTTGCCCCATCCGGGCACTTGTGCTCTTGGATTGTACACATTGCTCACATGTCAGAGCAGTGTTTGGATCCAGATGCATGGTATGCTTATTCTTTAATTTACTCGTGATCGTCCTGGCTTTGTCTCTTCCTGGGTGTCCAAGGCGCTCATGCCATAGTTGTTCCTTTGAAACTTTTGGCTCATTCTTAATATGCTCGAACTCCTTGTCAACACCTTCAAACAGTGATGCTGACGTGACCATTGCACTTTCTTGCCATGTGTCGCCTCAGAACTCCAAAAGTCCTCGCTTGCGATTCTTTGCAATTTTAAGTGTCATGCTGTTTGTTAGAACAATCTGGCCGCCAGTTGCGTCCAATGTCACTCGTGCTCCTTCATCTGTTAATGAATTTGTTGACAGAAGGTTAACATTAAGATGCTTCACATATAGTACATTTTGGAGGGAGATTTCCCCATAGTCTGTTGATATGCTTGCATCTCCTATAGCTGCCGCTTCCAAAACCTCGCTTCCAGCAGTAATTATCCACTTTCGGCAAGTTCTCAGGTGGATGAGCATGCTATAGTTGTTTACCATGTGATAACTCGCCCCCGAATCCAAGATCCAATGAGCTGTTTCCTTGGTGTTCGGAGGGTCTTGTGAGAGGGTGAGGGAGCACCACACTTCCTATTTAGGTTTGGCAAGGGGGGAGTCTTTGGGGATAGTAACTGAAGCATCGCATTGACTAATGCCATGTCCCGGTCGCTTGCAGATCCAGCATTGGATTCGGCATGATCTTCCTGCATTCTTCAGGCTCGTGTGGCTATTGTCGGCTTTGGCTTTGGTCTCTCCGGTCCATTTGCTTTGATCATCATTGCCAGCAGTCTGAGCACTGGCTTGGCGGGGGTCGATCTTTTGCATGGGGATGCTCTTGACAGCGGTCTGTTGGATGCTTAGTGTGGTGGCGAGGGTGTTGAAATCGATTTGATGGACAGTGGCAACTGTCTCCTTATACACCGGATGCCAGATTGTGCATTTCTGCAGAGCCGAGAACAATGTATCATCGGTGAATGGTTTGCCGAGGAGGCTACTTTCAGTCTGTATGGACTGGATCTCTTGAATTAGCTTTCTGGCATCTGAGTGAAACATCTTTGTGTCATTGAGCTGCAAGATGAGCACAAGTCTGTGAGACGTCTTGGTGGCTTCATCCGTGAGACCATTTTCGATCTTTCTCCATACTTGGTTGAAAGTAAGGTACTCCTTGATTACATCTAGAACAAGGTAGTTTACATTGTATACTCTGGTAGTGTCGATTGTTCCACACAGGGCATTGATTAATGCATCATCGAGGGAGCAGCTCCATTTTGGGTGCTTCTTGTTGTATGTTCCCTCGAGATGTTTCATCGCATGGGGCATGGATTGGAGGAAAGATTTCACATGAGTGCTCTGTCATGGGCCTGGATGCTCAAGAAGCAGGAGGGTCACTGGTTCATATGGAAGGAGCACAGGTATCGAAGACCTAGTCAACACCAGTAGAGAGCATGGTCGTAGTGCAGTCTCCATGGAGACCATGGACTCCTATGGACTCACATGCAAAGGAGGGCCAAGCACAGCCACGAGGAGGACCAAGCTCAAGGAGCAGGCACAGCCACGAGGAGGACCAAGCTCAAGGAGCAGGCACAGCCACGAAGAGGACCAAGCTCAAGGAGCATGCAGATGGTTACCACTCAGGGGCTCGAGAGACAAGAGCCAAAGGAACTGTCTCTGATCAAAGGAGGAGGAGCAGTGTCGAAGGAGTCGACACCAGGTCATGAGGAGGAGGAGCTGTGTCGACCAAGAGGCACAGGGGTGCCAAGCAGGAGAGGCCCCTGAGCAGTACTCGATGAAGAAGGTACTCTATGGAGAGAGAGCAGGAGCAGCATCGCTGGCGATGCTGAGAAGAGGTATATAACCATGCTTTCTCATCATCATAGGTCGAGTGGATCCTCATCCACTCTACTCACCATACAACTAGTCAATACTTTAGAAACACAAGTACTCATTAGTTACAGTCAGCATAGCAGCAATCTATCAAGGTTGCTCCTCATCGTAGTGTGTGTGTTGTATCACCACTACCTGACGTCCGAAGGCGCCCATAGCAGGTTAGCGGTCCGGATATAGATAGAACCGAAGGCAGTAGTCCACTGCAGTCCGGGGATCACTTCAAGCATCAAGTCAACACACTGGACACTCGTGTTGACGCCACCAACCTTATCACCAACACCATCAACCTCATTATCACCGACATCACCAATCTCATCACTAACACCATCAACCTCATCATCATCAACACTCACACCAGACCTTGGTGTCATCATAACATTGATATTGATCGTGCCGAGCTACCCCTGAACGGAGTGTCCACAGAGGTCAGCCGAAACCTACGATAGTATATACAACGAACGCCACCTGCTGTCACTGCACAACTTGATAGTCACCGATACCGAGACAATAGCTGTCACACAGTTTGATAGTCACCGAGTATCTCGACAGACCGACCTGGGTTTCAGGCGCGAGACCCCTGACATGCTCCAGCTATAATAGCTGTGTGATGTGAGCTTTGGCACGGGTTCGAGGAGCTTTGCTAGGGTGTGGAAGTTATATCTCTTGTCATCGTTATCGAAGTCGGAGTCGGAATCAGTGTCTTCGTCAGCTTCATTGTCGATGGCCTCCAGCTCATTTTCGTTCGTGGCATCATTGTCAACCCAAACCTGGGTGTTCTTGCCTTTTCTGCTTCCTTTGATCCTCATTTCAGTGTCTTCTACCATTGTTGTCGATGAGTTTCGGTTAGCTTGGTGATAGCTTCTTCAGACTCTTAATCAATTGAAGATAACAATTAATACTCGGTGATATCAGGGTCACAATCAGACTCCCTTTACCACAGCCATGTGTTCTATGTAATGCTTAGTTTTCATAGTGTGAAACTAAATGACAAACACATATATATACTCCATTCGCTGCTCTGGTCCTATCTGAGACAGGATGTGTCACTTCATTCATACTCCTGTGTTGCTATGATACTGAGTGCCACTGTGCTGTCACCATGACAACAATCATGTACCTCATTGTGCTTCTCGCTTAAGTGAGCCTCCCGTGTCTCAGTGTCTCGGCCGTAACACGTGCATCTTGCTTGAGATGCCGACGCATCTTCAACTCTTTTGCTTTGCTCAACTGCACAGGCCGTCTTTCCTCATGGCCAGTAAAAACATGTGAGCTATAGTTCGATCTCACATCTTCGCCAACTTCGCTCACTCGGATACGCATTGTATTCGCATCGACTGTCGCGATAGATATCGGCATAGTTTCCCCGTTATGTTCCAGCCTTATCTTCCTTGTATCATACACACATACATAGAACGCTGGAGGAAATATATATATACACTCAAACCATCTTCTACTTAGTTGATGCTCACTATCGCAATCAATACTCGTGTTCAACGCTATCAATCGCACGCTCTTCCTCACAGCCAAAACCAAAAAGAGAAAAAAGAAAACGGAAATTGCAGGGGAAAGAGAGAAAGTCGCCGCGGGAAATACGATTGAGCAGCCGATAGAATGAATGGTGCGTGGCAATGTGGTAAGGACCCTTGGGTTGGAGATGGATTCTTTCCGAGCGTTGTCGATGGTGTCGAGTCAGTCTTGCACAGACTGAAATGCATGGCCAAGCCTCCTTCATTTTCCCAGGCTGGGCTGCATTCATGCTACCGGAACGAGCGACAGAATGTTGTGCGATGCTGAGGATATGCTGTTGATTGTTATGATGGATGATGGATGATGGTTGTGATGCAAGTGTTCTTCTAATCCCGCCAAAGTACGCCTGTTGACCGGCAAGATCACCTCCTACCACCACGACGCTTAGCCATCTCCTGCGCCTTCTTCTCCTCCTGCAGCCTCTGCTGCTTAATCACATTACCAATACCAGACAGACGCCTATCATCCTTCCTCAAGTAGTACAGCTTAGCCCTCCTTGTCCTCCTCAACTTACCCGACTTATCGTTCTTACCTGCCTCAGCCTTCTGAATCACCCTAACATCCTTCAGCAAGGGGGAATACAAGTTAAACCTCATTTCCACACCCAACTTCTGCACCAGGTTCCTCAGTACGAACGAAGTCGATACACCACGACGTCGTACCGCGATCAACACACCGGAAAAGGTGGAGAAGTTGGTCTTGAGCGGTGAAGTCCAAGATTCGACGATGAGTACAGAACCAGGAGGGATGCGCTCGGGCGATTTACGGTCGAAGAGTTTGGTGAGACGGTTGCCTGGGTCGTAACGTGCTCGGAGGTCGGAGTGGACACGGGGCATGACTGCGTCAAAGATCGTCCTAGGCTCGGGTGGTGGAGTAATGTCCTTTTTGGTCGAGACGAAAGCGGGGACCTCGGGGATCAATGCTGCTGATGAGAAGGGATATGATGCGGCTATATGATCACAAATGTAAGAAAGATGGAATTGTCAGTATCTTGCTGCTGCATTGCGCCTTTTTGATAGACAGATGAATGATCGGGTTCATTGATTTGTGGTAACCTACATCGCTGCGATTGGACTGATGAAGATGCTGCCGGAGCTTTCGAGCTAGCTCGTGTTGTAGAGAAGCATCGTGTCGACTTGGAGCTGGAAGCAACGGCGGAAGACGAAGAGGAGCCTGATCCGATTCGGAGCGACTGGAACAGCGATGTCAGCTGTTTTGTTGATTTTGTTGCTGACATGACGATGTTGAGACACTTGTGGTGTATGTTGGTGATGATGTTGGCAACGATGAGCGAGCCAAAGTGTCACAAACAGGCAATTGCCAAGTCGCAAGCTGAGCCTTTTCTTCTTGAAGCAGCAAAGTGAGTCGAGTTTATTCGTGCGAGAAAAAGTCGGTTCAGCGCCGGATCCGTTCTGGTTTCATTTGGCAGAGAAATCGGGCATTTCGCACCAGTCAAGCCAACCAAAGCGAAGCTTCTCCTACTGCAAAGGCGCTCTTTCTGCTCACTCGACCCTGGCCAACTAGGCTCACCTTTGAATGCTCTTCCCTCGTCCTTTCAACACTTGTTCACATCCACCTCATCATCGTTCCACTTTCGACTTGCACTTGGCAGCGACAACACCCATCGCAGCTATACTGTCGACTACTCTCATCTCATCGTCACCTACAACCACCCGCAACGCTGGCCCAGCATCTGCTGTTAGTTGCACATCCGCATTCAGCAACCCATCCTTGCTGCGGATCTGGTCGTCTCGCTTTCGACGTCAGCATCCATCATCACCTTGCGCACCAATTCCACGCACAACTTGGTCTTCCTCTCCAACCTCGCTTCGCACAGCGGCGAGCTAGACCTCGAAAATGGCGGCGAGAAAGTTGCAAACAGAGATCGACAAGACCTTGAAAAAGGTCGCAGAAGGTGTCGAGATCTTTGAGGACATGTACGAGCTCTTGCAACGATCAACAAATCAAACGCAAAAGGAAAAGATGGAGTCGGATCTCAAAACACAGATCAAAAAACTTCAACGCTTGAGAGATCAGATCAAGACCTGGCTTCAGAGCAACGACATCAAGGACAAGAAGCCATTGCTCGATAACCGCAAACTTATCGAGACACAGATGGAGAAGTTCAAGGCATGCGAAAAGGAAATGAAGACCAAAGCTTTCTCCAAAGAAGGTCTGATAGCTGCCGCAAAGATGAATCCCAAGGATCGCGAGAAGGCGGAAGTGACCGACTGGTTGTCTACTCAGGTGGACGAGCTTTCACGTCAGGTCGAAGCTGCGGAAGCAGAGATCGAGACCATCTCGGGATCCGGTAAGAAGAAGAAGGGTTCTGCAAAGGATGAACGAGCATCACAGCTGGAAGAGGCCAACGACCGAAGGAATTGGCATATCTCGCGAATCGAGATCCTCCTCAGAATGCTCGAGAATGGCAACCTCGAAACCGAGCGTGTGCAGGACATCAAGGAGGATATTGCATACTTTGTCGAGTCCAACATGGAGGAAGACTTTGAGGAGGATGAAGGTATCTACGACGATCTCAATCTCGATGATGGCGAGGAGGCGTTCGGTCTCAAGGAGAATGACGACATGCACAGCAATGTCGATTCCACAGCTGGTATGGATGATCTCAGTTTCCGCGATACACCGACCAAGCCAAGGAGAGACAGTCTTGCTGATACCAACGTCAGCAGTACCAGCGCGACAACCAACAGCACCACCAACAACGGCACTAGCAAGAAGGAAGAGCCGACGACAGCTGTCTCGCCAGTCTCATCCACTCCTGCGCCACCTGCGGCTGCTGCAGCCTCAACGCCATCTGCACCCTCGGTACCTTTGCCAGCGGCCAAGAAGACGACCAAGAAAGCATCGCAAGAGCCTGTTGCAGTTGCCAAAGAGAAGGCGGTACCTACTGCCAACTTTTCGCAAGCTAAAGCAGCTCCCGCATCGCAATCTGCCCTTCTTTCGCCACCCAAAGCATCCAGTGCCGCACCATTACCGCCGATCCGATATGCAGCGGCAGCAGCAGCAGCAGTGGCAGGCAACGCTTCTTGTTCTGCTGACACAGCTGCTTGGCCATCGACAAGTACAGCATCGATCGCCAATGACGCAACATCAGCAGAAAGCGCAAGCGCCGTGCCATCAGCAGTCGGAGCCACACTCACATCTGCAACACAGGCTTTGCCGTCAGGGACCGCATCAGCGGCGCCAGGCACTGTAGCCAAGTCGAATGTTGACGCAATCAAGAACGAGGCCGGTGGCAAGGCGAGATCAGCATCTCCAGCACCACCTGGCCTCACCAAGGTCGATTCAGCAGCAGCAACTTCGACATGGGCACCAGCACAAGATGACAGCACATCCGGCTTCGAGCCTGCACAGCTTGCCGCTTCTTCAGCCGCCGCAAGTGTTGTCCAACCGGCAGGTGGAGGAGCAGGTACAGCAGCTCAACAAGCAGCGGCGCAAAAGCAAGCCGGCACGGAAGCTCGTCTGCCCACCTCTCTCACCGATCTCGTATCTTCCTTCGAGTCTGCCAAGCAAAAATCGCTTCGTCGGGAGGCCAACTTGGGTCTGGTGCACAAATCGCTGGAATCATCCTTCATGAACGTCCCCTCGCCGCTAGACTGTGAGAAACCCAAGTACTACGTACCGAAAAACCCGTTCCGCACTGCAAGCTACTACCCTCAAACGCCGGCCAGCGTTTTCGACAACCCAGCGGTATACAGCAAGTTTGACGTGGACACGCTCTTCTACATCTTCTACTACCAACAGGGGACGTATCATCAGTATCTCGCAGCGAAGGAGTTGAAAAAGCAAAGCTGGAGGTTTCATAAGCAGTATTTGACTTGGTTCCAGAGGCATTCGGAGCCACAGGCGATTACGGATGAGTATGAGCAGGGGGTCTATGTGTACTTTGATTGGGAAGGCAGCTGGTGTCAGAGGAAGAAAAGCGATTTCAGGTTCGAGTATCGGTGGTTGGAGGATAACTGAAGGTCATTGGGGAGAAAGTTGTAAGTTGATGGTTCGCTCTTTGAATGACAGATGAAAATGTTCAAGATTGGATGGATGCGAGCGTCTATCTATGCTATGTCGTCGCTGTGCTAAGACCAAAGGGTAGGCAGCTACTATGAAGCAACAGCATCCATGCAAACACAAGAACGGTTGCCCCTGTTAGAGTCTGTCAAGAGAAGCGACGTTCCGGGTGTGAATATGCGAGAGCAAAAAAAGGGGTGCATGACATGAAGCGCTGTCGATCGTTCATTTTCATCACTGTGCGCTGATGTAATGCGCTGATGTGGTGCGCTGATGTGGTGACAGCGAGCGCCAAACGCCGCTGCCCCTTCATCCGCCTTGTCTCTCTTGCCTTATAGGGAGCTAGGGAGCGAAGGAGGGAAGAAGGGGGGGGGGGGGGGGGGGAAACCACTCCCAGCAAAGAAAGCATGAGGCAGGACAAGACGACATCGAAGGAAAGAGAGAGAAGCAATGCTATCCGATCCAGTGTTACCAGCTTAGACGGCGCCGTGTGTGGGTCTCAGTCGGCTTAGCCGAGAGTAAGTGCGCGGGAGGCACTAAAAAAGCCACCGCCACCGCCACCGCCACCGCCACCGCCACAGGAGCAAGAAGCGAGGGTGATGACGACTGGATCATTTGCTCTCTCGGCCCTTCCGTCCATCTCGGCATGAGCAGAAGGGCCGCTCGGATCGATGCGATGATACTGTAGGCAGTGCCGATGGATGACTGTGTTGGCGTGAGAAAGAGTTAGGCAAAGTAGACGCCAAAGCCAAAGAAATCCAAACTCAGCGCAGTATAGCAGTGTCTGGTGAATTTGTCTCTTGACACTCCTCCAATCCTTCTTCACACCACCATCCCATCCTGTCCGTAGTCTATACCCATCTCTCAACATTCCATCCCTCGTCGCTCCCTCTCTCGGACCAACATCATCTCCTCCTCCTGCTTTCGGTCGCGGTCTCTAGAATCTTTACAGTCTTGCTCGCCATCCCCTCGGAAGCAACCACCATTCCCCTTGGTAGATCGATCGACCCACAGCATCGCTCCTGTAATGCAGCTCACATCACACGAATGTCACTACGCTTTCTAACTCGTCGGCGTGATCGCTCCAACAGCACATCCAACTCACTCGACAGCAAACCATCCTCCTCCTCTCCTCTCCTCTCACCCCACGATCCATTTGCAAAAGGCAAATCAGCAGTGCCAGCCCAAGTTCAAATCATCAGTTGGCACCCTCGCGATCTCGAATCTTCCGGTCGTCAAGTTCATATTCGATCTAGAGCAGATGACACTTGCTCAGCTACACCTGTATACCATGCTTTTACTGCATCCTCTGTGCGCCGTGGTTCAGAGATCTTGACGCCGCCGCAAGCAAGCAGTACCAGCAGCCATAGTAGTCCTCGTCACGCCCCACGCCATGTGCAGCAGACAAGGGTTGAAGCTAGTGCTGCAACCAGCAGAGCTAGACTTACGTCTGCTTCTTCTCGCAGCTACGATGATCAGTGCAGCAAGCCTGACTCGCTGCACTTGAAGCACCCAGTTTCTAGGCTAGTAGCATCGACATTGCTGGACACGCCTCGTAGCGAACATGTCGAGCTGTTGCAGCCGAGTTGGCCTACGCCCGACAGGGATGCACAAGAACAACGTAGCTCGCTCATTCATAGCCATACTACGCCTCGACCTGCCGAGTCTCTCCCTCACCACACTAAGACCGCCGGCTACGATGATACCCTTACCGACACTGAGGACGCTTCAATATACTCTCGAATGCCTTCCAGCTCACGCTCACACTTTGCCTCAATCCACCCAAGCGCCTCTGTTGCGTCCCTAGCTAGCTTCCTCTCCTTAGGCGGTGGTTCAAAAGACACCCCAGCACCTGCATCAACAGAGTTGACCAAGACGGCTTCATCATCATCATCTAGCTTCAACAACACTTTGCTCTCGCGTACGCCTTCTACTCGTCGACTACGTCGCAGCACGAATGCCTCTTCGGCTGATATTCAAATCTCAGCTTCTTCCACCGAATCAGGTGCAGGGCCAAGTGTGGCGCCAGAGATGATTGCTTCACGATCACGCAGCTCTTCGCTCAGTTCTTTGACGCCAAAGTTCTTGCGGTCCAAGCAAGGTGCACAGGCGCCCTCAACTCCAAGCGGCAAAAGCAAACGTTCCAGAGGTGCGCCCCCTTCAGCCTGGCGATCAGACATTGCAAGCACAGCAACAGCAGACATGACAAGTGCCGATGCTGGTGGTGCTTCCTCAACCTACAGCTCCGACAACCAAGGCTCTTCTCACGGCCACGGACATCAACAGGAGCACACAAGTAGCAGCACACTCGGACACCTCCTCAGCAAAGTCGCAGTATCAGCCCATGTACGAAAGAGCAGTGCCGACGCAGCATCAGACCGCTTCTATCACCGCTCACCCGCACCCAACACCCACCGCCCTCTCACAGCAACAATAGGCACATCCTCCTCCCCCCTCCTAGCATCAAGCATCACAGCAGTAGACTCACCCATCATCTCCGGTCTCCCACTCCCAGATCCTACACCCGCATCCATCTCTCTTCTGGTTACAAGTCAGTTGTTCAAACGTCTAGGACCACCACCTGTTGGTTTGGAACCACATTGTTTCCACGAAAGGGTAGCACTGATTCAGGGTTACGTGCAGAGTCAAGTTCCTCCCCCGCCATGTCCTAAATCTCCTCCTCAGGGTGTCCAAAGGGCGAGTCTTCCTCCTCCGCCAAGGAAGAGGAGGGATGTAGCGGCGCTGGAGGATGAGTTTGATAAGTTGGAGTGTCTGGCCGAGGTTGAGATGGCCAAGTTCGCCTCGGCTGGAGGAGTAGGCTTGGAGGAGTTGAGATTGGAAGAAGCGTTTCTGGAAGCCAGAAGGAGGAGTGGCGTTGATTGGAGTAGGAGTCATTTCGAGCTAAGGTCTGCCGTTGGGGCTGGTAGTCCGAGAATGAGGGATGCAGTTCCTCCCGGCGTGAGCACGAGTGCAGGTTTAGGGCTCTTAACGCACAAAGATGTAAGTGGAGCAGAAGGAGGGTTGGGTGTCTCACTAAAGCCGGCACCCAGGACAAGAAGAAGGCCTGTAATCGTTGGTGCCGATGCGGAGGATGGGAAGGGTAAAAGGCCTACCACTGCTCCTGAAACAGAACAGGCCTGTATAGCAGCAAAGTCAAACTTCACCTCCCCTCGCAGGAGAGAAGAAGGAGCGGGGCAAAGAGAACTATTCACCCCACAATCATTCAGTTTTAAACCCCACCAACTCCACAATACTTCTATCGTGGACGAAGCTCGGTTGCATTCTCCCCTCTCTCCCCTCTCACAACTTTTGCCGCTTACCCAAAACCCGGCACCATCCAGCTACACCCCCACCTCAGGGTCCGGGAAGCAGAGAAGAGGTAGTAGCGATAGAGATAGTTCCTCGAGCCATACTCACCAGTCGAATTCCTCCGCGGCTACTTCGACCCAGTCACCGCTGTTTTGGAACCATCATCATGCGTTCAGGGGCGGAGGAAGGTTGAAGAAGGGAGGAGGGGAGATGGACGAAGGAACAGAGGAAGGAGAAGGGGATGAAACGGAAGATACGACTAGTTGCGAGAGTTTAAGTGATGCAACAAAGGTTGTCCAGCAGCAACAGGCGCTGGGAGATGGGGTTATTTGGTAGCCTCCATTTTTTCTGACTATTGCGAGGGTTTTTTTTTTTTTTTTTTTTTTTCTTTTTCTTCAACACTCGTGCTTGAAAGGCCTGCACTGTGTGTGTTCGTTGAGATGGATGAAAATCAGTGTCCGTCATGATTGGCTGTGCGTGAGAGCAAGTTGAGTTCGATGGGGGGATTGCAACACTTGTGCATGGGCATAAACAAAATAGGCATGTCCAGCATGCCTAACAAGCCATACCTTGCTTCACTTAGCAGAGTCAGAGTCAGAGTCAGAGTCAGAAGAGGAGGGGAGGCAAGATGAGATCTCGAATCTTAGCCAGAGTCATCACTACCTCTTCCTTTTCCTCAGCAGTGGCGGGAGAAGTAAGGGGGGTTTGAATGGTTGACTTCCAACCCAAGGTCCTAGCTAGCTGAAGAAGGAGATGCTCTTGGTGGTCGATCAGGTCTTCCCAATTCTCGTTTGTTTGCGGTTTCGATGCCTCCGTTGGTGCAGCTTGATCGTCTTGATGGTTCGAAATGGCGGTGTTGGCTTGCGGCATCTCTTCGTCCGGTTGCTCCAGATTGGATGATTGATCAGTTTGCATCTCCTCCTCCTCCTCCTCATCGTCACTCGAATTCAACGCCAGAACAGGGCTGTCGTCCATGGAAAGAGGTCTGAGCTTCGAAAGCTTCGCCATTTGAGGTTCAAGTTCGTGCAGCTCCCTCGCAATACCCACAGCTCGGGTCAGATGTAAGGGAGTCTTAGCCAGCACGCCTTTAATCTTGGCAATCGTGGTCCCGCGCACCTTGAACTCGACGTTGACCGGCGTAAGAAGAGCGCACATGATAGCCTCCTCCCCATCCTTGTCCCCGACATCGCTTGCGATCGCAGGCAAATCAACCAAGTTCGTGCTCACCTCCAACATCACCCCTCCTCCCCCCCCTCGCCTCTTGAAACAGCTGGAAAGGTACTCTATGACCCTCTTCACCTCGCCCACCCTCAAATCCTCCCATTTGCAATGCTCGTCATAAAACGGCGTAAAAATCCTCCCAAAAACCCGCTGGGCAGTATCTTGATCAAACCCACTATCCACAACTATACTCGCAAAACTAGCCTCTACTACATCCGCAACCGCCTTAGGCACCTGCACCATCCCTGCTTTTGTCCAATACTGTCCTTCACCCCCACCTTTTCGCAACACCTTCTCCAACCCCTTGCCGTATTTTGCAATGCTCTCCACAAGAACCGCACTGTTACTAGCAATAAACTTATGCAGTCCCAACTTAACCCCCAACGCACTCAGCGCGGCATTGCTGGCTAGTACGCCTTTGAGTGCCGTCATTTCTCCAGGATCCAACACCACCAAACCCCCACCTTCGGTGTAGATTCGGGAGACAATAAAAAAGTCTATCCAAGCATCTCCCAGAAATTCCAACCGCTGGTAGGAGGGCAGGATGGAAGCGAGCAAAGAGGGGTGGGTGAAAGATTCTAGTGCCAGATGCGGGTATCGGTATGTATGGGAGAAGAGCGATTGTAGGTGCCTTAGAGACGGAGGGTTGAGTCGGGAAGACCAGTTTCTTTCTACCGATTCGTGTTTGATTTCTTCCAAGAGCTTGTTGAAATCGCACAACCTTGAGATGGTAGATGGGATCAGGTGCAAAATTCGACATACGAAAAGCGCAGTAGACGTGGAGGAAGGAGAGGAAGGGGAGGAGGAAAAAGGGGAGGAGGAGGAAGGGGAGGAGGAGGAAGGGGAGAGGAGAGCAGCGCCGATGAGAGATTCTACTATATCGCTTAGAGTTTTTTCTTTCACTACATCCACCTGCCCGTCGTGATCCATGGATGGATCGTTTGTGAGTGCACCTCCTACATTGCAGATAACAGGAGCAGTAAACCGACGCGGCAAGAGATTACAGCTGGGTAGAATAGCATACTTTTCCAACCCTAATCGCTTTGCTTCTTTCAGAAGGCGAACATTGGTAACAATGCCTTTGTTAGCCATGTGTAGCTCTGCCTCTGTTCGACCGAGGTGGGTTGTGAAGGTGTGACATGTAGCGATGAGTTTTAGGAAGGTGTCTCCGAGAAACTCTAGTCGTTCATAATCGAACGCAGAGCCGGCGGAGGGGGAGGTGAGGGCTTCGAGGACTTTATCGTTGTCCAATCTCCCCTCGAGGAGATCATTATTGCACGCTTGAGCCAAAAGAAGTTGGTCATACCGAGTAAAGATGGAGGGTAGGAGAAGGATCGAGCGGAGAAGAGTGGAAGGGAGCGGATGAAGTGCGTAAAAGTACGGCACGATCAACCTTGCGCCCTGCGTCGTAGCAGGAGTGGCGGAGAAAGAAATCGAGGGGGGAGGAGAGAGAAGATTGCTGATCTTGGGCAACTTCCGAACACTCAGCAAGGGTTGATTCGCGAGTTGAGCAGCTAGCACTTCCACCTCGTGCTCGTCGGCCGATGCTTGGTGACGAGCGTACATCTTCATATGCTGGGTTAGATATGTTTCCCCCGCTGCACCAGACGAGAGTGGCGAGTTGGGGCAGAGATCCGATCGAATGCTCTCAAACTGGTAAAGCGAGTGCGAGTGATAGCCGTGCTGCTTAACCAGAGTTCTACCCTTCAGCTTCTGCTCCGATCCCTCCGCGTTCAGATCTAGTTGAGTGAGATCCAGCGATGGGGGAAAATCCAATGCTACATCACCCACACTTTGCACCTCCTCAGCAGCAATGCGAACGGGAAGAACGAGTACCGTCGGCTGCCCCTTCTCAATCGTCTGCCAACTCAACCTCTTCCCTTTTGGCGAATGCCCATCTTTCCGGCTGATAAGCTTGAAGACGAATTTCGTGAACTCTACCACCTTTCCTATGAGCTCCGAATCAAGCTCGGGAGCAATCCGGAGAGGTTTGGGATGCAGATCCTTCATCTGGCCCGAACCCGCATGGAGCAGCTTCAAGAGCTTCGTCTCGGGTAAAGGACCGCGGGTTAGCAGCAATAGTGGCTCATATCCCTCGTCGAATTTATCCAGTTGCAATAACGTTGCGCACCACCCCTGTCCCATAGCGTGGTGGTGGGAGGAGGCGAAGCGCGCCCAACCGTCCAGCTTCTTACTCGGCACATTGATCGGTTTTCCGCTTCCCCGCCAAGCCTGATGATGAGCGTTAACCAATCCCACTACACCATCCTTAGCCTTTTTGAGTCGAGGAACGAGCTTGGGCATCAACCATTCATCCAGTTCTCCCAAAGCTCGGAGTTGTTGGCATGCGCGGAAAGCAGCCATTCGTTTAGCCGCTTTCTTGCTCCTACACCCATCAGACTCTACACTCCTTACCGCCGCGGTAGAGGGTAGCTCGAGTACAGCTTTGTAACTCGGAAGACCATCTACTTTTTCGATGCGGTAAGCAAGAACCGCATCCTTAAGATACTCGGAATGCAGGCTGGCAGCATAGTGAGAGACAAGCGTGGGTGCGTCTTCCGGGAACAAACGTGCGCCTGTGGTTGGTTCGAACATACACTTTTCCTCCTCTCCCCCCTCCACCCCAACTCCCTCCTGGCTATCGGTGTCGATGCGAAGTTTTTGCTGCCAATCCTCACCCCAATCCGGCATAGCGAGATGCGGTTCAGCAATTCCATCCAACCACTTTGCTCTATTAGCCTCGGTTTTAAACGCATTCAGAATGGTCCCGGCGTGCTCCTGATTCCCTTTCTCAGCCATCAAAATGAACCTACTCTCCTTCGCTCTCGCCCTCCCTCTCGACTGCAGGAAGGAAATATGCCGATTAAACAGATCAAACCGGATGACGAGGTTGGCAGCCTGAATATCCAACCCTTCTTCGGCGATAGATGTCGCTATGAGTAAATTCGTCGGTTTCCTCCTCCTAAACCTGTTCAGCACTTGAACTTGATCATGCCAGTCCATGCCCGGAGCACCACCGTTTGCAGCGCCATTGTCGTGTCCTAGCAAGAACTCGGGATGGATGAATTCGAGACCGGGGATGCGCTTGACGAGCTCGACAAGAAGTGTGGCTGTTTGACGGCGCTCGACGAAGATGATACCGCAAAAGGAGGACTTGCTGGGTTCAAAGCAGTGGAGTAGCTCGATTAGGCGGAGAAGTTTCGGGGAGGAATTGGTGGCGTTGAGGCCGAGTGTGTCAGGGATGCAAGGTTGGGATCGCATATGGAGGAGGATACGAGAATTTAGGTCGGAGTTGGTGGAGAGATGGGCTACTGTTAGGCCCAGTCCGAAGCCAGGTTGAGTGGTGGTGGTGATGGTGGTGGTGGTGGTTTGGGAGTTCGGCGGGCCTTGACTGTCAGAGGGAGCTACACTGGAAGAGCGATGGGTGGAAGCAGCTTCGACTATCCATTCATCACTAACAAGCGTCCTCTGATTACGATCGATATTGGCCCACTTCCTCGCACGGGATCGATACTCGAGAAGAGTGCTATGCCAGAAAAAGTCGCATCCTATAGGACCGAGATGTCGCATCGTATACTCTAGCTTTGGTCTCACTTCTTTCTCGAATGCCTCTGTCAGCGGATCCACCTCCTCCTCCTCATCGTCTAGGCAAATTTCGAGATCGACCTTCTTGCTGAACAACTCAATCATCTCCATACTCAGCTCCGAATACTTGACCGCATCTGCATTCCACGGTTCATCAACCACAGTAAGATAGGGCTCAAACTCAACCACCATTTCCTCTGGTCGCCTCTTCACCTCCTCCAATTCCCTCAACGCTCCCCTACTGACAGTGTGAATCCTAGCATCCATCGCCCGTTGCAAATACTGGCTCGCTTCATCAAATCTCCCTGACCCCGTAAAAATGGGACTAGCCGTCATGCCAAAGATCTTTGGCCGCTCTTCCTCCTTGGCCAGCCTATAATACTTCATGATGCGGAAGAAGGGGTGGTTTTTGAGGGCATGATGAACTTCATCGAAAATGAGAAGGTTGAGATCGGACATCTTGATAAAACCGTGAATTAAAGCATCGAGGAAGCATTGTGCGGTTGAAACGATCACTTGGTGCGATGCGAGCAGGGCGGACCATTGCGGAGAACGCCAATCGTCGACAGCAAGTTGGGAGGATTTGCTGCGGAGAGAATCTTTGAGTTCGCCATAGAGCTTACCGACCGAGAGGCGGGAGTTACCGGCGATGACGGATGATTGTTGGTGAACTAGAGGGACTAGGTTTACGAGGAAGAAGGCGACTTTGCGCTGCGGAGCGGGTGAGGAGAAAGGTTGAGCCCCCGAAGACGGAGCCAGAGATGGAGTAGGAGGAGGAGAAGAGTGTTGGTGAACATACTGCAAAAGCAGAACAGAGATGAGGGTCTTTCCGCTTCCTGTATCTAGACAGACCAGAACGTTTCCCGCTTTTGCTAACTCAGCGAGCTCGAGTTGGTAAGAGCGGGGTACGGTGGCGAGCTGATCGGAGCGGAGTTGATCGGAAGGGTCGACGGAGGTTTGAGCGGAGATGCGAGCTATGATCTTCTGGCGTCTGCGCGAGGCGGATTCTTCGGTGTCGTCGTCATCGCTGTCTACGAGGGGTGGAATTGGGAGGTCGTTGGATGACGAGGAGGACGAAGTTGCAATGTAACCCGATCGAGGGATACGGGGGCCATGTGGAAGAGAGTCAGCTCGTGTACGCTTGGACATGGAGTCGGAGACCTTGAGGGAAGAGAGTGGTGATGCCAGTTGTGCTGGTGCGGAAGAAGGGGGAGGACGGGGACCTTGCTCGATAAAGGGAGGTGCTGAAGAGGATGAGGAGGAAGCGGGCTGCAGAGTTGGGCTATATGTATCATCCGCATCGACAGAGGTAAGCCTTCTCTGCTCGTCCCTGCTCCCATGCGAGAGCATACCGAAGACAATTTTGCCCAGCTCGCGAGATGTATGAGGAGATTTCAAGTGGGGGTTTTCTTGCCGTGCAAGCCTCATGAGCCTGGTCGCGAGTGAACGTCGAAGAATGAAGGTTCCGGCTTTATGTCGGTGGTGGTTGGAAGCCTTTTTACATGATGGAACGGAGAGAGCAAGGTTCTGACGCTCCGCTGAGCCAGGACAGATTACGATGAGTTGCCGATCGCTTTCATCTGCTTCGGCGTGTTCGAGAGTCGTCTTCCATGCGCTTCACAACGCACAAAGGGGACAATGACAAGCTCTGTGACACCACCACCTCCTGCACCAACCTTGTCAACCGCTTCAGGGAAGGGTCCAACACAACTTCTTCTTCTGCGCAACCCAATCCTCACCCGATTTCCGATTTCCTATTTCCGATTTCCGATTTCCGATCATTCTATTCCCAGAATTTCACGTGACCTCCCTCTTCACCCATCATCCACTCATTTCCTTCACAACCACCACCGATTCCCCTCTATCTTTCCCCACCTCACAGCATCTCAGTGCTGTATCAGTGAAAATGTACAACGGTATCGGGCTAAAAACAGTCCGCGGTACAGGCACGAACGGCTACATCCAACGCAATCTCTCCAACTTTCGACCTCGAGATAACCCTTTCAATAAATCCTCCTCCTCCCGCCACTCGTCTTCTTCGGAGACACGCCATGTTCAGCCAGACGCTGCAATCCTAGAACACGAACGAAAGCGAAAGGTGGAAGTAAAATGTATGGAACTCCGAGTCCAGTTAGAGGATGATGATGTGGAAGAAGATGAGATTGAAAGTCAGGTTAGTGCGCTGAGGGAGAAACTTATGGCAGAATTAGAAAGGGAGAAGGAACCAAGTGTCGAAGTAGGACCGAGTAGAGAGGAGAGAGGAAAGTTGAGACAAGGAGAGACGCATAAGCTACTCCAAGCTAAACAAGCAGATGATCGCCGGTTAGCATCCGCTTTAGGTATGGAAAGTGGGTACAGAGAGGGGGATGCCTTTGATCGAGAGTTGCAGGAGAGAAAGAAACAGGAGAGGCTCGAAGAGAGGAGAAAAGCTGATGAACAGAGGAAACTCGATTGGGAGAGAAAGAAGAGGGAGAGGGAAGACGAGAAGAGGGCGAGGGAAAGGAGAGATGGTGGCTGGGGCGGTCGAGGTTCACAAAGATCCCCTTCCCCGAGACCGAAGAAGAGAGGGAAGTATGATAGTGAGAGTGATAGTGAGGAGTATTCCACTGATGATTCTCGTAGGGAACGTAAAGGAAAGGATGTTGGGAGGCGGAGGAAAAGGACTAGATCGCCGAGCTTTTCGGATTCGAGATCTATTTCGTCTCGTTCGAGGTCGAGGTCGAGATCGCCTGTCAGGAGACGAAGTAGACGGTCTCCTTTGCGATCGATATATAAAACGAGGTCAAGGTCGAGGTCGAGGTCGAGTGAGAGCGGTTCGTACTCATCTCGCAGTCGCAGTCGCAGTCGCACCCCTCCACGACGCCGTGTACGAAGCAGAAGCATCAGCAGCCGAAGTCGCAGCAGGAGTGCAAGCTACTCTTCCAAAAGTCCAAGCCCAAGCCCAAGCCCAAGCCTAAGCCCAAGCCTAAGCCCAAGTAGGAGTAGATCTCCGCCACGCAAAACCAGAGGCAGATCACGATCTATTACACCCCTTTCTCCTTCCTCCCGCTCCGACTCTCTCTCAGTATCTCGTTCAAGATCTAGATCGCCAGTGCGCAGAAGGCGCAGACCGAGTGTTAGTTCTGGGTCTGGATCTAGATCAAGATCGATTGATTCAAGGTCAAGGTCGAGGTCTGTTGATTCACGATCAGCCACACCACCTCCTCGGGGAGGTCCGAAAAGAGCGAGAGTCAGAGATGCGTTCTCTCCCTCCCCCTCCCCCTCCCCCTCCCCCTCACGCTCACGCTCACGCTCACTCTCCCGCTCAAGCTCAAGATCAAGATCAAGATCGAGGTCCATCTCTGCAGTCAGACGAAAGCCACCTGGACCTCCGCCTGCACGCCCTCCCGGCCTCTAACCCAACCCGACGGCGTTCTTTTCTCAATTCTGCATCCACTTCTCACTCAGGAGCAATGCAACGCTTTCCAAACATCAAAAGCAGAGAATGAGAATGTGTTTGTAAGAGATGTATTTCCAACTCTCCTAAAATGCGTGAAAGAAGATATTCCTACTGATGATGTTGTTGCTGCTGCTGCTGTTGATGGTGTTGAGGATACTGGTTTTGATGCGACTGATACAGAGCCGAGGAGGAAGAGTAAGTTGGTGTTATTCCACCTGCATATCCACCCTGCTGTAGCGGTTGAGGTGGGGGTTGGGAGTACTGTCCTCCATATCCACCTGCATTTGCGCTTTGCGGTGGAGATGTGTACTGCTGTTGAGGTTGTTGGCTGTACTGATACTGCTGTGGTTGAGGATAAGGAGATGGTGAAGAGCCGTAGAAGCTATGCAAGCCAGGCATTTGTTGTTGAGGAATAGGTGGTAAAGGTGAAGGACTTGTACCCGGCACCCAATCTGATCCCTGCTGCTGTTGAGGAGGTGGTGAGTAAACATATCCGCTTGACATGGAGCAAGACATTGTTCCGTGTTCGTTTGTGCTCCCTGCGTACGCCGGCTGTTGTTGGGGTGGTGGAGGAGCGGACCAACTTGCCTGGGAGTAGTTCTGGCTGAGAGAGTGCGAGTGTGAAAGTTGGGTCGGGGGCAGAGAGGGTTGCTGGAGTGGTTGATAGAGGTGTGATGGATAAGGAGCAGATGCCGGTGAAGTGGAAGATTGTGTTGATGGTAGTGGTCGCGGTACATGTTGTTGCTGCTGCGGTGGCAGAGGAGGGGGCTGAGCATAAGGACTAGGAATCGGCGTATACCCAGAGGATGGTGCACCAGGAGAGGATGATCGTGGAGGAATCGATGGCAGCGGTTGTGGCTGCTGCTGGTGGTAATACGACTGAGCATTGACAACAGAAGGTGTAGGTGCTGGGCTACTTGCAGGCCTGGCAGCTGGTGAGAGAGGGCGTTGCATTTCATGCGCTGGCGCAGGAGGAGGAGTGTAAAGCGAAGCCAAGTGTGCCGGTGCTTGATAGATGTGTGATTGTGGCGGACGCTCGTCGACATGTGAAGGCGTTGGTGGAGGCAGAGGCTTGTCCATTGTTACGGTGGAGGAAGAGGTGGAGTGACCGAAGCCCATCTGCGACATGGAATGGACGAGTTGATCGGGGCCAAAGTCTGGTTGAGGCATCTGAGTGTAAGCTACGGGAATGTGAGAAACAGAGTGGGAGCGCGGGATGACGTATGTATGGTGCTGCTGTGGTTGCGGCGGCGGTATGACAGAGCCAGGTCGGATGGTAGCATATCGATCATCACTGCTTTCGGGTGCGTGGTTGTTCTGGAGGTAATGACTGCTCTGCGAGGGTGTGATCGAGTGTTGCGAGTAGTATTTGGCAGAAGGAGTGATGCTATGACCGAACTCGGAGGTCATGGGGGCTGCATAGCTGTTTCGACGAGAGCTCCCTGCAGCAGTAGGACCGAGGGAAGATGAGTGAGAAGGGGCAGCAGAGTGATACGCTGACGAAGAGTGCGGTGGAGGCACAGGGCTGGTGGAGCGTGAGATGCTGGCGGGTGCATAGGCAGGCGTGTAGGCATCCAAGTTGGCAAGGGATGAGCTGGGTCGAAGGGTACCGGCGCCTAGGTCGTGCATGGTCTGGGAATGCGACATGGACCCAGCGGGCCTGTGCAGGGAAGAGGAGAGGCTCGAAGTAGAAATGCTGCTGGACATGCGATTGTGGGTGTTGTTGGAGCCGGCAGCAGCAGCACCAGGCCGCATCGAAGCAGGGATGGGAGGTGCAGCGGGACCGCGTGATCCAGTGTTGGAGGCATTGCTGTCACCTGCGTCTTCTATCCTTTGGAACGTTCCTGCACCTCCGTACGTATCGCTGCCTGACAGGAGAGGCTTGATGGATGCTTTACGCTGTTTAGGCGGAGCTGCAGACGAGTAGAATGTCAACTCGAGATAGACCTCTCCGGCATAGCGGTCCTTGGCCTTGATAGTGACCCACTCATCGAACTCGCCGGTCTTGAGCGTTTCTGTGAGATCGACCAAGCCTTCGCCGATGAAGTCGGGCTCCTTGCTGTCATCGGCATAGCAAGTCACTTTGAGCACCTTCTTCCCGCCTTTCGGCTTGGGAAGGGCTGATGAGGAGGTAGCTTTCGATCCGGAGCCGGTTGAATTGGTAGAGTCCTTGGCTAGCGCATCCTCCATATCTTCGTAGATTTCAAAGTGCAGCTGTTCGTCCCAAGTGGGATGCTGACCACCTCGTTTGTCGGGCTTTGTCTTTTGCTGTTCCTGACCCATGCTGAGAACGGTGTAGGGATCCTGCTTGCCGATGGACTTTTTGTTGGGCAAGTTGCGCGCCTTGAGGACGACGCAAACGAGCGTGCCCGTGTGGACGGGCTCTGCGAGGGCAGGCATTTTGGGCAAGTCTAGCGGAGGAAGAAATGGAGCAGAGCGAGCAAAATCGACCAGAGGTACCTAAAGAGACTAAAGAAGAGGTTCACAACGCCATGCGGATCCGGAAGCAGAAGTAGTAAAAAGGAAAGAGATGTCCTGTTCGATCGAGCCCGGTGCTGTGTCGTGATGATGTTGGTGCCAGTGGTGGTTGGTGGTAGTTGGTGGTGGTTGGTAGTGGTGGTGGACAGGATGATGGAGGTGGACAGGATGATGGAAGAGTGTGAACGAGTGAGGAGGAGAAAGTGGTGATCCCAACACAACTGCCGACGAGAGAGACAGAGAGAGGAAGCACAGCCTGCTTTTCCACTTTTTCCTCGGCTACCAGTATCTCCTCGGAACAGGGGCAATCTCGTGCTCACAATTCATCACAGAAGCATCATCGATCCAACCAGCGTGTTGTAAGCTGCAGAGTCTCGAGTTCTCTCCATCCTTGGCATCCTATTGGTTGCTCGATGTCAAGTGTTGATTGCTATTCGCGTGGCCAGTGCTTGCTGTTGGTCGCTGTGTTAGGCGCGCTCTGTTGTGCGTTTCGCTTTGACTTGGCCTCTTTCTTCCACACAGCCAAGGCAAGAGGACTGCCCCTTGATCCAACAAGACAAAGTCCTCCTAACAGCGGCCAAGGCGGAAAGAGAGAGACACAGAGAAAGAGCTGTTGCCCATCCATGCCCCATCTATGGAGCATTGCTTGCTAAGGAAGGTGCTGATAGAACAGACTCTTGTTCTTACATTCAACACCACGGACCATAAGACAGCTGACGTAGAGAGTAGGAAGGGAGCAGTTGCATGCTGTTGCGAAATTAGAGATACAATATCAAGTTACAGGATGTCGGGTCTAGATGCGAGGGTACAAGTAGAGGATGCTGTCGAATTCTACGGAGAGATGGACGGAAAGATGGACGGAAAGATGGACGGAAAGATGGACGGAAAGATGGTGGCCAGTGCAGAGGTAGAGACGCTGGTTGTACGCTTAGCATGTTGAAGATGCATTCCGATCCTTGTACGATGCAGCAGTGGCAGCACTACCACAGCTCTGTTCGATCTCCTGCTCTTCACGTTCGAGCCTACGCATGGTGGCCATGAGGATCCGCTGACGTCGCTCTTCGGCTGTGACAGCATCGCGACTAGCACTCTTGGTTGAGCCTCCGAGTCGGTGACCGCCACTGCTGATCCCAGAGGAGAGTGCCGGAGCAGATGGCTCATACACATCACCCTCTACCAGCCTGTGCGATCGATCCTGCTGTGCTTTCTGGAAGGCCTCAATTTGAGCATTGAGCTCGCTGTTGAGCATCTTGAACTCGGGTGGATGATGGGTAACCTTGTTGTGCGCCAACTCGTGTACGAGAACACGTCGTGTAGTCTTGTAGTCTCGGAATCCTTCCGCGTCGTCAGTTCGAATGCGGAGCAAGATACGTTGGCCTGCATTCTCGTTCAAGCCAAGCAAATTTGGATGCTCCCAGGGCAGAAGCTCGGTGAGTGCGCCGACGCGGAAGTTGTGCAGAGAGCAAATGTGCAAGATGCCAGGGTCTCGGCTTAGCCTTGTTAGGTAGTCGATGATCTTGGCGTGCAATGGTGAGGACTCGGATGTCATGGGGTGAGCGTAGATCTTGCCAAAAGGTGAAAAGCTAGAAGCAGGCTGCGTGGTGTTGCGAGCTTTGGCACCTCGAAGCATGCTTGGATGGTACTGACGAGGAGCATTGCGCTTCTGCATCTCGGACTCGCTTTGATACAGTTGTTCAAGCTCATGCGACGAGGGCCCTAGCACGCTGAGCTTAGTCTCAGGCTTGCTAGCCAGGCCTACGTCGGCAAGCGTTCTTTGATCCATCTTGATGTCTCCATCGTGGCGACGGTTGAGGTCAGCTATGCCAGCACTTGTTGGAACTAGCAGCTTTTGCTTGTCAGCAGGTACAAAGGTAAGCTCTTCGACGGCTTTACGGAGCTCTGATAGTGTGCTGGAGGAGGTAAGAGACTCGATCTTGTGCTCCTGCTTGCGATGAACGATGATGATCTCGAAGGAGTCTGTCATAGTGATAGCTCCAGATAACGGGGCGATGGAATCAATGTGTGATTGGGTTGGTTATTAGGCCTATGCTTATGATTGTTCAATCCATATATCAGCAGTGTTCGTCGTTCCATGAGGTCTTCAAGATGGTGGTGAAAGTGAAAGTTCCAAGGTAAGAAGCGCAGCCTGAGAAAGAGCTTCGTCAGTTGGCCCTCTGCATTTTCCGAATTGCCGAAAGCCGAAATTTCAGGTCGAGGTTTTGCTGCGCCAAAAAAAAAAATTAGTGAAAGTATGTGACTTTTAGTTCGATCTCACACTGACGCCAACTTGGCTCACTCGGATATATAGGATATTGACCCGGATCGACTATCGGGACTGGCATCGGCATTCCGGTGAAGAGATAGCCGACATAGTTGCCCCGCTAACCCCAAGTACGGAATGTGAGATCGGAGGAGAAGTGACATAGTTTTAGTAGATCAACAGAGGCGCTTTCCGGTCACTCGGCTTCTCATTGTCGGTCTGCTTCTGCCGCATTTGTTTGTGTAACACAGGGATGGGGTCGACCGAATAGATGGCCCTTCTGTCCCATGCCGTGATCAAGGAGAGCAGGAGCAGCTTTGGTTTGGCCTGCGCATGGTCCAACTTGTGCTCCGTGCATCCAAGTTGGATTGAACCCCACAAAATGGAAGCACTCTGCTTTCGGTGCTTGCTTGTTTGCCCGAGTCTCCTGGTGCTCTTCTGCCTTGCTGACCCTTGAGAAAGACGCTCTCTTCTAGCTCAGCTCTCTGTTCTGCGTGGACACAAGCTTTGCCTCTGTCTCTCTGTCTGGCCTGTCCGCTTTCTTGACTTTCCGGTCCAGCATCCGACCCTTTCGACCGGACCATATCCGGTGACCCATCCTCCTCCTCCTCCCCATACAAGTACTCCCCCATACAAGTACTCCCCCATACAAGTACTCGCCCATACAAGTACTCGCCCATACAAGTACTCGCCCATACAAGTACTTGGCTCACACTTCCCCGTTTTTGTTTTTGTTTTTCTCTTGCCTTCATCACACTCTTTCCTCCGTGCGGCTTCCTCTTATCACCTTTCCAGCTCCTTACCAGAAGGCAGTTCTCCCTTCGAAAATGTCGACAGTCCTTGCCGCTAGCCTCGGTGGCGACGAGCTCATCAAGAAGTACATCGGTGCTGCTACTTGGAACTTGATCGAGGACAAGTTCACGCCTTTCGGCAAGGAGACTCTCGTCAAGGTCATCCGTTTCGTCATTGACGAATGTATCCCTGCAGAGCGTCTCTACCATGCTCAGGTCTCCACCGACCCGGCTCTGCGATGGAAGATCGTCCCCGAAGTCGTCGAGCAGCTAAAGAAGAAGGCCAAGGCTCAGGGTCTCTGGAACCTTTTCCTTTCTGGCAAGCACTACCCTGGTGTCGGCTCTCCTTTGAGCAACTTGGAATACGCCGTTATTGCCGAAATGACCGGTCGATGCTCTCACTTCGCCTCCGAGTCGCTCAACTGTGCTGCCCCTGACACTGGTAACATGGAGGTCTTCGCCAAGTACGGTAACCAGCAGCAGAAGGACACATGGCTTACTCCTTTGCTCAACGGTGAGATCCGTTCTGCTTTCGCCATGACTGAGCGTTTCATCGCTTCCTCGGACGCCACCAACATCCGCACTTCGATCCGTCAGGAGGGCAAGGAGATTGTCATCAACGGGCACAAGTGGTGGATCTCGGGTGCTGGCGACCCTCGTTGCGCCGTTCACCTCGTTATGGGCAAGTCTGACCCGGAAAACAGCAACTCGCACGCACAGCAGTCTCTGGTCATCGTCCCAGCAAATGCTCCCGGTGTCAAGGTCATCCGACCCATGCAAGTCTTCGGTTACGATGACGCACCCGAGGGTCACTGCGAGATCATCTACGAGAATGTCCGTGTACCGCTTACCAACCTCGTCCTCGGTTGGGGTCGTGGTTTCGAAATCATCCAGGGTCGTCTTGGACCTGGTCGTATCCACCACTGCATGCGCACCATTGGTACTGCCGAACGCGCTCTCGACCTCATGCTCGCCCGTGCCACCGACCAGCGCAAGCGTGCTTTCGGCAAGACTCTCTCCGAACACGGCACCATCATCGCCAACGTCGCTTGGGCTCGCATCAAGATCGAACAGTCCCGCTTGCTCGTGCTTTCGGCTGCCAACATGATCGACAAAACCAACGCCAAAGGTGCTATGCGTGAGATCGGTATGTCCAAGGTTGCCGTTGTCAACGCTGCATTGGAGGTGTTGGACATGTCGATGCAGGCTCACGGTGCAGAGGGTGTTTCGCAGGACACTATCCTTGCCTATGCCTATGCTCAGTTGCGTACCTTGAGATATGCTGACGGTCCTGACGAGGTTCACTTGCAGCAGTTGGGCAAGTTGGAGTTGAGGAGAGCACCTGAAGTTTGGGATAGGATCAACAAGACCAATGCCATCAGTGATTCCTTGCTTGCTAAGGCTGGTATCAAGTCGCACCTTTAAGCAATGATCCCTCATCATCACTGGATAGTATTGTAACCTAGTTTTCTTCACATAAGCACATTCACAATCGGAATCCATCTCAGTTTGCAAAGATAACGATAGCGACAAGCTTGTATATGTGTGTGTGTGTGTATGTGTGAGTGTTGTACTGGGAACTCGACCGCTGATTGAGCAGCATAACAGGCTGCTATCGATGAAAGAGGACATTCAAGTGCGAGCATTGTGCTGATACTCTGGCTGCTCACGATCACAGCAAAATAGGCTCGGTGTTAGGCCGCCTCCAGCTAACGGCACAAATTGGAGGAATCGGGAATAAATGCGCGAGAAATGCCGCTCTTTCCAGTTGAAGTAGATAAAGCCGCACAAAGCATGGAGACAGTGAAGGTAGTGCTTACGGCCGAGTAAAAGGCCTGAACTTCTTAGCACGGACCACATGTGTCACAACCTACTCAAGGCAAATGCTTTGTTATGCTCCGCAGTCAATGCGGCTCTCCGCCGCTCTTTTTTTTGTATATATAGACTCCTAGCTCTCTCGCTCTCTCTCTCTCCTACCATCATCATCAACTAGACGCCTCAACTCCAACCACTGACGACTGACTCCAACGCACTGACGAATGACTTCAACGCACTGACGAAGGACTTCAACTTTTCCCGCTTTTCTCCACGAGAGCTTTCTAAAATTGATTATTATTATTATTATTATTTTTGGCTGACATTTGCGTATTTGCACCCTTGTTATCCTCACCTCCATACGCCACTTTCATCGTTCCAAGTCACAACCATCATCATTCAGCTTCCCGTATCGACATTCTGTATATTCACGGCGTGGACTCGCAGCGCATTGCCGCCTCTTAGAATGGTCCGCTAACCTCACAAACTGACCGTCGGTCCAGCCTCGGCTATACAAACACAGTAAATACACGACCTATAGCCCAAGATGACTTCGAATCAACCTAGCGTCTATCAGGATGCTCCTGGTCTTGAACCACAAAACGACGTGCTGACATCTGTGGAGCATGCTCATCCAGAAGCCTCTTCTCCGATACAGCGTGCTCAGGGAGAAGCATCGACGTGCAACGAAGCTTCAAAACAAGCTTCTGGCAGTCAAGCAACTAGCAGCGCAGATCGAGCCGACCTTGAAGCAGCATCTGATCGCTCGCTCGCAGTCACTCACGAGATGCAACCAACCGAAACGTATGGTCAACGACTCACTCGAGTCCTCACAGGCGAAGCAGCTGATCTTGCCCAACCTGCTCAGCGTCGCAGCCTCGAGAGCAACAAGAGCAGCTCTGATACCCGTCAGCGCACCCGCTTACTCTCCTCCTTGATGCGTCGCAAACCACGCAGCAGCTCCAAGCGAGCCCCCACTAGATCTTTAATCCGACAACGAGCGGAAGAACTAGCCCGCACAGCAGACTCTGAAAAAGCTGCCGAATCCCGCCACAACCGCTCTCATACCACCCCTTCCACCAACGACAGCAGCAGCAGTAGTGGCGACAGCAAGGCCAGCAGCGAACCAGCACGGATCAAACTCGTCGGTGACGAGGGAAAACCAATGCGCCGTCATGGAATCAAAGATCGAGTTCTGCATTTCACCCCATCTTGGTTTTCGGTGACGATGGGCACTGGAGTTCAAGCTACGCTTTTGAACCTTCTTCCCTGGGCATCTATTCATTCCGGCTTACGCTGGCCAGCACTGTGCTTCCTCCTGGGAGATATCATGATATTCATCCTCTTTCTATGCGCATTCTTTGCGAGGTATCTAATGTACCCCGAAGTACTGCCTCTGACGATCAAGCATCCACAAAAGTCGATGTTTCTGGGAACACTTCCAATGGCACTGATAACAATTATTAGCGGGATCGCACAGTTAGGAACACAGTTCGCATTGGGGATAGGTTTCGCGCTGGGAGCAAGTGGCTTATGGTGGGCAGCGACGGTGTTGAGTTTGATGACGGCTATCGGGGTGCCGTTTAGTATGATGACGTATCAAGAGCATTATTTTGAAGGAACCACTGCTGCACTCCTCCTGCCCATCGTCCCTCCGATTACTGCAGCGGCGACTGGGAGCGTGATAGCAGAGATCCTCATGGAAAGATACCCAACTTACGCATTTACCATTATGGTCGTCTCCTATCTCGTCCTCGGCATTGGGCTCCCGCTTGCCCTACTTATCCTGGTACTCTACTTCCAGCGCCTCCTTCTATTTAAATCCCCTCCGAGGGATGTGATCATCTCAGTATTCCTCCCCCTCGGCCCCTGCGGGCAAGGCGGTGAAGCGTGCCTCCATTTGGGTAGAGTAGCACTCCACCTCTTCCAACGCAGTCCTCCCTCTGGCGTTGCGCAACTCTATTCCGTCGGACAAGCACTGTACGGCGCAGGACTCATCTCTGCAATGCTCCTCTTCGGGCTAGGCATCTGGTGGTTGGCTATCGGACTCTTGACCATTATTAGGGAGTTGAAGAGGGGGAAACTCAAGTTCAATATGGGATGGTGGGGATTGACGTTCCCCTTTGCAAGTTTGGCGATTTGTACAGCGAGGTTGGCGATAGAGTTGGATAGTTTGACCTTGAAAGTGACATATACGGTGTTTGCAATAGCAAATCTGTTGTTGTGGACAGGAGTGGCGATTCCAACCGTGAGGGGAGGTTGGAATGGGAGGTTGTTTAATGCTCCTTGTTTGGCTGATCTTCCGCTTAAGCCGTAGTCTCTCTCACACCCTCTCGAAGCTTATCAGAGCCATCAACCCTATGTACCTGTATATCGCAAGCAGATGTAAAGGATTCATTCCGGCAGCTTTTGATCGCTATGAGAGATATAGACGCCGGTTTGTCGAGTCTAATAGGCCAAACAAAGACGACCTAACAGCCCTCGAAAATACACGCGCGATGAGACGCGTCTCTCTGCTGTTTGTTTAGTATCTCAAAAGACGCGACTTGCGCGTCGTGTAAATTGAATCCCTCTCCGCGCAGCACAGCTGAGGAAGGAGAGAAGAGCAAAAAGAGCAGCGCAAAAAGCAAAAAGAGCAGAGCGTTTCGTGTCGTGAGCGCGTTCTGACAGTGGAGTTGATCTCACACTCTCTCCATAACCAAGCAGCACCAAACATTCTTCTGCTACACCTTGACCTCTCCTCTTCCTTGGCCATCATCCATCTCACTTTCCTGGACGCTTCACAGTTGCACATCCACAACCATCAAAGTTCGTCGACTCGATCGCAAGCTTCCCAGACCGAGAGGCCGTGCTGACACATATACCCCATTTCCACGTTCCCCTCTCTCGACAAGGAAGGCTAGCAAGGATGTCGTCCAGCGCACCTATCCTCCCCACCGTCAGCCTCAACATCAACTACGAGGATGAGCGACAGAAAATCACCGATTTCCTCTGTTTCTTCAAGGCTCCTTCCTCCCGACTCTCCTCTCTCCCCTCTTCCCAATCTGGAGCGCCTATAAGTCTCGAAGAGACCAGCGACGATCCAGACGAGCTCAACATTGACCGGGACCTGTCATCCTCGCTCAACCGTATGGACGTCGATCGTAGTGGTGCCCAACCCTCCTCCTCCCGCCAGATTCCGTTGTACATGCATCAACTTCAAAATATCGCCAACCGAGAAGAGGATTCGCTCATCATCGACCTCAACGATGTTGCCTCCCATTTCAACACCGCTACAAACGAAAGCGGCAAGGCTTTGGTCGGTGCGATTCGCCACAATGCCAAACGCTATCTAGACTTGTTCTGCGAATGTGTGGACAGCTTGCTACCTGAACCGAGCAAAGACATCTCGCACAAGGATGACGTACTAGACGTCATTCGACACCAAAGAATGGAGAGAAACGCAAGGACAGTAGAAAGCGCGGAAGACCGCAACGATGCAGGAGTTGCACCTGAAGATGCCTCTGAAAACATCTTCCCTCCCGTCCTCCTCCGTCGTTACACGCTCTATTTCAAACCCTACACAGGTCGACTCTCCCCATCAGAAGCACCGGAAGAACCGCTGGCCGTGCGTTCCGTCCGCGGTTCTCACCTCGGCAAACTCATCACTGTCCGTGGAATCGTCACTCGAGTCTCGGAAGTAAAACCTTTCCTTCTCGTCGACGCCTACGCATGTGACGTATGCGGTGCAGAAATCTTCCAAGAGGTAACATCGCGACAATACATGCCCCTAACGCATTGCAACTCTCGTCGTTGCCTTACCAATAACACCCGTGGCCCCCTCTATCCCCAGGTCCGCGCTAGCAAATTCATCCCATTCCAAGAAGTCAAAATCCAAGAGATGGCCGACCAAGTTCCCGTCGGCCACATCCCCCGAACGATGACCATCCACGTCTATGGCCCTCTGACTCGAGCCATGAGTCCCGGCGACGTCGTTCACGTCGGCGGCATATTCCTCCCCATGCCGTATTCCGGGTTCAAGGCTATCCGAGCAGGTCTTCTCACCGACACCTACTTGGACGCACAACATATTCATCAGTTGAAGAAACAGTATACTGCTCTTGAACGAACGCCAGAAATGGCTGCTGCGATTGGCCAACTTAAAGATGACCCGGCCTTGTATCAGAAGTTGGCCAGTTCGATCGCACCCGAGATTTACGGTCATGAAGATGTCAAAAAGTGTCTGCTGCTATTGTTGGTAGGAGGTGTAAGTAAGACGGTTGCAGATGGAATGAAGATCAGGGGCGACATCAATGTGTGTTTGATGGGAGATCCCGGTGTGGCTAAATCGCAACTTCTCAAATACATTTCCAAGGTGGCGCCACGCGGTGTTTATACGACTGGTCGAGGTTCAAGTGGCGTGGGTCTCACAGCAGCTGTTATGCGCGACCCGGTAACGGATGAAATGGTGTTGGAAGGCGGTGCGCTCGTTTTGGCGGATAACGGTATCGCATGTATCGACGAGTTTGATAAGATGGAGGAAAGTGACAGAACTGCGATTCACGAGGTTATGGAACAACAAACCATTTCCATCTCTAAAGCCGGCATCAGTACCACCTTGAATGCCCGCACATCTATCCTTGCTGCTGCGAACCCACTCTACGGTCGATACAACCCGAGGGTGAGCCCGGTGGACAACATCAATCTGCCGGCAGCGCTCCTTTCTCGTTTCGACATTCTCTATCTCATCCTCGACACTCCCACTCGCGATGACGACGAGCGACTCGCACAGCACGTTACCTATGTCCACATGCACAACGCGCATCCGGAACTAGAATTCGACGTAATCTCCCCCACCCTAATGCGTCACTACATTGCCCTTGCACGCCAAAAACGTCCAACGCTGCCCAAATCAGTCTCGGACTACGTCGTCGGAGCTTACGTCTCGATGCGTTCCCAATACAAAGAGGACGATGTATGCCACGAATCCAACACCTCTAGCTCCTCTCCCGGATCTTCCAGCACAGGCTACGTCAGCGCCCGAACGCTACTGGGAATTATTCGTCTCTCGCAAGCCCTAGCACGTCTTCGATTCGATGACCAAGTATCCATCCCTGACGTCGACGAAGCTCTACGATTGCTGGAAGTTTCTAAATCCTCAATCCTAAACCATACCTCACTCACCAACACTTCCAGAAACGCACTCGGTCAAGATCAGACATATCTAAGCAAAATCTACAGAATCATCAAAGACTACTACACACTTGTACAAAAAACCGCAGAGGAATTCCAAGACACAGACGAGCAGATGCAAGATCAAGGTATCCCCATCTCAAGAGTCAGAGATCAGATTATTGCAAAGGGGTTTTTGGAAGATCAACTGCAGGAATGTTTGCAAGAGTATCAGGATTTGGGTGTTCTTCAGCTTACAGGCAACCGCTTAGTTTTCCTGTAAAACACTCGATATCTTTCGAACGGCGTCTTGGGTTTTGGTTGCCACTTTGAGCAGCAAATTTTCCTGTCACGTTTCGAGAATTCATTCTTGCAAAATACAACATGAGAGATGCATGCCTTGGTATATTGTGCGATCGAAGCATCTGTGTTTTGCTTACCAACCCAGCTGAATCTTACAACACACTGAAAGACGAGACAAGATAGCAATGCAAACAAAACCATGGATTGCTAAGACAGACACAACAAGGATATAAGGTATATAGAATCCAATTCAACTTCGAAACTATGCGATGCAAACAAAGGGGGGGGGGGGGGGGCAATCAAGCACAACAAGACCAGCTATTAGTATTGATCGCCCCACCTGCGCCTGGGCCAGCTCGGCCTGCACTGCGGTTGAGTAACTGCTCAGCCTCACTGGCACTCAAAAAGATACTGTTTCTCTCTCTATGCAACCTCTGCTGTTCAATCTGACTTGTCCTCTCGACCAACTTCTTGGTTACAGCTAGAAAGACTTCTTCTATACCGCAGTCGTCTTTTGCTGAAACTTCAGAGATTTCTACTATCTCCCATGAGATGTCGAAATCCGCGGTGTTGGGCAGGGTTGCGTCTCGACCTGCATCGCTGTTTGCCGAGCCGGTGGAGGCGGTGGAGCTTGTGAATGAGCTCGGTTTGATCCCCACCGCTGCGGGGATGGTAGCGAGTGTGCTAGTGCTGGTGCTGGTGGTACCGAGTGGGCCGCGTTGGAAAGCAGTAAACCGAGAAGCTGAACTAACAGCTAAGGATCCTAACCCGCTCAACCTCGATGAGGGCCGGGTAGGAGATGCAGGACTACCCTCGACATTATTGAATCCAGAATTCGACGATGCGGCAGCAAGCTGGGTCGAGTAGGGCTGCAACCAACTCCTAACAGTAGCACGAGCAAAATCCAAGTCAACCTGCCTGCTCGACCAAGCCAAATCCGCCTTTGCACCCACCACATGAATAAGCAAATCGGTAGACATGTTCTTCTTCAACTCTTCAATCCATGCTTGGATATCCATGAAACTCGACATCGAAGTGATATCGTACACGATCACAGCTGCCTGGCTGCCCCTGTAGTACATTGGAGCCATGCTTCGGAAGCGTTCTTGCCCAGCCGTATCCCAAAGCTGCAATCGAACTTTTACACCATCAACGATGAGTTTCTTTGTCAGGAAACTAGCACCGATCGTTGAGGGAGTAGAAGCAATGGCGAACTGGCCGGAAGTGTAGCGATGCACAAGAGATGTCTTGCCAACACCTTGGGAGCCGAGGATGACGACTTTGGCTTCGAGTTGGTTGTTGGGCAACGTGGCACGTTGGCGGATGTGCGAAGCTGGACAAGTGAGGGAGAGTGTGCTTCCAGATAGAGGGTGAGGGGACTGCTGTGCGAATTGAAGCGTGCGGCTAGATGCCGGTGAAATCGAGCTGTTTGCTGCTCCAGGTTGGCGATCGGCAGCAGTCGGAGAGACGCTCGAGACGGTTTGACGTCGCTGAGAAAGTTTGGGCGCATGTTTACCGCTGCTAGGACCGTAGGTCACTGCATTCGACGAGGGCGGTGAATGATGATGGTGACTGTGTTGAGTGTTCTTCTGTGCAGCAGAGCTAATAGCTGAGGTGACAGTATGACTGCGCCGAAGAAAAGCACCTGTGCTGGATTGAAAGTTGCGCAACTTGGCCGAGACATCCTTACTGGCGCCATTGCGGTCGTTCTCAGCATAAGGTGCTCCCATCTGCCCGAACTCGCTGAGACCGGACTCGAGCTTTGGACTGGTGGACGAGCGTCTTGGTCTTGGTGGCAAAGCGCTGCTGCTTTCGGCGGTTTGCTTTGTCCATGTCTGGGCAGCGATAGGCGGGGACCTGGTGGTGCTATTCGCCGAAAGGTTGTGCTTGCTTGCAGTTTCACTCGACTCTGCCAATGGCTGGAGTGTCTCGACAGCATTGCGAGAGTGGGACCTGGCCATGCTCGGGTGGGAAGTGTGAAAGCGGGATGTAGAGATGAAAGCTCGACCGCTGTCTTGCTCTGTCAGCGACGGCGATGCAGGTGCAGAGTTGAGGCTTTGAAGACTACTCAGCCTTGGCCTTGAGATGCGTTTCGAGTGTGGTGCTCGATAGGACTTGGCAGGCACATGCTGACTCTCTCGCGGTTTGGATGAGGTCGCTTGATCTGTGCTAGGCTGAGATTTGCTCGGCGCTGCTTCGCTTGATGCAACTTGGGAAGCGTGTGCGGGGAAGGGGAAGGCCGAGAATTGTCTTTCCTTTGTCGGAGAAGGGGTTGGGAGGGGCGATGAAAACGGCGACGGAAAGTGATGATGAGACATGGTGTTGTAGACCACCTGGGCCGTCATATTCTCGTGTTGCTTGAAAGAAAGCTGCTGTATGTTGAGAAGGTCAAAGTGAGGGGAATGCTGGTGATATCGCTGAGATGGGTTGTAAGTGTAAGGTTGGCAATGAACGCTCGTTTGTCGTCGCTGCTGGACTAGTCTGTGCTCTAAAGAGAGCTTCCGAGGAAGAGGTGCATGGAATGCATGTAGCAAAGGAAGCGTATGGAGCTTGTGCCGAGGGACAGAGGGAGATAGGGGTAGTAAGCTAGGAGGAGGTGGGAAGGTAACAGTACCGGAAGGAAAGCGAGATGAGGAGAGGCGGCTAGCGGTTAAGTCGGGCGGGAAAGGAGGATGCGACTGGCTGAATGCTGGTGTGCCTACTGAGGAGGCCAAGTGGAAGATTGTTGGCCAGGGTTGGGAAGAAAGAGGAGGAGTTTGTGAATGCAGTTGCAGCTGTGGTGAGGAACAGGAGGTGGGAGCTGTTCCGAAGGTAGGTCGAAGCGCAACGGACAGCAGAGAAGGGAAAGGCAGGGGCCAAGATTGATGGCGAGAAAAAGTGAACAAGGTCTTGGTGAGAGAGAGGGCAAGGTATGGCGAGTGCTGTAGAGAGGAGAGCGATTTGAGATGGAGGTAGGGATGGAGGTTTGGTGTGAGTAGCAAAGCGGAGTGTTTGCTTCTTTTCCTCTGAGCTGCTGCTGGCGGTGGGGATATGGATGTAATTCTAAAAAGCAAAGCAAAAGCGACAAAGGAATGGGCTCTATCAAATGATACTGCACTCTACTGCGATGTGCTGCAATGCAATGCAAATTGGCGCTCCTTTCCCCTGAAATCACTGTCGAGTTGCTTTCTCTTTTCCCTAGTCACAGCAATGCACTTGTAATGGAAAATACAAGTCAAAATTGGCGTTGGAGACGTTTGTTACTTTGATACTAGATTCAATTCAATTGGATACATTACAGTTTAATTCAATTCAATTCGATTCAATTCGGTTCAATTCAATTCAACTCAATTCAATTCAATTCAATCCAATTCAATTCAATTTAATTCAATTCAATTCAATTTTTCTTTTGTCAGGGTCCAACTTCTGGAAAAGTGGAGAGAAACACAGAAAAGACAGAGAGAGACAAGAAATCAGGCAGCTGTTGGTCGGGCATCGAAATCAGCAGGTTGCTCTTCGGATCTCATCCGCCGTCAAAAGCACAGGCCAACGCTTTTTTTTTTTTTTTGCTTTTTTTTTTTTTTTTTTTTTTTTTTTTTTTTTTTTTTTTTGGATGGTGCCATGCCAACCAGGTAAAGAGTGCCAGAACAGCCTTCGGAGTTCCCGACAAGCCTTCGGAGTTCCCGAAAAGCCTTCGGAGTTCCTGAAAAGCCTGCTTGTGTAAAAGGAAACAGACGGCAAATCCGACGACTATTGAGCATCAAGTTTCAGCATTCGAGCGGCAACTCGGGTTGAAATTGAAATGACTTGGCAGCATGGCGCACTGAAGCAGTTGCCAAAGTTCATCGTCTTTTGCAGCCCACCCTGTTGTGCTGAGGGCGGATAGAGAGAAGCGGTCAATTAGCTGTCAGTCTCTCCCAACTTGACTTATTACACCAGCACCGCCTCTTGCTGGCCTAGGAGCAAGGCCCGCATGACATTCTCCTTACCCGAGCAGTCAGCTGGTGTGAGGACCCTTAATGAGCCGCCTTCTCAACGCGGCAAACCCTCTCGCGTGTTCCTGCATGAGATCACCTGATCTAGCCGCAAAACTGTCAGGACTCTGTTAGACCCTGATGATATGAACAGTGAAAGAAGAGGGTCATGATTAGCCGAATCGGAGAATTACTAGAAATCACGCCATCCAGATTGGCAATGATGTGCGTCTGGCTCCTTTCCCCCGCGAGACAAGACGCCATTTAGACGCTGAGTGGTGCAGTCTTCTTTCTACACTCTTGCCTGTCACTGTGGGCTCGGCTGAGCTCAGCTTGGCAAACAAGCTTCTCATGAGTCAGGTTGTGCTTGTCGCGAGTGTGTCGACAACTCCTGCCGTTTCCACCATCACCAACACCTTTCCTTGAGCCTCGTAGTACCCAAAATGCCCAACGTTCGCCTTGGATCGATTGCTCCCAACTTCACCGCTGAGACCACTCAGTAAGTAACACCGCTCACCATCATCCACGATGCTTTGTGGATGGCCCTTGGTGATATTGCTCTCGAGTAGCGGCCATTAGTGCTCGCATTCGTTTAGCTTTGCACTTGTATGCTGACCTGTCTTCTGTCCCTATCCATCAACCAATCAATCAATTGCATTGGTCTTTCGACAGGGGTGTCATCAATTTCCACGAATATCTCGGAGACTCATGGGGCATCCTTTTCTCTCACCCTGATGACTTCACCCCCGTTTGCACCACCGAACTTGGCGAAGTTGCCCGCAAAGCACCCGAATTCGAGAAACGAGGCGTAAAAGTCATTGGTCTTTCCGCCAACGACATTGCCTCTCACGATCGATGGATCAAAGACATCAACCAAGTTGGCAAAACGTCGGTCAACTTCCCCATTATCGGCGACAAAGATCGCAAAGTCTCGACCGAGTACGACATGCTTGACGCCCTGGACCCGACAAACGTCGATGCTAAGGGAATCCCTTTCACGGTTCGTGACGTTTTCGTCATCGACCCTAAGAAGGTGATCCGTCTCAAGATCTCGTACCCTGCAAGCACTGGTCGTCATTTCGATGAGATCCTCAGGGTCATTGATTCTCTGCAGATCGGCGACAAGTACAGGGTTACGACCCCAGTCAACTGGCAGAAGGGCGACAAGGTCATCGTTCACCCAAGCGTTCAGGGCGAAGAGGCAGAAAAGCTTTTCCCTGGTTACGAAACCGTCAAGCCTTACTTGAGGTTCACTAAGGATCCTTCTGTCAATGCTGCCTAAACGCCGTATGAAGTTGCACTATGGAGGGCAGTATGGAGGGCACTTTGTAAGACCCGACCGACCCCTATGCATTCATATCAATTCAGACCTTTTCCATCAGAGCAAAGACGAAGAGATGGGTCGTGTGTGACGATGGCAACGATGCTGGGATGGGTTCAGCATCCATTCTTTGTCAAGGTCGAAAACAGGTGGCAGGCTCAACAAAGGTTGCAGATCCGCAAAGCTAGCAACGCATCAGGAGAGACATGAAAGAGTGTGGATTTCAGAGAGAAGCTGCTTGAATTGAAACAAGGAATGAGAACAAAGAGAAAGAGATGCATAAGACTTGCTAGAGGGAACAATGTGACAGCAAGAGACAAAGCGAAGCGACATGGCGAGGCGACATGGCGAGGCGACATGGCGAGGCGACATGGCGAGGGATGCAGAACGATTTCAAGCCAGACTTGTGATAGGCAAGACAAGGTTGAAAGAGCCTTACTTGGGCCAGCCAAAGGATGCTTTCGCTGAGCTCACTGCCCCTGCTTCCAAGCGACATACTCGGCATACCTTCTCTCAACCTTATCCGACCTATACCTCCTCACTCTCAAGGACCTCCTAATATCCTCGGTAATCTTGCCATCAAAGCCAGCCTTCCTGATTGCCGAATCGATGGCTTCCACTTTAGTCCAGCCTTGATCAGGAATCACATCAGGCAAATAGGTCGCCGTCAAAAGAGCCGGTCGAGAGGCCTCTGGCCTTGCAAAGCGGCAAGTGACGGCAGGAGTGCTAGAAGGCGAGCTAGAGGAAGAGCTAGCACTATCTTGGTTGCCACCGGCCAGCAAAGACTTTGGTGCAAGAGCCGGGTTAGGCAAATAAATGTAGATACCATGCGTGCCAATCTGCCAATCGAGATAATCCTCGCATTCTTCAAAACCAGTCAGGAGCGAGACCCGGCATTCGAGACGAGGTAGTTCAGCCTGTGTGATGGCTGGAAAACGACCATCTTTGAAGGCAGAGATGCTGGCGTATTCGGCAAGGCCTTGAGCGAGAGGGTAGGCTTCGAATGTACCGATGCAGCCTCGTAGACGTGGGGTGGGTCGAGAAGCGGGTGAACATGCGGGTTGGCCTACAGAGCTGTGTGTCAAGATGTTCCAGGTTACAAAGAGAGGATATTCTTGGCCCTCGTCATCGAACGGTGGAGTCGGCGTGGGGTGAGAGGATGGGTTGAGCTCGTGTTCGATCACTGCGAAACCGTAGTAGCAGTGCTCCGGAAGAGCTGCGGAGGGGTTGTTGTTTGAGTTTGAAGGTGCCATGATGTCCTTGAGAGATGGATGCTATGCTGTGCAAGCCAGGCAATGCCTTGCAAGCTTCAAACAGCGATGAAGCGATGCTATGCAGAGGTGCGATGCTATACAGAGGTGCGATGCTATACAGAGGTGCGATGAGGGATTGAGATGCGGTTTGTAGCGACGACGCTGCTTGGTGTTGAATTGCTAGAAAGCGTGATGGACGAGAGCGGCTCTCTTCTTTGCTGCCTCCTCCTTGCCTTGGACAAGGTCAAAGCTCAGACGTGTTTGGCTTGTTGGAGCAAGATAAGCCAATATCAGCCAGCAAATTCACACTCAGCACAGAGCAGGATCGGCAGATCCGATCCAACCCAAGTGCTTCTTTCGCGGGAGAGGCGCGGCACCTGCCGAAGAAAAAAGTCTAGAATCAAGCCAAGAAGCTAGCCAAAAGAAAAGGCCGAGCGCTTGAGCGTCTATGAACTAGCAGCTGTTGCGATGGCCTCAAGGAACGTCGTTGGTTGAATGACATCAGCGCGCACATACACTCCTGTCACCCTCCACACCTTTGCTGTGTGTTGCGATTCGGGCATGCCGAAAGACACTGCTCAGACAGCCAGCGAACGGGACAAGTGCGGACCAAGACTTGCGTTGCCAAAACCACCGTTCACACGCCATTTCAAGTTTGTTATCGTGATCGGATGCGAAAGAGTTCGGATGGTAAGTTACAGCTGACCAAGATAGATCGGCGCATCCGAGGCATGATTGTGATTGTGATTGTGATTAGAGAGAGGGAGAGAGGGAGAGAGAGAGAGAGAGAGTCTCTTGGCCATTTGATCCTGGATCGTCTGAGAGAGGGTTGCGCTGCCTCAGTGTGTCTGTGGATTACAAATGGCACTTTGATTGCACTTGCTGCGCTCGCAATTCCATTTTGTATTCTGATCCTTCTTCCTCCTTGCTCGTTCCTCCTTGCTCGTTCCTTCTTCCTTCTTCCTCCTTCTCCTGCTACCACATCCATCCCCATCTAGCAGATTGATACCATGGCAAACATGTCCAACCTTCCAGGCCTCCTCATTGACATCGTAAGTGTCATCTCCCTCTCTCTCTCTCTCTCTCTCTCCTATCTGCAATGCTGGTGTGGCCCGTGCTGACATGTGTGACATTCTCTTTCCAATCTATTTCCTCTTTGGGGCAGCCCCGCAACCCCATCCTCGCCGTTGGAATTCCCGTCGCTGTAGGTGTCGTTAACGGCTTGGCCACCAAGTCGTCCAACTACTCTGCCGACTCGGTGTGGTACAAATCTCTCAAAAAGCCTAGCCTGAACCCCCCTTCCAGCTACTATGGCATCGTTTGGCCCCTCCTCTACGCTTCCATGGGTTGGGCTTCCCACTTGACCGTCAAGGCTCTCGACCGCACTCCTCCCGGTCTTGGCCGTAACGCCGCCAAGAAGGCCCTCTCCCTCTACTGGATTCAGCTCGGTCTGAACGCTCTCTGGTCTCCCCTCTTCTTCGGTGCCGGAAACGTCGGTTTGGCTTTGGTCAACATTGGTGCTTTGACTGGTACCGTCGCTTACTGGGCTGCTACTGTCAAGGACGTCGATGAGACTGCCGGTCTCCTTGCCATCCCTTACGTCGGCTGGTTGGCTTACGCCACTTACCTCAACGCCAGCATCTGGTGGCAGAACTACGGCTCGTCCAAGTTCGGCAAGCTCAAGAAGGAGGCCAAAGACCTTTAAACACGTTGACTTTTTGCATGTTTCAGCTTGTACATGCAAAACAAACCAATTTTCGCACTTGGTAATGTAATCTAATAAAACACACTCCTCTCTCATATGACTGGACGAGTAAAGATTTGACTATCGAGCGTTTGCAGCAGTGACAAGCTTGTCGACAGGGTCAATTTTTTGTTGTTTTGGTTTTGGTTTTGGTGGCTTCAAGTGAGAGATGAGAGCTGCATTGGAGGGAAAGGTATCGTTTATCCCTGTCGAACAGAGCTTCGATCAGTATCCACGCTATCCCTTCGATTCTTGATTGGCATAAACTGACGATCTGGATCCTCTTGACCAAAGAAGACGGTCGAACCCTCGACCATGCCCCTCTCTACCCTGCTATCACGGCTGCTGTGCGCCTCCAACTTGCTCATTGCTTGGTCAAAGTCCATATGCGTCGTCAGTGGCCGTCTTGGCAACGGAGTGAGGGCGTGTCTAGCATCCAAGTTGATACTGAGGATATTACTCGAATGAGCACCTTCGGAAACGCTGATGAGGAGCGAATACTGTTGTTGCCCCTGACTTGCACGACTAGTTGCAAGAGAAGAGGTCGATGGACTCTTGTGCAGACTATTACTAGCGCTTCCCGGCGCAATCCAAGAAGCACTTGAAGCAGCCGTGTTCGAGTTTCGCTCGTAGACTTCGAAAGTGATACTTGCAAAGTAGTCCAACGGTGGACTCTTGGCCATCACAACGTTGAGTTCCGAAGCCAAAACAAGGTTGAGCAATGTGTGGATATGAGACTCTTTGGTAAAGTAAAGACTGCAAATGCCTTTGCTTTCTTTGCTGCCCTTGAGATCTTCAACGATGTTCTTGAGGAGAGGCATTGAAGTTAGGAATCCGATCTCTTCCTTTTCTTCCGCTGTAATACCGTACTCGCGTGGACAGATGAAGGAGAATAGAGCCAACGCTTTGCGGTATAGGTCGTGCAGGTGGATCAGACGTTGGTCCACCTCTTCCTCCCTCACGGCCGGGTCGGCGAATACTGCCTCGACAAACTGCCGGTTGTGCAGTCCATCGTGAGACAGCATATCATATAGCTCGGATGATCGAGAGGGGTCATGTGGATCCTCTTCGAAATCGTTAAACAGCTTCTCCCACCTTTCCCTGAACAACTGCGGTGTTTCGTGAGTACACCACCTCGTTTGGATCCTCTCAATTCCTTTACCCAACGTCTTGTAGTTCTGTCGCATAAGCTCGCGCAATTTGCCTAACAGCCTTGCGATCTCCAAAGCTAACTTTGCCGGTGGTGGAAGATCCTCGGGCCAATCCTCGGGCACCCTGTTCGCTTCCGCACTATCAGGCCTGAGACTAGCTTTGAGCTTCTGCTTAACCACATCCATCACATCCTTGGCCGCATTCGAATCATCCAACAAGTCTTTACGGATGATCATCTCCTTCTCCCCGCTCGACTCGTCCAAAAAGGCAGCGGCAAAGATCTCGGCTGAAGCAGTAACCCTGCGCTCAGAAGAAGTATAGACGGTGCAGTTGGATAGCGCATCGGCATTCATAATGATCATATCCTTCCTCATGTTATTACCAAAGTCCTTGGCCTGGTGGCGGGCAGCATGGGAGAACTCACCACCCCATTTGATGATGAGTTGCATCTTACACAGATCGCCTGATCCCTTGTCGAAGCTGGGTTTGATTTGAACTTTCGTTCCCGGCATGTCCTTTTTGCGGTTGATGAGTTGCATGATCAATTCCAGGTCTTGCCTATTTGCACCGGGAAGAGCGAGAGCTTCGGATGCAGCTGTAGAAACGAGCTCGAGTTGGGTGCGAAGGATGATCTCCTCCCTGCGACCTTGTAAGAGGGCAATAAGCGGAGCAGCCCAAGTCTCGGAAGGCTTAAAGGACCTCTTTAGCTTCTGCTTCGGTGTTCGATCACCATGCCTGAAAACAGTGACGGAAGCCTTCAAGTTCCAAGTAGACCTCTCCCTCTCCCTAGGACTTGAACTACCGCATCCACTAACTCCACTGCCAATCGCTCGTCTCACAACATTCGCCTTGCAGAAGCGACCTAAGATCTCGGCACATTTGTCATAGTAAAAGTCATTACCTTTGACAAAACTCCATCCGTTAACGTCAATCACATAACTCTTGCCACCAACTCGCAACAGATCGAATCCGCAAATGTTCTGCTTGAACGCTTTCGAAATGGCCGTTGCCATCTTGACCTCTTCATCGCTGAGTTTGGTAATGTAGCGAATCTCCTTTCCATCTGGGTTTCGCTTGACCACACCGTCGACTACGGGGGACTTGCGTGTTTCAGCATGAACAAAGTGTGGACCGATCGTATAGACTTTGATATCTTCGGCATTGTCTACGTCCATAAACTGCTCATAGATGTACGAGCCATCAGTGCGTGGCTCGACCAGATTGGGATCGTATTCAGACGATTTGTTGCCGACTTTACGGAACAACCTTCGACCACCGCCACCTCTGGCCTTAGCAAAATAGATATGAATATTATGATCCTCCCCCGAAACCGGCTTCTCCACAAAAGGCTTGGAAATCTTTTGCCCACCGATGGACAAGTGATCATAATCATCCAGCCTACACTGTTTGGGCTCTCTATCCTTGTTCAAATCCGCGCCTACTCTAGTCTTTAAATCCTGGAGAATGCTATCCTCGAGATCAGGTCCGCCATCCCTATCAACCTGCAAACGCCTGGGAGTGGCTACACCGACACTGTCCAAGACAGAAAGCACGGCTCTTCGATCCCACAGCACCTGTTGCAGACGAAGATCGTTGACAAGAACAGGCTTGCGTAAGTCGGCATAGGAGATCGCTTTATCCAGTGGGAAGCCCGTGGAGAAGAAAGAAATCAGAACATCCACCATAGGCCAATCCTGAACAGGTTCGTCGAGAATCACTTTTTCGCCAAAGATGGTAACGTCGAATTCTTTCGTACTGATGAGTCGATTGAGGATGTTCTGCATGGGTTTCGAGCGAGCTTTGCGGTCCATTGCCGCTACTCCGACTTGAATCCTCTCCATTCTTTGCAGCAGGCTTGACGGGAGGTGGTCCCGAGTAACGAGAAAGAGGTCGGGGATGTGAGAGTGGAGAAGGATGTGAGAGTGGAGAAGGATGTGAGGAGCAATCTATATTACTGTCCACCTCGGCGAATGTTGGTGTTGGGTGGATGTCAGAGATAGGAAGAAAGGATGGATCTTGTTTGCTCCACGCCAAATAGCCTCACAGAATTGCGGTGAATGTTGCCAACACATGGGCCGAGACTGCCAGAAGCAGGGGGTTAATTGCACTCAAATCTGTGTTATTGTTGCTCCTTCTCCTCCTCCTCCTCCTCCTTTCTCTTCGACCAACACCATCTCAGTTCGGGGCGATCATCATCGTCACCGTCGCACCTGCTCATGATGCCACGGCCACACTCGATTCGCTCTCTCCAAATGCCTCATGACAGTTGCGACCAAGCCTTTCCACAAGCCCCGCCCTCACCCTCGCTCTCCACCACAACACGAGCCTCGCTCGACTTGCCCTCTCGACCAGCCGTGCTGATCACGCGAGCAGACCTCCGCACCTCGCTCGCTGCCTACGAAGCGCTTCTCGCTTCTGCCAAAGCCTATACCTCTGCAATGCTAGCCATGGCGAAAGCCTCCTCGGACCTCGGCTGTGCTCTGGAAACATGTGCACGAGTCAAAGGCGCCCACGAATCCGGTCCTGCACTGCAGGCAGCAAGTGGGTTGCATTTCCTCAAAAGCAACTACGAACAAGTCCTCTGCGATACCTTCTGGAAGGACTTTTCCATCCCCCTTCTCAGTCACTACGACACCTATCGCTCCGCTTGTACAGATCGACAAGTGTCCCACGACAAAGCTGTCGCCTCCAGATCCAAACAATTGAAGCAAGCAGAAGCCAGGAACAACAGGGCAGGCAGGAAAAAGGAACGCGATCTCAACTCTTTTCGTCGTGCTCTTGCCGAACTTCAATCCCACGTCGACGCTATCGACCAACTCAAAGCGCAGTACTACAACGAGGTATTGGATGCAGAACAAGAGGTGTGGCAGTTTATCGAGAGCAAAGTTGCTTTGGTTGTTCGCAGTCAGATTGAAATCTCGGAGAGGATCAGTTCGAAAGGCTTGAACGATCCAGTGTTGGAGGCCATGCTGGCAACGATTCCGGATCCATTTGGTAGTTATGGTCCTGCCAAACAGGATGGTGAGATTTTTAGCATTCTCCCACCGATCTCCTTGTTGAGTTCAGGGGCGAATAGTGTTCATGATACAAGTACCGAGGCTGCGGCGACGACGAATGAAACCAGCCTTACGCATGCTGATGTTAGGAGGCAGGATGCCAAACCTACTCCAACAGGTGTGGTCGGGGGAAAGAGCAAAAGTGTTTTACCAGCAGACATCATGTCTCCTTCAACGCCGAGTAAAGGACTTTGGAGAGCGGCTCAAGCTTCGGCAACAGCAACACCCACGCATGCTGGTCAAAGTGCAACCGATCACTTACCCTCGTCTTCTACTCCCAAGGCGAACAAAGGCGCAAGTGCTTCGACAGCTACTACACCTAAAGCTTCTCGCAGCAGCAAGAGTACCTCCCTCAACGGACCTACTCATTTGGCCAGAGACTCACTACTCGCTCTTTCAGCGGTCTCAGAAGCAACTACAGCTGTCTCCACCTCGAATGGCAGCTCTCCCACTGCTTCAGGCGGACTGTTCGGCTCGGAAAGTGTCGATTTCGAACAACTGCTTTCGAGAGAACAGCATGCGAGTCAAGACGGTCGCACGCAAGAGCAAGAACAACATCCCACTCTCACCCTTGCAACACAAACGATCCAGTTGGCCAACAAGGATGCCGCCGAAGGCCAAACAGCAACGAGCAGACTCTGCCAAGTACTAAGCATCATCGAACAAGATGCTAACGGTCCGCTGAGTAGAGCAGCCAAGGTTGGCCCTGCTTCGCGACCTGTTTCCTCGGTCTATGATGCTGGTCCGGATCCTTTTGCTGGTCCGAATTCTTTTGCTGGTCCCAACTCTTTTGCTGGTCCGAACTCTTTTTCTGATCCTGCTGAATCGCCTTGCCATGCCAGAGAAGCGCTAAAAGATGGATCCGAAGAGGGCAGCGAGTCGGTCAAAGCAAACTCGACGGTAGATGAAGCAGAACAGAAGCATCCGAACCAGCGTTCTCCTCAACACTGCCGTACTCCATCCAAGATGAGCATTGACCAGAGCACACCACCTTGATGGACGCTGTTATGACGTAATCACTTGACGATGTTTGATGAAATATACCCTTTCTTACAGCCTTTTGTCGTTAGTCAAGTGGGATATGGAGGCGCGAGGCAGAGCTTGCAGCAAGGGTGTCAGTGGCGACGATCACTCAAAAGGCGTTATTATATGATTTTGCAGCCAAATTACTGAGCCCTCAGCCAGACACTGCTCTTGTGGCTCCTGCTTGGACAGTAATGTGGAGCGAATGGGCAGCAAGAGAGAGGGGCACGGGCCATCTGCGTCACTCGCTCTCTCCCCTACTTAAACAGACCCTTGCTCCTCCTCGCCTCCTTTCTTCTTCTCTTTCCACCACACACACCTCTCTCCAGTCGTACCCAAAAAAAAACAAAACAAAACAAAACAAAACAAAACAAAACGAAAATGAAGACCTTCCACAAAGTCGTATTCAAGCCCGACTCTCAATCCACCGACGAGTTTATGGTCATCGTCAACGGCGAAGAGTTCAAAAAGTGGATCGCAGGTGACAAGACCATCCCTCTCGCAGAAGTCGTTGATTCTTTCGACGTTTTCCACACCGGTACCGGTGCTCAAGGAATCATGGGCCGCCCAAGCAAACAGTTGCTCGATACCGTTTTCGATACTCACAAGGACGTCGATGTAGTGACGCACATCCTCGAAAGGGGTCAGTTGCAGACAGCGAGCCATAAGGAAGCTTACAGCACAACTAACGATGCTAAGCAGCCTCAGAATGCTACTTCCCATGGTAGTTCTGGTGGCTTCGGTGGCCGATAAATGCAGCCCAACCCAATCCAAGCCAAGCCAAGCCAAGCCAAGCCAAGCGAAGCGGGAAGAGCAACGATGGTGTTACCGTTTGCTACCTACACCAAGCGCATCTGGTTGCGGTAAACACTGCTTATACCGCGCTCGCCAATGCTCAACTCCTTTCTAGTTTCTCACAACTGTATTACAAACAACACTTGACACACTCGATAAGATTCTCAAGCTCAATACGATCAGTCAAAGCATCATTCTCAACCCTTTCGAGCTGTGTGTGTATGTGTGTATGTGTGTATGTGTGTATGTGTGTATGTGTGTATGTGTGTATGTGTGTATGTGTGTATGTGTGTATGTGTGTATGTGTGTATGTGTGTATGTGTGTATGTGTGTATGTGTGTATGTGTGTATGTGTGTATGTGTGTATGTGTATATGTGTATATGTGTGTATGTGTATATGTGTGTGTGTGGTTCGAGAGTTTGTTTGGCATTTTACTGAGCGATCATCGCCTCCTCCTACCGCCAAAGGATCTAGCAGCTTCCCTCCTATTCCTTCTAGAGGCCCTAATGTTAGCCTCTTCCAGCTTCTCAAGATCATCATCACTCAGTCTTTCCAACAGTGGGCCGAACTCTCGAGACTCGTGCCAATCTCTCCAAATCGCCTCCAAGGGTCTCGGACCACGCGAGAGGATTTCTCGGAGAGTGTACGAGGCGTTGTGAAGTCGTTGCGCGGCGCTAAGTTTTGGTTGGCTGGTGCTGGTGGCGTCAGAGGCCGTGGCAGCTTCGGATAACTTTTCCGATAGACGAGCGGAGGAGCGAGTAGCTGGAATGTTGAGAGAGGAGGAGCGTGGTTGGATGGCGGGTGTGCAAGTGCCTTCTCGTGTGGGTGCCGCTGTGGCAGTAGCGGTGAGATGGAGAGTTTCGACATCTTCTTCGTCGTCCTCACCTTGCTCACCACCACCACCACCACCACCAGCTCCGTCCACTGAAGCGCGGATATCCTCCTCCTTTGCCCCGCCATCTTGACTAGTACCAAGGTCATCAGCAGCAACACTAGGCTGCACAGATGGCTCCCTCGTAGCATCCACCGACTGAACATGCGACTGAGGCTCCGACATGGTACCTCCCTTGTCCAACTTGTTTCTCTGCTTCTCCAATTTCTCCGCATGCAACTCTGCCCAAGCGGCCTGAATCTCGTTCTCCTTCTGCTTAATCAGCCTACCACTGCCGGCAAGACCCAACTCCAACGCAGCACGCTTATGATTGATGAGCTGTTCCCGTACACTATTCGCAATCAACGCCTGAGCCTCGCCTGACAATGCCAAATCATCGCAAAGCTTACTCGCAAACGATTCCGGCGTAAGGGGCGAGCAGAGATCCCACTCCAACCTGTCCCTCAGCATGTGCCTTAAAATCTGTACCTCATAATCAACAATGACACGCAGATCATCTTCGAAATCACCCAAGCCTTGGCCTGTATGGAGTCGTTTGGCCATTTGCTTTCGCCATGCTCGTTGTTGCTCATCAGACCTCTCGAGACCCCAATTCCATGATCTGGCTTCCTTTGTCGCTTCCTCCAAAGGATCGTAGTGACTTTGTTCAGAAAGCGGCAACGACAACTCGCCTTGTTTGCCAGCGAGACGGGCAGAAGCCCAGATCCCCCCCGCGGCAGGCTCCAACTCAATATCAGCTACACCCGTTGCATCTTCGATCTGCTGGTTGATGAGGTTCATGATCTGCGTAGCATAAGGTTCGACTGGAATGTCCAAGTCTTCCAGTAAGAGCTTGGCGAAATGGTGAGGTGAGATGAGTCGTTCGTTCATGTTCCACGTAAAAGAGTCTTTGATGCGGTACTGTTCTGCTTCGAGGTCGATTTTGATCGGTACCAAGATCTCGTTTCTGCCTGCCTGCCGTTCTAGATCGTCATGGTTGTGATAGACGTGGTTAGTGCGATGAAAGACGCGTTTTGCTACCATTCTGGACGCAGGTGGTGGAAGAGCAAGATAGGCTTTGGATGAATCGTGTTGTTCATCTTGCAGACCTCGCTTGAGACCTCGAGAGGCGGCATCGTCTTCTGTGCCTGCGCGCGACATGTCTTCTTCGAACTCGTCATCGGAGCTTGCCGCTTCAGCATAGCGGACGAAGCCAGCTGCAGCACGCCTGCTACGTCCACTGACTCGTGAGGAACGATAGGAGGTAGCTGCATGGGGAGAGTCATAGCCTGGTGTGCTGAGCGGGTCAAGCGGTTTACCAGATGGATCGTACCATTCTGACTGCGGCATGGATTGGAGCAAGTTGGTTGTGCCGGCTTTCATACGAGCAGGGAATGTGCTGTACATGGCTTGTGGGATGGTGGCTGTTGAAGCTGCTGTTCCAAAAGGTCGTGGTGGAGCTGCCGATGTTCCTGGTGCGATCGGCGCTGAACCTCGACCGAGAAAGTAGACATTCGGTAAGGACTGCAGAGCTAGCTGACTGGCAGTTTGAGAGTCGTGCGGCATTGGCTGCGGAAAGGATGGATGCGGAGTTGACATGTGCTGCTGCTGCGGCAAAAGAGCTGAGCCTGCTTGAATAAGACTACTGCCCGAACCGGATGGCGTGTGAGCAAGTTGGTTGTGGTAGGCGGCTGGCGATGCATAGCTCGAAGCTTGGTACCGCGACGAGCTCGAGGTGCCATTTGCCATCGCTGCTGGAGGGACCATGTTCGAGGGGATCGCCGCTGCTGATGAGCCATATGACGTCGATGTTGGGGCAGGAGACTGATGGCCTGACATCGATTGACGTGCCGACCTACGTGGACGGTCCATCTTGACGAGCGCGTGCAGTTGCAAGGCGGGGAGTAACGTTCTTCTAGCCGCGGCAGGAGGGTGAGAGCAAGCGTCTGAAAGAGCAAGGCTCAGTCCTTGTCGATTCAGTAGACTGTGACACTTTCGAGATCCGAGCGAGGTTGAATCGACTTGCAAGACGTTTCCCTTTCGCTTTCTCTTTGAACGACAACGATAACGACAACGACAACGACGACGACGACAACGACAACGACAACGACACAGACTCAGACACACAGAGACACCAAAAAACAAAACAAAAAAAAACAAAAAAACAAAAAAAAACAAAAAAACAAAAAAAAACAAAAAAAAACAAAAAAAAACAAAAACAAAAAAAAACAAAAAAAATGGCGCTTTCCGCTTCCTGATCGGCGAAATCTGAATCCAATCTGATCCCGATCTGGAAATAATCTGTTCTATTCTTCGCAAGGGTTTCTTCGTGCGCGTATCGCCAAAATCGGCAGAGTCGATCGGATCGGGCAAAGTGTTGGTCAGAATGGGAGACAATGACTTGATTAATCCAAGGTACAACTCAAAGATAAGACATGGTCCTTGTCGAGTCACGCATTGTGGAAACGTCTCATTCGGTGTGGCAAACGACACAACATGGGACATTAAGGAAAAACAAAAGGAGGGAGCGATGAATTAATGCATATGGAAGATGGAAGAGGAACCCATTGAAGCAATGATATGACAGTGCAGAAGCTATTGACTGGTCCAGCTCCAACTCTATCAGTGTCAAAATCAATCACATCGATAAAGATGACAACAAGAGTGTGTCAAGCGAATCCCCATCGCCAAATAGCAAGCTCGCCTGCTTAGCGGCGGTAACCTGGGATGAAAGCATGCTGCAAGACAAGTGCAAGGCAGTCAACAGGGTCAAAGGTAGGTTGAAAAAAGGCAGATTTCTCGATGCATGTCAAGAGAGTTTCAGCGTCAAACCTTTTTCTGAGACTTGCAGAGCGATCAGCTCCGGAGCCGGAAACGTGCAAGAAGCTATCAACAAACTTTTCCGGAAGCCGATCGGCTATAGATTTGAGCTCATTGATGAGCCGATCAAAGTATGCATGATCGAGAAAGCACTTGAGTGTATATAGATGTATCTGGCGCTCAGTATTGGGCAGGGTTGTGTCATGGGCCTGGGTGCGCAGTATGAGGAAAGACCGAAGTTCATATGAAGGTAGCGCAGGAATCGTGGAATCGGGTAGATCGTAGGAGCTGTGACAGAGTTCACCGAGATCGGCAGTAGAATCAGCTCTATGGCAGATCACAGCGGAATCGGCACGAGCATCATCGATATCATGAACCCCACCAGAATCTGCGACAAGTGAGACCTTGTGGCAGATTCTGTGGAGATCGGTAGCAAGGTTGTCCATACAATGATTCACATGCGAGAGGGACTGAGCTCAGTGACATGCGGTCAGTTACCACTCAGGGGCCACAGAACAGGAGTAGAAGAGAACTGTCACTGGTCAAAGGAAGGAGATCTGTGTATAGGACACTGGCAAAGGGGACATGAAGAAGAGGAGCAGTGTCAATGAAGTTGACACAGCTCAGGAAAGACAGGAGGGACAAGGTTTGATACAGAGGAGGTGCCTCTTTGGAGATCCCTGTGCAGTACTCGACGAAGAGGGTAATCTCTGGAGAGAAGGAGCAGGAGCAGTGTCACTGGTGACACTGCGAAGAGGTATATAGTCCTACCTCCTCGTCACAAATGGTCAAGTGGATGGGCATCCACTCTACACTCATCAAGCAACTAGTATTACTTCAAGCAATAAGTAACATTAGTTCACAGTCAGCATAAGTAGTAATCAACAGATTGCTCCTCATTGAAGTGTGTGTGTTGTATCACCATTTCCTGACGTCCAAAGGCAGTTTGTAGCAACCAGCAGTCCAGATAATCATAGAACTGAAGGCAGACGTCCACTGCAGCCTGGGGATCACTTCAAGCATTTAGTCGACACACTGGACACTCGTGTCGGTGTCAACATTCCATACCCACACCAGACCATTGGTGTCAGTATCAAGCTCACTTAGAGTCTTATTATAGTTTGATTGTGCCGAGCTACCTCTGGATGGAGTGTCCACAGCAGTTAGTCGAAATCTGTCACAATGATAATACAACTACAGATTCTAATGAGAAAGGTGACAGAGAAGGCTCTGTTGCATATTTCACTAAGAATCGAAATACCATTAGTGCTGTCGCATAATTTGACAGAATCGGTGATAGTACAGATACTACTACTGATCTCAGGTTTTAGGCACGCAACCGCTGACAGGTTGCTGCTTCGAGCGCCTGAAGCCAAAATCTAGTTGAAGTAGATAAAGCCGCACAAAGCGTGGAGACAGTGAAGGTAGTGCTTACGGCCGAGTAAAAGGCCTGAACATCTTAGCACGGACCACATGTGTCACAACCTACTCAAGGCAAATGCTTTGTTATGCTCCGCAGTCAATGCAGCTCTCCGCTGCTCTTCTTTTGTATATATAGACTCCTAGCTCTCTCGCTCTCTCTCTCTCCTACCACCATCATCAACAAAGACACCTCAACCCCAACACGCTGACGAATGACTCCAACACACTGACGAATGACTTCAACTGATTAAGAGTCTGACACTCAACGCAATGCCGCCATCGACAAGAGCTGGACAGATGGGAAGGGGCGATGATGATCAAACGACCACAAGCAATGGACAGGAGGAAGGATGGCTCATGCAGGTAGTCAGGATCCTCCAGCTGGCGAACCCGGCACTATCGGCAGAGGAAGCAATCGTACGAGCTATGGGTCTCATCAGCATTAGCAACCAGACCCCGCGCAGGGAAACCGAGAAGATCCCCAAGGAGGTGTCGAGCGCCATTGCGCACATCAAGAAGCTCAGCGACAGCAACTGGCACACTTGGGAACCTACCTTCATCGACTGCCTCCAAAGAGTACATAATGCGAAGGAGATACTGTATGGCACGGTAGCGCCTGGAAACGAGGAATACGACGAAGACTTGGATAAAGCCCTCGTGGGCCTCATCCACGCCTGCTGTGACAACAGTCCAGACAGCCGTATCGACACCTACACCGTCAGGGGAGTGGATGAAGAAGTCCAACTCGGTAACACACTCTATGCCAAACTCAAGAAGGCACTAACGTTGAACGACGCTGTAAAGCGAGCAGGACTGCAGGATCGTATTCACACAGTGCGCTTGCACAATCGAGACGTTGTCAGGCTAGGCAAGGAACTCGATTCGATCTGGAACGATGCGGCACGCCTGGGAAAGCGTTTCGACGAGGACCTCAAGAAATCAACTCTCTATTGCTGCACGGCCCAAGATTGGTTCTATGCCAACGCCGTCGATGCACTGAAAACGGCCAGACCAGACTGTAAATATGACGAAGCCTACCACGCACTCGCCAAGAAACAGCAGGATGGTGAGGTCACCGGCCGTATTAGAGGAGCAGCAAGGGTTGCCACAAGCACGGACCAGGCGGAGCAAGGACCCAGAGGCAGGCGCGATCCTCACAACCCCTTGGCCCCTCCAAAGTGCTACGCTTGTGGAGGACCTAATCACATTGCTCGAAACTGCACGAACACCAACAATAACCCCGCACCTAGTAGAGATGGACCCACCCCCAATCCGGCACAAGAAGTGAACCACTAGGAACTCGGGTGCACCTTTCTAGCAGTCGACAGGGGCGAGCAATCAGCATGCGACACCTGGATCATCGATTCAGGTGCAACCCATCATATGGTAAATGATGAGAGAATGCTGCTCACCTCAACGAACAAGGTCGGCCAAATCAGTACGGCAGGGGATGAAAAGCTTCAGGTGAAGGCTATAGGAGATGCCTCCCTTCGGGTCGGTGAGGCCACCATCCAACTATTGGATGTGCTTTATGTACCGAAACTGAATGCTAACTTATTGTCTGTACAAGGCTTGATCGAGAATGGTGCATGAGTAATCTTTGATGAGTTTGGAACTACCATAAAGCAGAACGATGGTACCCAAGTACAATACAAGAGGAACAGAAGAAAAGGGCGGTTCGAAGTACAGGGAAAGGCACTAGCCCTGGAGTTGGAAGAGACACTCGACGATGTCCCAGAGGACAACCAGAACACAGGAAAACTAGATAATGCCCCAGAGGGCAATAAGGACACGAAGCATCAAGACAGCTACCTATGGCATGAGAGGTTTGGACACCCAGGATGAGACAAAACAAGACAAATCCGGGCTCATTACCTAGGTACCGACGAGGAAATGGAACATGAGTCAAAGCACTGTAACGCGTGCAGCCAAGGAAAACAGACTCGAGCACGGATGGGCCAATCAGAGTCAGAAAGAATGGAGGCACCATTAGAGCTGGTACACATAGACCTGATGACAGATTTCAAAGGACATGCCAACTACCACTATGCACTAGTTGCTGTGGACGACTTCTCCTCTCTGATCTATGTGGAACCACTCTGCACCAAGAGTGCCGCACTCATGGCGCTGAGGAGGTGGGTAGCCAGGATGGAATGGGCAACGGACAGGAAACTCAAAACACTCCGCAGCAACAATGGAGGAGAATGGTGCAGCATAGCAGCTGAAGACTGGCAAACTCAAGAGGGTTTCAAGTGGCAAAAGAGCATCCTGGGGATCAGCGTCCAAAATGGATGGGCAGAGAGAGCAATCAGGTCGGTCCAAGAAAAGATGCGCTCGATGCTGATTGGTCGAGCTTGCCCCAGAGAGTTGTGGCCGTATGCAATCACAGCAGCAGCACATGTGATGAACCTTACCCCGTCAGCCACCAAAACCATTCCCCACAAGGCCTTTTATGGAACCACCACGCACAAGCTGGCCCAGCAACTGCGAGTCTTCGGATGCTTGGCATGGGTTCATGTTCAACAGAAGGACCAGCAAGGCAAGCACGGAGCTAGAGCAAAGCCAGCCATCATGATTGGGTATGACGACGAACACAAAGCATGGAAGTTTTGCAACCCGGACCAGTCTGCATCAATTCAATGGAGCAACTCAGCAACGTTCCATGAGGACAAAGGATGGAGTGATCGCCAACAAGAGGCAGTCAGGCCCGTGGTGACCGTGGAGGTTGAGGAGGAGGGTGCCACGCCAGCCATAGTAGAGGAGGAGACCAGATTAGAGGCCGCAGTGGAGGATCTCCTACCAGCCGTAGACAGCACAGTGGGTGCCGCCAACACAGCAATACTGAACCTGGACCCAACGCTTGGGGAAGCAATGAATGGTGAGGACGCCCAGCTCTGGAAGGAGGCAATACGAAAGGAGCTAGAAGGACTTGAGGCAATGGGGACTTGGGAGGTGGTGCACCAACCACCAGGAGTACCACTTGTGGACTCTAAGGTTGTGCTTCGGCTGAAGCTTGACGCTGATGGTGTACCTGTTAAGCACAAAGCGCGACTGGTTGCAAGGGGCTTCACACAGAGAGAGGGGATCGACTACCAAGAAACCTTCTCTCCAGTAGCACCCCTCGGAGCGATCAGAGCCATCTTAGCACTAGCAGTGCAGAACAACTGGGAGGTACATGCTCTGGACATCACTATGGCTTACTTGAACTCCACGTTAAAGGAAGCAATCTACATGAAGCTGCCAGAAGGATCAGGAGTAGCACCCGGCAAGGTGTACAAGGTAGTCAAGGGCCTATATGGCCTAAAGCAGTCTGGGCGAGAATGGAATCAGGAGTTCGACAGGTCTTTGCGACGCATGGGATTCTTCCAGGTAGAGTGTGCTCCCTGCATCTACACCAAGGGACAGGGTGAAGATATGGCCATTGTGGTCATCTACGTCGATGATACATTAGTCATAGCACCACGGCTGGAAACGGTCCTAAAGGTTAAGAAGCAGATTGGTCAGAGATGGAAGATGGAAGATAGTGGTGAGGTCTCTCACTTCTTAGGCATCAAAATCAGTCGAGACCGTGCGATGCGCACCATGACGATTGGTCAGTCAGGGTACATCGACCAAGTGCTGGCAAAGCACCTGGACAAACGCACGAAGCCGACCATGGTTCCAATGCAGAGCATACCGGAGGGAACCCTTGTCACAAGCGCAGCACAACAGAAGGAGTATCCGGTGATTGTTGGCAAGCTGCTCTGGATTGCCAACAGCACCCGGCCCGACCTTAGTCTCACCGTGGGTGTTCTCGCTAGGCACATGCATGAACCATCGCAGGAGCATTATCAGGCAGCACAAAGGGTCTTACGCTACCTCGAAAGCACAAGGCAGGTTGGATTGGTTTATAGGGCAAGTGAGTCGCAAGAGCCACTGGTTGCACACAGCGATGCAAACTGGGCAAGTGATGCCACCATACAGAGAAGAAGCACATCAGGGTCAGTGGCGTTAGTGTATGGGAACCCAGTAGCCTGGAAGTCAGCGACACAAAAATGCATGTCATTGTCCGCTGTCGAGGCAGAGTTCATTGCAGCCACGGAAGCAACACGTGAGGTGCTCTTCCTCAAGCAGCTGCTACGCTCAATTGGCATTGCCACAGGCACACCGACGGTCTACTCGGACAACACTGGTTGCATACAGGTTAGTAAGGACCCAGCACAGCACTGGAAGCTTAAGCACATCGACACCAAGTATCACTTCATCCGTAACAACATACAAGAGGGAAGGGTGCAGATCAGGTACATAGACACCACAAGAAACTTGGCAGACGTACTCACGAAGCCCATTGGGAGGCAGGCAATGCAGCAAGCAAGATCTGGGCTACACCTGCAAATACCGGCAGCAGTGTACGGAACAGGGTCCCCGAGCTATGCGACAGTGTTGAAGAACGGAGGTCACACTTTGAAGCAACAGCATAATGAACAGGGTACATATGCTGTTGAGGGGGGGAGTTGAAGTAGATAAAGCCGCACAAAGCGTGGAGACAGTGAAGGTAGTGCTTACGGCCGAGTAAAAGGCCTGAACATCTTAGCATGGACCACATGTGTCACAACCTACTCAAGGCAAATGCTTTGTTATGCTCCGCAGTCAATGCAGCTCTCCGCCGCTCTTCTTTTGTATATATAGACTCCTAGCTCTCTCGCTCTCTCTCTCTCCTACCACCATCATCAACAAAGACACCTCAACCCCAACACGCTGACGAATGACTCCAACACGCTGACGAATGACTTCAACTAATCTGACGTTGAAATCCTGATCATCGAATGGCTTCTTGAGTGTATCATAAAGGAGCTTCTTTTGTGGTGATGCAGTCAAGCCTGGCAGGCTCGGCAAAGACAGCACGGTCATGTGGCAGATTGGACACAGCGGGAGAGGCAGGAGAAGAACCGGGGTTGGGCATAGGAGGAAGCATTGGAATCAAATTGTGTGATGCAGTTGTTGGAAGGGAGGGTAGGAGTGCAATCAGTGCTGGCAGTGATGGTGGCAGTGATGGTGGTGGTATATTGTCGACCAAAACTGAGCTTCCACACATGCAGAGGACGCATTCTCGGCTGTCGGAAAAGAAGAATCTAACATATTCAAATAAAATCCATACAGGAATTTTCAAGACTGTTTGCTTGCGGCGATCTGACAATGTTGCGCACTGTGTTTTCCTTGCTGCTCAACAACAGAATGCAGCCTTTTCTTCCAAACGCTTGCTACTATACTCTCACTACTATACTCTCACTACTGTACTCTCACTACTATACTCTCAACCTCGTCCACCTTGGCATACTTGGGTGTGCTCGATGATCGCCCCGACTACCAAAGCGGCGGCCCGCCGTGCTCTTCGTTCTACATCACTATCAAGTCGATGCTGCTGTCATTCTCCACATGCTGGACCTTCTCAGCTTCGAGCTTTTGCAACTACTTTAGCTGTACGCCATCCCGACAGCTCATCACAAGCTTCCTCATCACAAGCTCGAGTGGATACTGTGTCCTCTAGCTCGAGTCATGACGCATTCTACGGCGTATTCCCATCTCGAACACATACTTGCGGAGAGCTGCGCCCAACACACGCCGAGCGAGACGTCATCCTCACGGGTTGGCTGCGGTCCTCACGCCAGGTCTCAAAGCAGCTCGGCTTCTTAACAATATTTGATCACACCGGCTCGGTTCAGCTCAAAGTCCAGCCCACTCCCGACTCACCATCACTTCTCGAGACCTTCGCCACCATACCCCTCCAAAGTGCCGTCCTCGTCCGCGGTAAAGTCGCTCTCCGTCCAACCCAAGACTCAAACGCGACACAATCAACAGGGGCCGTCGAAGTCCTCCCTGAAAGCTTCACATTGCTCAATCCTGCCACTCGCGATCTTCCCTTCCAGCCTTCCGACTCGGTCCACGCAGACCGTGTCTCCACCGAACTTCGAGCACGCTACCGATACCTTGATCTCCGACGTCCCTCTTTAGCACAAAACATCAGGCTACGCAGTCACATCACACACGCCATTCGCAGCCATCTCTACGCCCAAGGCTTTCTCGAGATCGAGACACCTCTCTTGCTTCGATCAACACCCGAGGGTGCTCGAGAGTTCTTGGTGCCTACAAGATCCTCCTGTGGCAGCAATAGCTTCCAAGATCCGACCTTTTATGCACTTCCACAGTCGCCTCAGCAGCCGAAACAGCTTTTGATAGCATCAGCAGTCACCGACAAGTATTTTCAGATCGCAAAGTGTTTTCGAGATGAAGATGGTAGGAAGGATCGTCAACCCGAGTTCACGCAGATCGATCTCGAGATGGGCTTTGTTAGCGGTGGTCCCAGCAGCACCGAAGCAACGCAGCACTCACCAGTGCCGTCTGATTCAAATCAGAATGTTGATGCTCGAGATGCACAAGGCCAGTGGAGGATAGGCGGTCATCAGGTTAGAGATGTCATCCAAGGCCTCGTTTCGAGAATCTGGCAGGTTGCAGGTAGAGGCGAGCTACCGGCTCAATTCCCCGTCATGTCCTACTGGACCGCCATGACACGCTACGGATCTGACAAGCCGGATCTGCGCTACGATCTAGCGCTCCATGACATCTCCTCTGCCTTTGTCTCCTCATCCGACCCCAACCCGAAGCCCGAATTATGCGGACAAAGCCTGGAAATCCTCCCCTACCAACACCACTTTACCGGATCGCTCTCCAAAAAAGAGCTCGACAATCTCCTCTCGCCGTTCAAAGGCAAAGTCGAACGTTTCCGCATCTCCTCGATCGACAACATTCATGAGCTTGCCGCCCTCCTCCTCAAAAAGAGCGCTCTCACTAGAACCTTTCTCTCCCGACTCGAACATCTCCCAGCATCGGAAGTGAGTGTCGAGCATCTCGCTTCAACCCTCTCATCCGCCATCAACGCCGAGTCACGAGAGACAGACGCCCAACAACCCATCGACATCCTCCTCTCCCTTCGCAAAGATCCTCCCGAAGGCGGCAGCACGACCCTTGGCCATGTTCGAAAACTTCTCGCCTCATCCCTCATCTCCAAGAACCTCCTCCAACTTAAAGGCGATCTTTTCACTTGGATCACCGAATTCCCTCTCTTCACTCTTGCAGATGAGGACAAGAACCAACTCTCCACCCTTTCTTCCGGCAGCTCAACAACAAGGTGGCAATCCAGTCATCACCCCTTCACTGCTCCTGTTGCTCAAGATATCCCCCTTCTCGAACCTCCCTCACCTAACTCTACCCAAGTCGATCCAGCAGCCATTGCGCAGGTTAGAGGACAACACTACGATTTGGTCTTGAACGGTCAGGAAATCGGTGGAGGGTCCGTTCGAATTCACTCTCGGAAACTACAAGAAACAGTTTTCCGTGATGTCCTCAAACTGGATGATGCGGAAAGAGCAAGATTCGCACACCTGATCCATGCACTCGACTGCGGAGCACCCCCACACGGCGGAATCGCACTTGGCTTGGATCGTCTCACGGCTATCCTATGCAACACGGAAAGCATCAGAGATGTCATTGCTTTCCCAAAGCAAGCTTCTGGTGTAGATCCTCTCTTCCGTTCTCCTGCACCTTTACGCGATCAGACAGAATCACAAGCCACAACCGACACAACCGACACCCTCTTACGCATGTATGGATTGGCAAAAGCTCCAACCGGCGAGAACAAATCAAGAAACAGCTTTTCTGAATGCTAGAATTACAACTGATAAACACCCCTTGCCCGAATGACCGCCGAGTGTATGAGGCAACTTTTGAGGTTAGATCATATTCCTGAGTAAGACCTTATAACATTCTTCATCATACGGTCTACCATCCTTGACAAAAAACTGCGTATCCTCAAACGGCCTCCTACATTCCTCGCAAGTAAAACATTCCGGATGCCACTTGCCCCCTAGTGCAGTAATCAGATCGTAAATGATCGGTTTCTTACACCCCTTACACCTCGGCTTGTGCAAGTTGACATGACAATCCTCACAGTACGGATAACCTTTATGAACAATAAACTCCATTCCACCATGTTTTACCTTGCCATTCTCATCTGCTGTCATCAACCCTGGATCTGAACCCGCAACAGACCCAGCAGCTTTTGGGTCAAGGAATGGATCTCCACAGTTGGCACAGAAAAAGTGCAATTCATGATAACACCTCTCTGCCGTCTCCCCATCCTGTCCGGTAAGCTCTTCATCTTGGACGGTAATGTAGCGTTCGTCAACAATGGGTGTACGACAGTGGAAGCATCGTTTAGAGAAAAGTTCGTGATAGTCAAAGTGGCAATAGGGTAATCCTTCGTGTTGGTAGAATGCTACGTGTTCGAGGCCTTCCGAGCAGTGGGCACAGACGAAACAGCCAGGGTGGAAGGTGGTGCCGAGAGCATGAACCACTTTTCCTGCAATCCACTTGCGACAGCCGTGACACCCAGCTCCACTGCCAACGGATGAGGCGCAAACGCGGCCGTTTTCGGCCTCGGTCTTGCCATTCGGGGAGGCGGAGGGAGAGTGACTTGTACCTGCACGTTGGGATTTGGCAGAGGGTTCAACGGAGAACGAGACTGAGATCGAAGCACCTCGACTACCGGTACTTGTCTGTGAGCGCACGTCGTCGTCTTCGTCCGATGTGACTGAGATCATGGGTTCGTTGCTTGACGATCCATCATCGCCGCCAGGACCAGAGATCGAGATGGAGGGTCCAGAATGACCATCATTGTCATCATCACCACCCGGGAGGACAATCGTTGGTACTACACTTGGCGAAGATGTTTGCTGAATGATCTTCTGACCAGGGACGAGCGCTGCTCGCGAGACACTACTTCCACGCCGACGTCTTGGCTTCTCTGGTTCCTCTTCCGGTGCGTCGATGCTGAATGAGGGGATCGCAGGAGCGCCCGATTGAGTTGCTGGCGAAGGTTGAACGGCGGTTGTAGTCTGACTAACCGACATGCTCCCAAGAGAGCTGGCCAGCTGTGTTGTGTCTTCGTAGCGGGCTGGCTCGTTGCGGCGTGCTGTCTGAGCCTGCCTGGCTGGTTCGTATCCATTCGATTGGGCTGCTGGCGACATAGATGGCTGGAATCGGGCGGGCGCTGATGGTGTAGATCCTTCCGGGCTTTGCTGGGTGCTTTGACTCGGGACGGTACTCATCGTGCTCCAATTGGAATCAGTCGAGCTGTTGAGCGCAGATCTGGGCCTGCTTCCCATCGCCGCTGTGGCTGCATCGCTCGACGTTTGTGTCACAATTCCTACAGGAAATCCATTCCCAGTTGCAACAGGCTCGCTCTGACTAGCCGACATCTCACCCGCCAACCTGGTGGCAGGCATCGGAGGCGAAAATGTCGTGCTAGCAAGTGCGCTTCTGAGTGGACGCCGCTGAGGAGCACCTCTCGCCATCAATGCTTCAGCTGCAAGCCTGACGCTCTCCGTTCGATTCAACGCCGAGGCAGGAAGGCGAGAAATGGTACCTGCAAGAGGAGAGCCTGGACTGCCAGCGTCCGATTTGGCCAGGCTAGAGGCAGCTGAGATGGTAACGGCTGATCCGGAGGGTGGACGTGGAAGATTGCGTCGGACACTTGGGCGATCCGTGAGACTCGTTGGGCCGACAACGGGAGATCCTGGTGCGGAAGGGTTGGACGAGGTACGTGTGGGCTGAGGCAAGGGTCTTCGAATGGAGCCGACGGAGGAAGAGGTGGACTGCCTGCTGTGGTCGGCGACATAGGCTGGGTGAGACGGCGGCACACCGTTGGATGCCGGCATCGGGGGAGAAGCTAGCTGCACCGAAGGCAAGGCGTGCCCATTGGATGGCATTGGAGGAGCAGCTGCGCCGGGCAAAGTAGCGTAATTGACAGCAGCTGGCTGTGCTGGTGACATCACGTAGCCAGGTTGATCCCATGGCTGCTGCATTTGCGCTGCTGGAACACGGGCGACATTGGGATAGTAGGCCGTGTTGGGTGCTGCCTGAGGTGGCAGAGGTTGGCTTTGCGGTGCTGGCGCCCATGGCTGCTGTTGTTGTGGTGACATAGCGAGGTATTGCGGCTGTGGCACACCGTTCTGGTGCGAGGCAAGGTACTGAAGATGGGAAGCTGGGATGACGTGCGAATGAGCATAACTGACCGGTGCCTGGGTTGTAGAGTAAACAGGCATTCCTGCTGCTGGAGCGAACGGAGACGAGTGCGGTGGCTGAGCATTGTAATTCATAGGGGCTGGTTGCTGTGCCGTCTGATATGAGATCACAGGAGCACTGTCTCTTCGCTCTCTTGTATAGCCTGAATAGGCTGGATTCGAAGTCGAGTCTGAGTGACTATATGCCATTGTGACCGAAGAGGGTTGTGCTGGCTGCTGCTGCTGTGCATACATAGCATCCTGTATTTGGGCACAAGGCGGTTGTGGAGAGACAGGGGCTGTCTGCTGATGCTGACGATAGAGCTGTTGCTGTTGTTGTTGCTGCTGCTGAAGCTGATGCTGATAATTATAGAAAGCACTCGGAGCTGGCGGGTTCGAAGTGACCTTGGAGCGCGCTCTCTTGATAGGAGAAGAAGGAGTGGAGGAAGAGGCATCCTTGAGCTCGCCAACCGATGTCCTGCGTGGTAGCGAGGGCTCAGGAGAGTGAGAACTAGGTGGGAGGTAACCACCTCGCGTATGGGTTTCGTTCATTTGCGCTGACAAGGGTTCGTATGACGAGCTCCTGCGAGGTTTGCGAAGGGTAGTGTTGGGAGGAGGTGGTGGTGCATGAGCGAGCCAAGCGGCCGACATGTCGACTGGTTCCTGAACCGGCATCTTGACGAGTTGCGAGAAGGTTGAATGAGACTGTGTATGTAAGGAGAGGTGTCGTCAAAGGCTGGTTTTGCTAGTGGCCAACGTTGGGCACAGCCTAGCGGCGAAGATCCTGATTTCCTGTTTCAAGTAAAGTAGCAGCCAGCGATGGTTGTCGGAAGGCAAGATGAAGAAGTCGAAGTCAAAGCTTCGACTGAGTAGTGTGATGCTGACTGCTTAGCTTCCACCCTGAAACTGAGTCTAAGGAGGGCAGGGCAGGGCAGGGCAAGGCAATTCGAAGCAAACGGGAAGCATCAGGGTTCAACACAGAGACACACAGTTCAACTTCTCTTCCGCTCTCACCCCTGCCCTTTCCTTATAAGCCGAGTTTAGAGACACAGCAGAGATGTTTCGGTTACTTACCTACGACCGACGACGAACTCGTAAGCGAGTAAGTCGGGGAGGTGAAGACGGTGGTGGTTCGGAAGCAACAACATAGTCAGCGACCAACTCGGTTTTCGGACTGCGCAATCTGAAAAATAAAAACTATCCACTTGACGTGCCTATTAGATTAATAAGCATGAGCTCATCAACTTGCAGCCCTCGGAACCGGCTGATACAGTAACTGTCACGCCTGGACACCTTCTCGTGCGAATAAATTCCGCACGAGAAAGTTCGATTCCTATCGTTGCTTTGTACGAAAAGAGGGCGTAGACGCTGACCAAGGCCCTTTTCCATTGGTAGCATTTGGGCGTTGGTATGTTTTTGAGCGGAATGTAACATAGATTGCTTACTAATGATGAGTGGAGTGGGGAGTATAATGAGATATGAGCCAGCCGAGGCGGTGAACCCTAACTTTACCGGCGCGTGCCTGATCGCGACCAGGAGTACAACACTCGAGAAAGTATGGTGTATACTATTCTCCGTCGGCGCGCAAAACGGATGAGAGTATAGGACAGTTAGAGGCATAAATAAATGCATCATGCCGAAGCTCTAGCCCCTTTGCAGGATCCAGCTTTCTTGTCAGATGGTCAATACTTCTCCAACCAAAGATCAACATAACGATCGCAAACCTTGACACCACCGCCACGGCTTTTGCTTGTATCAAATAACTCCTCTCCGCCATTTGCCACAGCTCCGCTCAACTTCCAATACTGGCCCCTCTCGCTATTTATGTCCCAGGCTAGATCAAAACAGTCATCACTATTGCGGAACTGGTACCGCAAGCCTACGCCTGCTTCCATATAATTGACATAATAATCCTTAGTAATGTCGGCAAAGGTAAAGTCGGTCAAGAAACCATCTTTGACGATAGGAGTTACTTTCACGTCTTTTCTCGTCTCCCACCTAGAAAAAAAAAGTGAAGTGGGCCAAGCGAATCGAGCCAGAGACGTGATGGAAGCAAGGAGACTTGGAGGCAGATTCGGAAGAACAAGCTTTGTTGAAGTCCGAGTTTTGAGGGAGAATTGGGGTCAACTCCAGCGGACAGTTTTGGGCAAAGGCCGCAGAAAGGACGCTGAGAGTGCTAAGGAGGAGAATGAGCCAAAGTGAGTTCATTTTGGAAGCAAATTTGATGATTGGTACTGGAAGATGGAGGAAGACGAAAGCTAAGTAGGATGGCAAGGTGGGGGCTTAAAACTGTTGGGATGGCGTGCTTTAAAAGGCCACATGCCTGGCGAGGCCAGAAGGTGGGCCATGTCAAAAACTGTCGGTTGGTCAACGGGAATGTCGTGCTGTGGTTGAGAACGGTGGGAAATGCCCCGCAGGTGGAGACTTTGTTGATGAGGTCGACTGTTACATGCGCAGGCTATATGTGCGTTGTAATGGAGTAACCAAGTGGATTGCGGCAAGGAGGATCTCAGGTCCTTGCCGAGGCCGAGTGCGGCGTGGACGTTGCTACCGAAAGGTCAACAGTGAGGCGCTTTCTTCTCACTAAGGCTTACATAAGCACAGTCAGGTGAGCTGTCAAATTGCCTCTCCTCTGAGCTTCTGACAAGAAAAGTCGAGCAAATGGCTGCACGACTTGCAATCTGTGCAATTTTCGGATCCTCCGTCCGCACCATCTATACATCTCCTGTCATCACCATCGTTCGTGGCTTGAGATCATACTGACACATCATGTCGGCCCCCATCCGAAACTTGCAACGAGGCGCATCCCGCGCTTTCTCTTCAAGCAGCTCTGCGCTCGTCTCTCGCAGCGTCTCGGCATCTTCATCGGCCAACCCGATCGCTTCTTCTTCTTCCTCCTCTTCCTCCTCTTCCTCCTCTTCCTCCTCTTCCTCCTCCTCCTTTTCCAACGCCGCACGCTCCAAGGACATCAAACGTGAGAAGCGCAAGAAGGATCATGTTCTCCGAAAAGCAGTCGAGATGTATCACTTGACGTCGTCGTTCCTGCCAACGCCGCAGCGAGCCATGGCCACTTCCGCCGACCAGAGGTCTGATTCCTCCTCTGCAACTGCTACCTGGGAATCTGCTTTGGACAACGCCATCTACTCTTCGATTCTCAACACGGATTCGGCTTCGCGCCGATCGCCGAACCTTGTGCCCCGTGGCTTGACCGACTTGGGCAGAGAGCAATCGAACCGTGCAGCCTCTGTCCCTTCTTTCGGCAACACCGAAGAATCGGCATCTAGCCGCGCCAAGGAAATCAACTTGTTCGCCTCTGATCTCACCAGCACAACCTTCCTCACACGCAGAGAGCGAGAAGCCGCTGCAGCCAAGTCGACCCCGGTCAGTTTGCTAAAATTATCTCGAAAACGCTCATCAAAGCAGAACCGAGGAGGTCTCGACCACTTTACCGATGCCGACATTGCCATGTACCACAAGAGACACAACCACGAAGCTGGAGCAGGATCTTCGCACGATCTGGACAACAGCAGGTACTCTGGCGCAGAGAGGCTCACTCATCTCGATCGTATCAGACCCGGTGGAAACGAATGGTACCGAAACCAAGGACTTGATACCAGGAGCGCTCGAGTTCGTGATGCCCTCTTTGGTACCGTCAACGGTGAATTGCCAGGCCTTGAGGTGGTTCGCGAGAGGATCGCCAAGATGAGGCGTGAGCACCCGTCTCACAAGTGAACGCATGCCACGCAGCAGCCAATCAGTCAGGGCATCGACTTGCTTGCTGTCCCTTTCGGATGCACCGACGACCACTCGGAAGAACTCACAATCTCAAACTTGACCATATCACTCTTCTCCTGTATAATCACCCTATCATGCTTCAGCCATCGGCCCGCCCGAACCAGCCTCGAGCAAAAAGAAAAGAAAAACAAAACAAAAAAAGAAAGCTTGCAATGTACACTCGATCAGACCATTCATGGCATCGGCTGTGCCGACAGTGCTTATCTGCCTCACAGTCCCAGAAACACCGCCATTTGACGCCACAATTGACCTTTTTCTCTCCTCTCCAGATCACAGGCTGAGTTCAAGATTGGTGATCCTTCTCGCCGCAGCCAAACTGCCCCTCGTCAGGACCAAGTCCTTGCGCCTCGCAGGTGAGAATGCCTGACTTCGATCGGCCCTCATAAATAGCAACCTCAGCAGCAGCTTCCTCTTGAGATTCCCCTCGTCAAGACGTCTTTGACCTCAGAGACATCCCTCCCCTTCCCACCTTCACCAACCCATCGCCAAGGGTGGACAATGTCCAAGCACGCCCTCGCAACAGCATCCTCCACAATCATGTCTGACAACTCAAAGTTCTCTTCGTTCGACAACATCTGCGCTCACCAAGATGCTCAAACGCCCACACCATCCCACCCTCCACTCAGAGCCCCCATCATCATCTTTACCTCTCAGGGCGCCGACTTCATCTGGGCCTTCGAACCCATTCTGCACCTTGCCGCCCACCAACCCGAACTCGCATCATTCCTCTCGTTGGCCCTTCACGCTGTCCGTGTCGAGCTTCAGAGCGTCGCCAATCGTCGAAGCGGCGCATCTTCTACGACAGAAGCACAAAGCTCAGCCGAGGTCGAGCTGCTTGCCATCCTCCCGCCGTTTGAGCCCTTCTCTGACCTGGAGACCCTGGTCAATTTTCATCGCCGAACAGGTCTCAAGGATTCGGTGATCAACGGAGTGCTTCTCTGCGTCCTGCAAACAGCGTGCGTAGTAGCGCTCTATTGTGCAGCACAAAGGGGCGACGTCGACAATGAGGATGCCCAGGCTGTCCTGTCCGATCTCCGAAAAGCTTGGAAGGCCGTTGCACAACTGTGCTCCCAACTACTAGGCTTCTGCACCGGTGCGCTCTCGGCTTTTTCGCTTCGTAATGTAGTCGAAGAGGACGCGACGGCATCATCTTTCAACATTTGGACCTATGCTCAGGAGGCCATCAAGACGACCCGCGTCTGTTTTTGGATCAGTTTGCGCTCTGCGCAAGCTCGTGATCGGCTCATCAAGGCCAACGCCCCACCCACACCCTTTGATCACTGGAGCATTGTCGTGTCATTCAAGGCACCAGACAGCGCCGAGCGTGTCTACCAATGTCTTGCACAATTCAACATGCTCGAGCAGGAGCGGCCGCTCCACGAGCCTGTATCTCTCACTATCACGGCCAGAGCAGTCAACCAGGTCTCGATCGGAGGACCGCCACACTCTCTAGAACGCTTCATGGCATACCTGTCCGAGCACATGAGAGCCGACGCTAGAGCTTTCCCGCTCGAGATATTTTCACCCTATCATACTCCAGATCTCAAAGTTGAGGCCAACCTGGTGATGCTCGACCTGGAACGTCGAGGTCTCGTCGATGATACTCTTCTGCCACCCAGCCAGAAGATCTTGTGGGAAACGGCATCCGCTGAAATCCTCTCCAAACCCAGTCTGCGCGGCGCTTTGCATGCCCTGATCGATAGCAACCTGTGCTCGACAGCGGACTGGGACACGATGGTCGATCGCCTGCTCCTGCTCGAAGGAGAGCTCCCAGCTCCGACACCGACCGATCATGAAGTCGTTGTCTCAATCGGTCCAGGCGTCAACCTCGCAGCAGACCTCAAGAAGCGTTTCTCATCACAGTGCGAGTCTTCCCCTGCCACAGATACCATCACAATCCTGGACGTGCCCGTACTGCTTCGCGAGATGATGCGCCATGACGCGGAGATGCTCGGACCTGAGCGATGCACCTTGCAGCCGGACGTCTCAGGCGACGACGTGGTGATCGTTTCAATGGCCTGTCGATTCCCTGGCGACGTTTGCACTCCCGAGCAACTCTGGACGTGCCTCGAGACCGGGAGATCCACCGTGTCAGAGATCCCGAAGCACCTCTTTGACATTGATGCGTACTACGGCGACGGCCTCAATCAGACTCTTGCCAGGCACATGCATGCTCTCTCGGAGAACGTGGTCAAGTCGATGGATGCCCGACTCTTCAGCATGTCGCCGAAGGAGATCGAGCAGCTCGACCCACAGCATCGACTCGTCATGTTGTGCTCCTACGAGGCGTTGGAGCGTGCTGGATACTCTGCTGAGGCTAAGTCACCCTCTTGCTTTGACGGTAAGCGCATTGCTGTATGCATGGGAGCCAGTTGGGACGACTATCGAGAGAATGCTAGCTGGAACATTGGGAGCTACTTTATCACAGGCAATATTCGTGCCTTCATCCCCGGCCACGTATCGTTCTCCCTGAAGTGGGAGGGCCCCAGTGTCTCGGTGGACTCTCTCGAATGCTCTGCAGTCTCGGCAATTCAATGGTCCAGAAGAGCGCTCCTCAGTGGACAGTGCGATGCGGCACTTGCTGGAGCCGTCAATGTCTTGACGCAGCCACAGATGTTCATCGCCATGGACAAGCAGGGTATCCTCTCCCACAGTGGTACCAACATGACATTCTCTTCGAAACTAGATGGCAAGACGCGAGGCGACGGATGTGGCGTTTTGCTCCTCAAGCGACGCTCGACCGCGATCCGCGACGGCGACAAAATCCTTGCAACGCTTCCAGCAGCAAAAATCACCTATCATGGACAGTCATTCGATGGCGAAGCAGCGAGTACTCAGCAGTCTGACTTCTTGGCTCGAGTCTTTTCCGAGGCTGGTCTGCAGCCCTCAGACCTTGTCCACATCGAAGCAAGTGGCTTTCACAGTAAGGAAGGCGAAGCAGCAGAATTTCAATCCTTTGCTCGCTTGCTTGACCACGCCACCGATCGCTCGGCTCGTCAGTCTGCTCAAAAAGAACATGACGTCTCTGTGGCCAGTTTGAGACCCAACATAGGCGCAGGAGAAGCAGTATCGGCTATGACCTCAGTGATAAAGGCGGTCTTGATCCTGAACAAAGGCATTATTCCTAGACAGGTGTCGATCTCTCACTCATCCGAGCTGCAACCTGCCATTGCTGCGACGTGTTGCGCGTCCAAGCTGTTTGTTCCCACAGAGGCGAAACTGCTACCAGCTCCGAGAGGCAGACACGATCGTCGCCATATCCTGGTCAACAGCCTTGCCAGTACCGGCTGTCATGGAGTCATGCTGGTTGGCTCACCCATGGACGACGGACAGGATCAAATCCAAAAACGTCAAAAAATGTTGCGCCAAAATCAACCAAAACAGGCAAGAGAACAGAACCAACAGAACAAATCCCAAAATACCTCGCAGGTCCAAAACAGCAGCCCCAAGGCGCAAAAAGCATGTGATGTTTCTCCTATGGGCACCGGCATCTCTGACGATGAATGTGCATGGGTGTTCGTGTTGTCGGCCAAGACCAAAGAGTCGGGAGAGATGCTAAAGAAATCTCTGATCGACTATCTCCAACGTGACGCTTGTCTAGCTGACCTCAGCTACACACTTGCTTGTCGCAGAACACACTATCCCTTCCGACTGAGTGTCATTGCCGCCGAACAGGATGAACTCATCCGACGCCTGCGAGGCGCCGAATTCATCGAGGCTAGACCTTCCGGCGACTTGCCGGCTTTCCACTTCGAGTTCAGATCGCCTTCTGAAGGGTCGCTCCCATTAATGAAGCCCTTCATCCGCTTGACCTGGGCCTTGCGCGACAGGTCCGAGGAGTTTGTCGCATTCCTGTCGTCGCTCGGCGCCACCGAGGAAGAGAAGAATTCGCCCAAACTCGTGCAGATATGCTTGGCCACGGTCCTGCAAAATTGTGGCATCAGCCCAGCCCTCGTCACTGGCGACAACGAGATTGGTACGCTATTCTTCCAGGGCTTGATCGACAACGAGAGCATGCTGGGAGCAGCTTACGATGACGGCGAAAGAACGCTTCACCATGCCATCAAGCATACCTGCGATGATAATCCAGTTCTAGACGAGAAGCTGCTGAAGACAGGATTCTCTCTTTCGCGAGGTGCAGGTAGACAAACCGTTCTTGATGAAGCCAAGGAGCCGACACGCGACCTCACAGGCACACTCTCCGTTGTGGTCAAAGCCGGAGAGCAGGCTGATCCAGGCAGAAATTACTGCTCAATCGTCATTACCGACACAGTGGCGCTGTCTGATGATCAGCTACACGATCATGACAAAAAGCAAGACCACGTTGCAGATCCCCAAGCGCTGCAGAGGTCGCTCCTCTTCGCGCTTGGAAGATTGTATCAACAGGGATACAATGTCAGCTGGATTGAGTATTTCCGACCGTACTTGCCGTGCCTCAAACATGTCGACACGTTGCCGACCTATCCATTCCACCTTCAGCAATTCTGGTTGGAGTACCATGATCGTAATCTCATCCAGCACAGCGGCGGCGAGGAAGATGACTCCTCGGCTGCCCAGGACGGCGAGCTAGATGGCGTCGAGGGCAGCAATGGCGGCGCGGCAGACTTGGTGCCCGATGAGCCACTCACGCAGCCACTCTTGAGCACTCAGACGAGAGCGGACAGCGGATTGCGAATCTACATATCTGACCTGAAGGACGAAATTCAGGCGGCACTTCTCCAAGTCGCATCGTCATCCGCGATGTCGATCGAACTCATGACGGAGGCGGCCATAGAGTCAAGCGCCTCTTCAAACGTGCCCGTTGATGGGGTCGGCGGGCGCACTCTGATCCTGTCCCACGTGCTATTATATGGTGAATTGAGAAATCTGCTCACTGCTCAGGAAGCCAGACTCGCAGTCGCGTTCCGAGGTCAGCGTCAGGATTGTCATGGCGATGGTATTCAGCTACGCTTTGATTCCAAGCCAGATGCCTTCGGCGAGTGCGAATATCAGTGGCTCGACAGCAGAGACGTGGAACGTCAATGGGCAAGACTGCAGAGTCTGCTACGCGAGAAAATCGACAGCATCAAAAACAGCGGCGAGATGTTGGGCTCGAGACTAATCTACAAGAGTATCGGTGGCGATTTTGCAAAGAGCTCAAGGTCGATTCGCAGTGTGCATTTCGAGACACGATCGAAGGAAGCGGTGTTCTGCATCGATGGTCCAACTCCCGATTCATCGATGCTTGCTGCAGGACAGTGTGTCCTTGCTCTCGTTGTGTCTACGCTCGAGGAGTGCGCACGCTGGCATCACACGAATTTCAACGCGAATGCAGATGGACAATATGGTGTTACGGCCATCGGTGAGCTCGTGATTCAGCATGAATGGCTGGAGTGTCTCAAGCAGGCACGAAAGTCAACAAGCAGCTTCACGGCTTTCGTCTCACCTGCTCAGGCAGCTGGCCTTGTTCTCGGACCTGACGATGCGCTGGTCATCGACATGGTGCTTTTTGACGACAAATCGCACATCGTCGGAGAGCTTACCTCGGTTCGCCTCGCTCGAGTCGAGTCCACCTCGAACATGTCGACTTCCAAATCTACCACTCATTTGGCTCCAGTCGTCGCCAACGAAACACAGCCTGCAGCACCCGCCGCTCCCGTCCCGAAGACCAACGAGCCAAAAGCCCAGCCTGCTGCTAAGAAGGCCTCGACAATGAAGCGATCGAGCGCTGCTGAAGATGTGCATGCCAAGATCACGGCCGTGTTGGCTTCCGAACTCGGTATCGCTGTTGAGGAGTTGAAGCCGAGCGTCAAATTCGCCGACCTCGGACTCGATAGTCTTATGTCTTTGGTCTGCATTTCAACCTTGGAGGCTCTCAACCTCGGGTTCGACATTCCGCAATCACTGTTCTTGGAGTGTGATAGTCCGGAGGAGCTGCTCGCTTGGATCCGAGAGCAGGTTGGTGATGCCGATGGCGACAACACCGGAGATTTGGGTCCCGATGATGACTCTGTCCCCGACATCACCGAGACTGCAGCTGATCCTGCGGCTTCTTCCCCTGGATCGACGCAGGCCCCCGCCGTAAAACAGGCTAGTAACGTGGCATCGCCAGCCCAGGGCAACTCAGCAGTGGAGGAAGCGATGAAGACGATCATCACGACCATCGAGACCGAATTGGGCGTAGCAGGGGGTAGCATCGACCAAGACGCCAACTTAGCTGATCTGGGCATGGACTCGCTCATGTCTCTGCTCGTATTGGGTAATCTTTCGGGCATGCTTCCGTTCGAGCTTCCTTCTTCGCTGTTCATGGATTGCACTTCTCTCGGCGAGATTTGCGCATTTCTTGTTGTCGAGCTCGGCGGTGGCAACTCCATCGACACCACCGCTGCCCCACCCCAAGCAAGTGTGCCCGCCCAAATTTCGCCGCCAACCTTCGCCATCCCCTCCGCCAAACCCCCCGTCCTCCTCCGCAAGCCCACGACCCCAACCAACCCCAACTCCACCCCCCTCTTCCTCCTCCCCGACGGCTCCGGCATGTCCACTGTCTACCAATTCCTCCATCCTATCGATCGCGCCGTGTACTCTATAAACTCTCCCTTCCTCTCCAACGCATCCGCTTGGAACGGAGGCATAACTCAAATCGCCCACTACTATCTCTCCTGCATTCGACTCGTCCAGCCTTCCGGACCGTGGTTGGTGGGAGGATGGAGCTTTGGCGGGATGGTTGCGTTCGAAATCTCCCGCATCCTCGCTACTACGCCTGGTGGCAAGGATGATTGGGTAGCGGGGCTGTTCCTCCTCGATACGCCAAGTCCAGTGTACCCTCCGCTACCGTTGACGATTGTGGATTGGATCAATAGCGCAGAGGAGGTGAAAGATATTGCTCCATCTTCGTTGCCGGAGAAGTTGGTTGCGCATTTCAGTGCTACGTTGGGGAGTCTTGTCGGGTGGAATCCCACTTCGCTCAGCGAGGTGCGAGAGGAGGGTAAGGTTCCGAAAACATGGTTTGTCGTGGCAGACAACCAGCTGCCAGGTAAAATCGAAGATATAAGGGAGATAAATGAAACTGTGCGATGGCTGTTTGTTCCCAACCGCGCAACGCAAAATGGTTCTGATGGTTGGGAACGATTCATCCCACCTCACAAGATCACCGTGGAACCGGTATCGGGAGCGAACCATTTCACAATGGTTAGAGAACCAGCTGTGGAGGCGGTGGCAAGGGTTTTACAAGAGGCCTGTGGGCAGGCGTTGCAGGCTTGACGCTCGCCTTGCAAGATTTAGGAGGGTGCTTGTGCTCTTTGCGGTTGGTGTTTTGTTCATACTTGTCATATATTCGCGTTGTCTCGTGTTGGTCGTCAAATTTAAGGACAATGTCAATGATCCATCTCGTTCTGAACCTCTTTGTGGTCATTCGTCGTGTCGAACTGGCATGTGTGCGCTCAAATACCACCTTTCAGGCATGCATGCGAGTCTGTGCAGACCAACTGTGAAGACATGACCTCATACAATCGGCTCGGTTTGAGATGCTGGCGAGTCACGAGGAGGAGACAAGACACACCTTGTTCTCGCCGCATCTAGAGCTGTGAGTGTTGAGGAAAGCACAATCAGGGCGGGCAAGCGAGGGGCGAAATCGTTGTATTCCCTGAGAACTAAGTACAGTAATGTCAAGAGCATATATGCTTCTGTGGTCAGTATGTGAAGGCGAGGTGCCACGTATGACTACATGCTTGTTGAATGAGATAGGGGTCCTTGGTGGGTGGTGTCGGACGTTGGTGGGAGTTGATGGGTGGCGACGCTGAGCGAGGTTTGCAGAAATGTCGGGAAATGACTAAGCAGTCATGCGTTTTTACTGTGAGGACGCGCAAGTTAGCCTTGACAAGCCTTTTTAGTAAAAGTATGTGACTTCCAGTCCGATCTCACACTAACGTCAACTTGGCTCACCTGGATCGACTATCACGACTGGCATCGGGATGGCGATTAACAGATAGGCGACATAGTAGTGAAATCACATGACTGCATGTTCATGCTCTAACATGACTGCAAACTTCACTTGGCATCGCCACTCATCAACTCCCACCAACACTCAGCTTTCCCCACCAACACTCCTATCCCACTTGACAATGGCACACCCTCATATGTGTCACTTTCTTCTACACATGCACATATCAACCAACAGCAGAGGCATATATACTTCTGCTATTGCTTTGTACTTAGTTCCTTAGAATGCTAATGATTTTGCCACTTGCTTGACTGCCCTGATTGTGCTTTCCTTAACAGATTAAGAGTCTGAATGCTCTGCTGTAGGAACACTGCCTCACCTCACCATGCTGTCCAATCTGTATCCTTGCCTGCCTCTGCCACCCAAAGAAAGGGCCTGCCTCTGCCAAGCCTGACAAATCAGCATGCCTCCATGAACCTGTGATCCAGGCACCAAGAGCAGCGATCTGTCTGACAAACCACACAAGGAAAGAGCTCCCACCACACCACACAGGCAAATGCTGATTGGCATGGAGACCCCTTTATGCTATGATTCCAACAACAATGATGATGGCAATGAAACCCAATATAACATTGGCACCATCTCTGAACTCAACCCCGAAGTGCTCAGGGGTATGCTCATTGAACTAACCAAATGCAACAAAGTGAAGAACTCTGATGCATACAAGAAACCTTCCTGTTGCTCCAATTTCCACCAATGACTCTCTCACACCCATGATGCCCTAAAAGAAGCCCCCAAGCTCACAACCAAAAACTGGTATGCCTGGAACCCCCACTTCAGGGGCATCCTGTCCAACTGGCCTGCAGCTATGAAGCACCTTGATGGCACCATGACCACTGAACACAAGAAATACAACTGCACCCTGGATGGCAAACTCTGCACTATCCTTCAAAGTAGTGCCCTACTCACCAGAAATGACAACATCAATTACCTTTTCATATGACCTGCCAACTCAGAACCCTGGAAACTACATGATCTCTGTCAGGGGTCTCGCGCCTGAAACCCAGGTCGGTCTGTCGAGATACTCGGTGACTATCAAACTGTGCGACAGCTATTGTCTTGGTATCGGTGACTATCAAGTTGTGCAGTGACAGCAGGTGGCGTTCATTGTATATACTATCGTAGGTTTCGGCTGACCTCTGTGGACACTCTGTTCAGGGGTAGCTCGGCACGATCAATAACGATGTTATGATGACACCAAGGTCTGGTGTGAGTGTTGATGATGATGAGGTTGATGGTGTGGGTGGTGAGATTGGTGATGTTGATGATAATGAGGTTGATGGTGTTGGTGATAAGGTTGGTGGCGTCAACACGAGTGTCCAGTGTGTTGACTTGATGCTTGAAGTGATCCCCGGACTGCAGTGGACTACTGCCTTCGGTTCTATCTATATCCGGACCGCTAACCTGCTATGGGTGCCTTCGGACGTCAGGTAGTGGTGATACAACACACACACTATGATGAGGAGCAACCTTTGATGGATTGCTGCTATGCTGACTGAAACTAATATATACTTATGCTGAAGTGATAACTAGTTATGGTGAGTAGAGTGGATGAGGATCCACTCGACCTATGATGATGAGAAAGCATGGTTATATACCTCTTCTCAGCATTGCCAGCGATGCTGCTCCTGCTCTCTCTCCAGAGAGTACCTTCTTCATCGAGTACTGCTCAGGGGCCTCTCCTGCTTGGCACCCCTGTGCCTCTTGAGCTGTGTCGACTCCTTCGACACTGCTCCTCCTCCTCATGACCTGATGTCAACTCCTTCGACACTGCTCCTCTTCCTCTTGAGCTGTGTCGACTCCTTCGACACTGCTCCTCCTCCTCTTGAGCTGTGTCGACTCCTTCGACACTGCTCCTCCTCCTCATGACCTGATGTCGACTCCTTCGACACTGCTCCTCCTCCTCATGACCTGGTGTCGACACTGCTCCTCCTCCTTTGATCAGTGACAGTTCCTTTGGCTCTTGTCTCTCGAGCCCCTGAGTGGTAACCATCTGCATGCTCCTTGAGCTTGGTCCTCTTCGTGGCTGTGCCTGCTCCTTGAGCTTGGTCCTCCTCGTGGCTGTGCTTGGCCCTCCTTTGCATGTGAGTCCATAGGAGTCCATGGTCTCCATGGAGACTGCACTACGACCATGCTCTCTACTGATCTCGACTAGATCTTCGATACCTGTGCTCCTTCCATATGAACCCGTGACCCTCCTGCTTCTTGAGCATCCAGGCCCATGACACTACCCCCCTCTTAAGAGCCGAGCTCCGTCGAGGCATGCTCTGGTCTGGTCCATGCTGACTCCTCCTCCTCCTCCTCGACAACATTGCCAACATCATCCTTCCTCCTTTTCTCAACATCATCCTCCTTCCTCTTCCTCTCTCTACTCCTCCTGTTCTCTCCCCCTTTCTCTACTTTGTCTACTCACTCGTCCCCCCTCCGACACCTCATACTCCTGGATGAGGTCGGGACAGTTGAGGTTCTCTACTGGTTCCCATGAAGCAGCTTCTTCTGAGTACCCTCTCCACAACACCTTGTACTCTGTAGTCCCATTGTGTGAACGCTTGTCAATGAGTGCTTCGACTTCGAAGTCGAGGTCCTCATCTGGAAGTGATGGTATGGTGGGCTGTTCAACATGTTGAGGAAGAGAACTTGTTCTTGCTGGCTCGAGCATGGAGACATGGAACACATCATGCACCCTAAGGTTTGCTGGCAATGTGATTCGATAAGCTTGGCGTCCTACCTGTTCCTGAACTGGGTAGGGTCCTGCAAACCGGGTGTCTAACTTGGGTGTGGGTCTCCTTGTCTTCCAGTTTCGACGGTTGATATAGACCATATCACCCACCTTAAACTCGATGTCCTTGTGCTTCCTGTTATACTGGTTTACTGATCTACGTTGTGCCTCTCTGATCTGCTCCTGGAGGTACTTGCAATGCTCCTTTCCATCCATGAGGTACTCGAAGCGACCTGGATCATTGACTCCTAGTCGTTGAGGGATGTCAGGATGAGCTTTGGGGTTCCATCCATAGCATGCAAAGAATGGTGAGACACCAATGCTGTTGTGGACCGTGTTGTTGTATACAAAGGCTGCAGTGTCCAGCAGGTTGGCCCAGTCATTCTGCTCATAGTTGCAGTACATCCTGAGGTATTGCTCTATGACCTGATTGACTCTCTCTGTCTGACCATCAGTTTGAGGATGGTAAGCTGTGCTAAGTGAGTGCTTCACACCCATTTGCTCTGCAAATGCCTTCCATGCTCCTGATATGAACTGCCTGCCTCGGTCCGAGACCATGTGATCTGGGTATCCGAAGAGTCTAACCATGTGTCCATATAGCAACACTGCAGTCTGTTTGGCCATGACTGTCTTATGGGTTGGAGCTAGTATGGCAAACTTGGTTAACCTGTCGACAATGACTAAGATAGAGTCATAGGTCTTGGAGTCATACTTCTTCGATGGTGGTAGTCCTTCGATGAAGTCGAGGGATATGGAGCCCCAGGGCCTGTCTGGTGTTGCTAGTGGCTGTAGCAAACCATATGGACGATGACAAGGAGCTTTGTACCTAGCACATACAGGACAACTTGCTACATAGTCTGCAATCCAAGCTGTCATGTTTGGCCACCAGTAATGTCGTTGAGCTGCCTTGATGGTAGCATCTCTTCCTACATGTCCAGCAGTGATACCATCATGGCATTGGGTCATCACCATGAATCATAGCTGCTCTACAGAAAGGGACTGTCCATCTACCTCTTTGGCACTCCTTGAGTGTCGGTTGTTGGTCCTCCCTGGCATGATCACTTTGGGGATAACCAATCTTCCTCCACTGTACCATAGGTCGTCCCTGACCTCGAAGGGCTTCTTCCTATGTATCTCCTGTAGCTCTTGGTCTAAGGGCTGGAAGATCTTGACCAGGTCTCTGAGACCTTTTGATGCTATGGACTCCATCGAGATCATGGGGGCCACTAGGAGCGAGTCATGGTCTGCTGTCTCCTTGAACACTCGAGGAGGCAGTAGTTGCCTCACATTGTGATCCTGCTCTTCACCAGCTGGTTGCATGTCGGTCCTTCTGGTGAGAGCATCGGGTTCACCACCCTTGTCTCCTGGTCGATACTGCAATATGAAGTCGAAGTCTGCTAGTAGTATGGCCCATCGAGCCTGTTGACCTGTGATGCGTCTCTGTGACTTGAAGTACTTGAGGGCTTCATGGTCAGTGAGGATGACCAGTTGGTTCGGTAGTCCAGCTAGCATGTGTCGCCACTGAGTAAGGCAGGCAACCAC